TACCTTCCTGGTCAGACCAGCGACATAATGAGAAGATCCTGCACTCTGTCAAGCAATTTATTAAAAAAACACCACCTGATATTGTGCTGTATCTTGATAGGTTAGATATGCAGAGCCGAGACTTTAGTGATATGCCACTCTTACGCACAATTACTGAGATTTTTGGACCATCCATATGGTTCAATGCTATTGTGGTTCTGACTCATGCAGCATCTGCTCCACCTGATGGCCCTAATGGTACTGCTTCCAGTTATGAGATGTTTGTTACTCAGCGCTCTCATGTCGTGCAGCAAGCCATTCGGCAAGCAGCTGGAGATATGCGTCTCATGAATCCTGTATCACTGGTGGAGAACCACTCTGCATGCAGAATAAATAGGGCTGGGCAGAGAGTGTTGCCTAATGGCCAGGTTTGGAAACCTCATCTGTTACTCTTATCTTTTGCATCAAAAATTCTGGCCGAAGCAAATGCTCTACTTAAGTTACAAGATAGCCCACCTGGAAAGCCTTACACAGCTCGAGCTAGAGCGCCACCATTGCCATTTCTTTTGTCATCCCTTCTGCAGTCAAGGCCGCAATTAAAGTTGCCAGAGGAGCAGTTTGGCGATGAGGACGGTCTTGATGACGACCTTGATGAATCATCAGATTCTGATGATGAAACAGAGCCTGATGACTTGCCTCCATTTAAACCATTAACAAAGGCTCAGGTGGAAAAGCTGTCTAGAGCTCAGAAGAAAGCATATTTTGATGAGATAGAGTACCGAGAAAAACTTTTTATGAAGAAACAATTGAAGGAAGACAAAAAGCAACGGAAGATGATGAAGAAAATGGCAGAATCAGCAAAAGATCTGCCAAGTGACTATAGTGAAAACGCGGAAGAAGAAAGTGGTGGTGCAGCTTCTGTTCCCGTTCCCATGCCAGATTTGGCCTTGCCTGCTTCTTTTGATTCTGATAATCCCACTCACCGGTATCGTTATCTTGATTCATCCAACCAGTGGCTTGTAAGACCTGTCCTAGAAACTCATGGGTGGGATCATGATGTGGGTTATGAAGGGCTAAATGTAGAAAGATTGTTTGTTCTTAAAGACAAGATACCCTTGTCTTTTAGTGGTCAGGTTACTAAGGATAAAAAGGATGCTAATGTTCAGATGGAAATAGCCAGTTCAGTTAAGCATGGAGAAGGGAAAGCGACTTCGTTAGGTTTTGATATGCAGACTGTTGGGAAGGATTTAGCTTATACATTACGCAGTGAAACAAAATTTTGTAATTTTAGGAGAAATAAGGCAACTGCTGGTCTCTCATTTACTGTCCTGGGTGATGCCTTGTCAGCTGGAGTTAAAGTTGAAGACAAGTTGGTTGCTAATAAACGATTCAAGTTGGTTATTGCTGGCGGTGCAATGGCAGGGCGCGGTGATGTTGCTTATGGTGGCAGTTTGGAGGCCCAATTAAGAGATAAAGATTACCCTCTAGGACAGTCGTTATCAACACTTGGGCTTTCCGTTATGGATTGGCATGGAGATCTTGCTGTTGGGTGCAATTTACAATCACAAATCCCCGTTGGGCGGCATACAAACCTTGTTGCCAGGGCCAATTTGAACAACCGAGGCGCTGGACAAATCAGCATTCGATTAAATAGTTCAGAACAGCTTCAAATTGTTTTGATTGGTCTCATCCCTCTGCTTAAGAAGCTAGTTGGTTGTACTCAACAGTTGCAGTTCGGACAATGACGATGGTGTTAATGTTTTGTTACGATAAGCTGCAGTTCTTGCCCGGTGGGAGGTAATTACTTTATGCTGGCTGCTCTTGCTGGTTGCCATGAAATGAGAATGATACTAAATTGCGTTTTTATGTTTTCTATACCCGAAATTATCTATTATTTGATCATAGTTGTTGTAGTTTCCCTTGTTAGATATTCTCTCTTGGTATTTTTGTTACATTATGCTACTGGACTCTTAAGTAATGCATCTTTTTGATTTTTATCTTCCTCGTATACAATACGGGTGTATAAATTCTTAGTTGTTTCTTGCCCTTACACACTGTCGGAAGCACCTTCTCGTGTTAATTTTTGTTGTCTCGGGGTTGGGATTTTTTTATGTACCTTTAGGGGCAGTCCAATCCGAAACTTATTTTATCGGAAACGATTTGACAAATGTTACTCTGTTTCAAATGTTACTGGGAATTTGAAGGAGTGACCTCCCAACGCTCGAACTTTGGTTCGAGATTTTATTATTTTTCGCCCTTGCTGTACAGACAATGGAAGTCCATTTTGATACCAAAGGAATGGAAATGTGTATTGATTCTAGGGGAGTAAATGAGGCTAAGACAGGCTTTAGCCTAAATCAGCTAGGTTTGTGTAAATTATTTCATACTCGACTTGGTTTGTTAGTCTTATACAAGTTAAGTTATAAGTTTGGCTTGACTTGTTTTTTAAAAATACAAGACTTGACTTTTGATAAATAACAAGACTTCAAAAATGACATAATGCACTTTGTAAAATATAGGTTATAATTAATTTTTTTTATATGTATAATTTGATGGAATATATTTCTTTTCTAACTCAAAATATTAACACTTAAACTATGTTGCTAGAAATAAAAAAAAGGCAAGGAAGTAGAATGTTTAATTACATTTAAAAAAAAAGGAATATATTCACCTACTCATGTGTTAAAAATTCTATATTTTGTTGATTTTTTTGCTTTATCCACACACCAAAACGATTAGAATTGCAATTTGATTTGATCAATTAAAGGCACTTTCATATGAGTAAATTGATAGCATGTGATATTGAATCATCTTGCATAGTATTCGTATTAATATCTAATTAAAAAATCATCAAGTTGTAAAATAATTTAAATTGTACCTTTTGTTTTTTTTTTTAATTATACTTATTGCGTAGCAAAATTTGGCGAATGTTAGAGTTAACAAAACATATGTTTGTCAATTGAAAAGAGAGAAATTGCAAAAAATTACAAAAACATATTTTATTAAAATATGCAAGATATTATTTTATTTAAAAATAATAATATACTAATTTATTATAAAATAGTATAATATAATAATATTAAAAATAAATAAAATATTATATATTAAAAATATGAGCTTGGCTTGGAGGCCAAGTCTGCTAGAATTGACTTATGACTTGATTTCTAAACAAATTTTTTAATGCGCTTAAACTTGTATTACTTTTACAACTGGTCAAGTCAAACTAGGACAAAAACAGACGAAGGCTCTTAACAAGCTGACTGATTAATTTACATCCCTAGTATTGAATGAAAAAAAGGATAGTCATCTGGTTTGTTGACTCTAATTATTCTATTTTAGTTCAATAAGCATATTTTTATAAAAGGATAGTCTTAATTTTTTTTTTTCATATAGTTGATAGTAGTATTTTAGAACTAAAATATAATACTTTCACGTTTAGCTGAACAAAAGGATTACCCCACATCATAAATCGGTAGCATGATAACGGCCCTCAATATTTTAGTGCATTTGTATTGTTTCGCTGCTTCTGTGAGCTAAATGCTTTGAAAATGTCTACTGCTATCATCTAAAAATTTGATAAAACTCATTAAAGGGCATGAGTTTAACCTACCTTTTAAAACACTGGATTAAAAAAATAAATAATGATACTGTATACTGTCGACTTTTGGTTTCTCTGGTATTTGTTGTGCATGGGATTAAATTGTAAGTGGTGAATGTTAACTACATTACAAGGCCATGATTTGTTTCCGTCTACTTAGATTTACATGCGGAATTCTCATAGATGTCATTGCAACTATTAGAAAATGTCACAGTTCCAAGGATTAGGAAGTTTGATGTGCTTTTTTGCTCGAATAATTGATCTTTTGGTGGGGTATTATCTTTTTTCTTTCGGCTCTTATGTTGAGCATGATGCAGCCTAAATAGCTGGCCGGGATATTACAAGAATTACAGGACAAAGGTGTAATGCATTGGACTTGGATTTTACATGTTTGGAGTATTCAAACAAGCGGGATCTGTTCGTCTTTGTTAGTTAATAGATTATTTGAACATGGAGAATGGTAAGTTTGGTTCATTCTTGAAAGCAGGTTAAAAATAAGTACGTATTTTTTCTTTTGAATAAATCATTTTATAATTGTTTAATGTTATTTTATTATAAACTAAAAAATGAATAAGCATTTTATTTTTATTCTTGTTAAAATTCATTTCACTCTAATTTTTTATTATATGTTTTATGTTTCACCTTTTATTTTATTTTATGATATTGAGTGCGGGAGGCCACCCACAAAGAGCATCATTTGCGAGCATCATTTGCTTGCTTGCTTTAAAAAATAGTGTTGCACTATACTTGTAGGTTGCAACACTATTTGTATCGGGCGAGGGTCGTTATTTTTCTCACAAAGCTATTCAGGTTTGCACCACATGCTATTTTTCTTGCCTTTTTATGTAGACTTCTTGGTGTCTAAAGTGTTTGTTTTATCAATTATGTGATTAAGTGCTGGCGAATTGGCATTTGCTTTGCTTTGATGTCTTAAAATAGATTTCTTTGATGATGTCTCTTTGAAATTGAGCTTCTTTTGCTTTATGTTTTGATAGTATTGTCATGTACCATATATAACCTAGGCAGGCGTTTTGACAAATCCGAGTGCATCACTTGCGCTTTTTTGGATATAATTTATTATTACGTCTTGAAATTCACTAGCTCTTTTAATTAAACAAATGAACAGTACATGATAATATATTACAATAATAAGGAGATGGAATTGGAAACCTAAATACTACTTTCCAGCTTCAAAGTATCATACTCCTGAAAAGGGACTTGTCTCTTCAACTTACTAAGCCATTGGTTATCCATACCTAGCACAATGAAAGCATTTCCAATATGCTTAAGAAACACTTATTATTTAATTTTGCTATAGAAACATTACATTTTTTCCTCCACCTCTTTCTCTCTGATCGTTCTGCCTACACACAAAACTTAAGTTGGGTTTTCATTTTAATTAATCTCAAAAGCCGTAGTGACTTCTTACATAATCATATCATATTGAATTTTATTATTTTCCCCTTGTAAATGTAATTTCTTTTTCATTTGTGAACAGGTTATTGTGATGCCGCGAAAAATATTGTTAATGGATCAGTTCAAATGATTCAGTGGAGTGGCTGGGGTCAAGGTAGAAATATATGGCATTCCTTTTCTTTTAAATCTTCAAAAAGACCATGGGTTGATTTAAAGGGTCGCATCTTGTTCAACATCTCTTTTTTTATGCCTCTTTCTCCTTTTGAAATTTTGTGCCGTTCATTCTTTATTTGGACAAATCTTTGAATTAGTATATTAGCTATTGCTTCTTTTTTTGCAGTGGGATGATTCGATAGATGGCATGCAGGGGGAACATCAAATCATGCAAGTATATTTCATTTGCCTACCCCAAAGAAGAAGAAATTTTCTCAATTGAAGAAGTATGAACCACCAAACATTGCAAAAAGGAGAAAACAAAAAAAGTGGAGTAAATTGGAAATATAATATAAAATTATAGATTAAATGAAAAAATATGAATATATATATTAAATATAATATAAAATTTTAGATTAATTTTTTTTTTAAAATTATAAAAATATATGTATTGTTTATAAAAAATAATTTAATATGAAACTGTAATGCAAAAAATAAAAAATGAAATGACATATTTATACTTTAAAAGAAAATAAATTAAAAATTTAACTTAAAAAAATAATACAAAAAGAGAAAAAAATTTAATTTACAAAAATTTATACTTTTACAATTTGTGTTAATTATTATGAGACAGATAAATTGATTTCTTTTTTTTCGCACGTGCATTGTACGGATAATACACTAATATATATATAAAAGAAAATAGTGACAAATTTTTTTTTAGAAATTAATTAACGACAGTGGCCAACAAATTTTTTGATTTTTTTCTCATGCATCTTACGGCTAATGCACTAGGTGTAGATTAAAAATGTTTCAAATATAATTTCTCCTATAAGATATTAAAAAATGAAAACAATAAATATGTTTAAACCAGTTCTCACAACCAATTTGAACCTGTTTGTAATCCTTGCAGAAAGGGAAAGACAGGAAGCAATGTTATCAAAAAAAAAAAAAAAAAGACAGGAAGCAGGAGAAAGGGAGGCACAAGAAGAAAATCAAATCGAATGGACCCTGACGTTGCTCGTTGGTCGTTGGAGTTCCTTCTTCGGAACACAGCCACAGACACTACCCTAATCAAGAAAATCATTTCTAGAATCCCAGTTTCAGACACCGATTCTCGCTTCAAGAAAACCCTTCTCCTGAGAACCCTTCAAGACAACTTGTCCACAGCCTCTATTTCAGAATCCATGCTTGAAACTCTCGAGCTCCTCGAGGAACTCTATCGTTGCGACGGCTCTCCAATCAACGCTGCCATGAACGCCGCCTATTGCGCGGTTGCCGTGGAATGTACCCTCAAGTACTTGGAACTGGACCCAGCCTACCTCAACGCTGTCGAGAGGATATGGCGGGGTAGGGTTCGTTACATGGAGGCATCGGCCTCAGGTGACGGAAGCCTTTTGTTCTCAGAGGAGTTGAAGAGGTGGAGAAGTGAGATTGAGGCTTCGCTATTGGACTCGGAAGTGATGGAGAGGTTGGGCAGCATGAATACCAGAAGAGACGCCATTCACAAGCTTAAGGTTTTTTTGGGCGAAGCATGGGCAAATATGGGTCCTCCTTTTCTTGAGTTAGCAACGTGTTTGTGTTTGCCCCCAGAGCACAGATTAACAGGGAATTTGAGTTGCCAGAGGACTGGTGCTGCTTCTATTGACACTCAGACGACCGAGTTTGATGGACATCAAGAGAAAGGTCTTGAATTGCTTTTCCCTATTTAGTTTCCCTGTTAGATTATAATGGCAATTTTAGCAACCATGTTAAGAATGTATGTGTTTATTTTTTTTTAACAATTTATGAATTTTTCTCCAACCACTGTCACCACAAAAGATTAACCAACGACGGTCACCACAAAAGATTTGATATTTTTTTTTTCGTGCAATGCACTAGTTATGAAGAAAAACTAAAATGCTTAACACTGCCTCTAAGATTACAACTAAAGTTTATAGTCACAAACCAAACCAAACTGATTATAGACAAAAATGTTTCAAATATAATTTCTCCTTGTAAAAAGATTACAACTAAAGATATTAAAAAATGAAAACAATATGTTTCAAAAATGCCATTTAGAATTAAAGGCTAGTTGAAAACCCAAAATCATAATGAGATTTTTTTTTTCATATTTAGTGTCTCCAATGGAAATTCAGAAGGACAGTAAGCTGCTTAAAGGCAAGTGTACTGCTACTGGTGGTGCTGAGGAAGTGGATCCATCAACTAGTATCAAAACTGTCTCTATGCTGAGCCATGAAGTCCAAAAGCATGGGAAATCCCATGAATGTAGTCCTTTGGAGTTGCATATGTCTGACATTGTAAGATCTGAATTGGCAATGAAAGACATGAATAAGGAGCCACCTATTGAAAATCAGAATAGAGATGCAGATGTACCTGATCCACATGCTTGCCAGAGTATTAATGAAAGAGATGCTAAGCTTAATGAGACCACCTCTGTCTATCGGAGTGATGTTGATCACCCAAGCTTGATGGAACGAAATAGTACGGCTCGTGTTTATGAGGTAATTATGCTTGTAAGTTTTTATTCTGGTGCCGGATTCCTTTTAAATCTTCAAAAAGACCATGGGTTGATTCAAATGGTCGCATCTTGTTCAACATCTCTTTTTCATACCTTTCTCTCCTTTTAAAATTTTGTGCGCTCATTCTTTATTTGGACATATCTTTGAATTAGTATATTAGCTATTGCTTCTTTTTTTGCAGTGGGATGATTCGATAGATGGCATGCAGGGGGGAACATCAAATCATGCAAGTAGATTTAATTTGCCTAGCCCAAAGAAGAAGAATTTTTCTCCATTGAAGAAGTATGAACCAGCAAACATTACAAAAAGGAGAAAACAAAAAAAGTGGAGTCAATTGGAAGAGGAGACTCTAAGGACTGCGGTAAACAAGTATGCGCTTGTTCTAAACTGGTCAAACCATAATTTTTCATAGTGGATGTCATGAACCAATTCTCTCTAAAGTTTAAGCTGTTAGGTGAAGGCACATAAATTATTTTATATTTTATCTCTAGCCATGGTGAAAGCTTTGTCACTGACATATATCTTTAACATGTCCCCTCATATGAGAGCCTCTCTTTTGTACTCGCTTGAAGTATAGACAATGCATAGGCACACTTACCTTTATGTTCAAATTCAATTTTTTTTTTTAAAGAATGGAGACAACAAGGATCGTATGGTAGGACCACTTGGTCATAGAGGCTCTTATACCATATTAGATGATTAGGAATACAAAAAAGAACAAGAAATAACATGGTTCAGCCTTAAAAGCCTAACGTATTCTCCCCCTAACTTGTCCCATGGTCAGGGAGGTTCCACTCCCTTTAAGTAGCAATTGATACATTGTATTGTCTACATTTCACGCCTACAATCAAGGGAACAACATGATTTGTTTCCCTTTGTTTTAGTTAGATTAGTGGTCTCAGTTGGGTTAACAATCTTCCCATGTTTATCTCCACTAAATTGGCTGGTATTGTCAACAATCTTCCCATATTTATCTGCACTTATTTGGTTGGTGAACTTGTCAGAATGTAGAAACGATGCTCTGTATCCCAAACGGGTGAAATATGTTGATCAGACGATGGTTGAGGAGGCGATGGTAGAGGCCAAGGCTTTGCAGAGTCACTGTATTGGCCTTAGGTAAGCTAAGGATCAAGAGGGAAGGTGAATAGGGCACAATTATGACTGATGAGGAGAGAATTTGGCAGAGTTTCTGCAAGGTGAGCAGTGGAGAAGAAGATCCTGCTTTAGGTTGAGTGGTCCTCTATATATAGGATGGAAGAAGATTCCCTTTTAGCAAGGGAAGTATGACGACATAATCGTTTCAGCCCTGTGAGCCCTATTATGGTGTGAGGCTACGTGATCCCTGATATGGAAAAGGTCATGCGTGCGTGGGAAATTTGAGGAAACACCTAAACTGAGGAGCCAAATGCTCTCAGGTGCTAAATGTCTGGGGCCTTACGGGCAGCCATTTGGGCCGTCTAGGTAAGGCCATCCGGCCGGTTCAGAACAGTTAGCATTATCTCCAACAGTGGATTTCAGTGATACAAAGTTTCGCCATATTTGGAGTGTTCCTGGTCTCTTTATTCATTTACTTTTAATTTGTCACTCTTTTTTCTACATTTTTTGATATATTGATGGAATGTGGAACTCTTGTTTGTTGAGTTGTGATTGATGAGAGCATAGTTGTGATCTCAGTAGTCAGTTTCACACCATTTCACCACTGCAAGTGTTTTGAGTTACTCACTGCAACTATGATACCATTTCTACTCCACTTAAGAATATGAATAGAATTAGTTACAGTTTCAATCCAATTTCATATTCTCATTCAACTTTTTTCCTCTACAGTTTTGGCAGGGGAAACTGGAAATTAATCTTAAATTCTCACAGAGATATATTTGAAGAGAGAACTGAGGTAAGCATACAAAAAAACTATGGGTATTTTTTAAATTTATGCTTTGGATGTCAATCAAATTATTTTCTCAGGTTGATTTGAAGGACAAGTGGAGAAACATGACACGTTATGGAGGCAAATGAATTGTTTAAAGATGCATACCTCTTGAATACTTCAGAGGTATATTCTTTTGTCTTTGTCCTCTAGGGTAAATATGGTTGATAGCAGTTGCACTTTCATTTTTTTTTTTTGTTTTTTCTTGAGATTATAGATGTTGTTAAAAAATATAAACAATAGATGTTATGTATGGTTAGAACTTATTAGGAAATATATATATATATATATATATATATATATATATACACACACACATATATATATATATATATATATATATATATATATATATATATATGAGGTAGGATCCTTTGACACTGGTGTCAAATTTGAAGTTTGACACCTCATCTAAGAGCCATTAGATCAAAAAAGATCAATGGTGTCACATGCTTACAAATTAGAGTCGTTGATCTTTTTTGATCTAACGGCTCTCACATGAGGTGTCAAAGGATCCTGCCTCTATATATATATATATATATATATATATATAGGGAAAAACTACTCTTATGCTACATGTGATGACTTTCTCTCCTACACACCCTTCGATAACTGTGCCACCTTTTTCTTTTCTTTTTATTTTTGAGATGGTGGAGCCCACAAATTTATCTCTATGACATGAGATAACTTATCTCCTTTAACATGAAATTAATCAAACCCATATATATATAGCCTTTTGTTTTGGAACATGTCCTCTGTATTGCTTCTAGCATAGTCTTAACTTACTATATCTTTCGGTTAGTTAAATCAGTTAGTTACTGAGCTGTCATCAGCGGTAGCTTCTTGAAGAAGTTTTCTCTGCTCATATAAGACATTCCTTTGTACTGGAATAGAAACTCAACTAGTGCATTACTCGTGCGATGCACGGAGGAAAAAGATCAAATTTTTTGACTTAGGTAATATATACAAATTAATATTTACATGTGAGTTGTGTAAATAGTGTGAAAAATAAAGAAAAAAATCTCCTTAACCTTCTAATTCATTTTACCATTATGTGAATGGTTTTATGAAATGTGTTTAAAACTCTCTTAAAATTGAATATTCACTTAGGCCATGTATGAGCAATTTTATATTAATATGTTAAAACTTCAGTAATTGAGTAAAGTTAATGTATGCAAATGAAGAAGTTTATACATTTTATTTATGTTAAAATTATATATTTGTTAGTCAATATTTATTTAAAAATATATAATGTTTGATGTTTCTATCTATGTAGATAAATAGAAACATAAAAAGAAAAAAAGTGCAGTTAACTTGGTACACATAAAGAGTCATGAAGGGGGACTTGTTGGCAGCAAATAGCAGTTGCTTGGGGGAAGGCAGGCCATGTTTCATTTCGTGACTGCAAAATTTTCATCAAATCAAACCTTGTTAAACGTACGACCTAGTGCTGAAGAGAAGCCGCAAAGAACAAAGCCGAAATTCAAAAACTAGTTGAGCTTTTCCTTGGGTAGATCCTTTAGATTCTTGTAACAATTATCTTAAAGAACAGTGAAGATATTACAATATAGAAATACTCTGCAACTATAAGTGCTGTTGTATGTAGAAACCTTCCAATACCAAATCTCCATATATAGAATAAAAGACAGTGAAGGCTATAAATTATTTGCAAGTGGTGAATTTGCAGGTGACATTTCCAGCACCAGTGTTAGCCCTCTTGAAGCGTAGAGCTGTAAGCAGAACACTCCTAGTTGAGCCCATCAAAGCCAAATTCATGTGTTCGACTACGCCAAGTGGATGATAAGAGAATTGAAGGCTGTTATATGAGTTAAGAAGTGCAGTTACCCCTTCTCTCAAAAGAGTCCTGTAAGGATCTCCTCTCCCTTGCAACCCATTCCACAGTGTAATGTCTGTTCCGTATCTCCTTGCTGCCACCATTCCAAAAGCTACTGCTACTTTAGTGTCCCGGTTCACTCCCCTCCAGTAGCATTTATATTCTGGCATTGTCCACTTCCTGACAATTTAGAAAGTTATTGATATTCTTGTAATTAAACATGTTTATGAAAGTCCTGATTTTGTACAAGGAAGGAAGCATGCTATTGAATTTAGCTATTAACAGATCTACCACTATGACTTTCTTAAAGTCATATAAGTATTTCAAACTAGTAAAATCAATGACATAAATGTACCAGACCCTCAGGATCCTGCCTATAAAGCAGAGAACTAATAGGCACAACAATTAAACCTTTTTTGGTATAGATCTCATGAAACCATGAGTTCTTTACCAATTCAAATGCTTGATTACTCTTTTTTTTTCTTTATCTTAATACAAATGCAGGGTTCATCGCATCAAGTTCACACGTGCAACTATTCTGAGTAGAACTCAGAATAGTGGCACTGCTACTCTGCTTTCTTGTGGAACACATGCATTTGCAGCATGGTGATGAGTGTTGCTTTCACTGGTCCTACTTGCATCGCATGCACACGTAATGTATGCAGGTGGTCCAATCGGTGTCAAGTTTCAACAATAATTATAGAATGGAATTATGAGCCTCTGCTTGGAGCTGAAAATTACTCTTGGATAAGGGTTATAAACTTACTGTGATGGACATGCTGAAGCTTCTGCAAAAATCACTGGTGGTAGTGGTGGCAAGGGTGGCAATGGAGGAAGTCCAGGCACTGGGGGAAGATTGAAATGTGGAGGAGACATGGGTGATGTGACTGGTGCTGGCACTGGGTTAGAAGATCTTGGGCAGTTTTGCATGGGCTGAGCAGGCTGAGCAAGGAGAGGATCCACCGTATACATCTCCATGTCAAACATCCTAAACATGAGTCTAGGATTTTGGGCAGCACCAGCACCTTCACCGCAACCCATTGAACCTTGCCCACTTCCTGAGACACGGACAGAACAACCACTCAAGTCCGGTGCACCATCGAACCTCATTGTATAGCTTCCAAACCAATTACATGTTTCTTCTCTTGACATTATGATTTGTCCATTGCTGTCTGCACAGGACAGAGTTACTTTTGCACCTGTAACAAGCAACAGGGTTCAAGACAATAACTTTCTGATGTAAAATGCATTTAATAACTTAGGTCCACAAAATTTAGAATATTGATCTTAATTAATAAATAGATGATGACCCAACAGTATTTATTGAATATCTTGATGGCAAGTTGGTGACCTGTTCAAACTTCATTTATTGAGGGAATGAAAAAGGTTAAAAGTAACGTTAATTGTGCATACTTTTTATCTAGGAAATTTGGCTGATGAATTAGAAAAAATTATTGAAACAAGAAGCAAATAAAATTTCTTTCACATCACAATGTGGGAGTTAAATGAGATAAATAAGTATTTGAAATAAACATTTCTCAAAACATACAACAACAGTGCTTTTCCCTCCTTAAGTGGAATCAGCTATACGAATCAAAGCTAGTGCATTTTATTTTTTATTTACAAAAATCAGGTGAAAACACTTCCAAGCTCCAACCATAGACATGAACAAAATGATGAAGGGCATAGATCTCACCATTAACAGGATAATCGAAAAGGGATATCTGCCCATCTTTGCATTGGTCACATAGGACAGTGCCAGTGACCATAGTATCACCTTGCGTTCCATCAATAGTCACCGAAAGAATGAGAAATGCTGCAAAGAAAAGCTTCTCCGGAAGCTCCATGAATACTGTAAGCCCACTAAGCAAAAGGGAAGAAAAAAAGAAATGGATTGGTGCTATCAGAATGTGATGAACACTTAAATAAATGAGGAAAAAAGTGAAATAGCATCAAATAGAGGCACATATTTTTCTAACTCTCAACTGCCTCTTTTAATGCTGTTCGAAAAAACACTTTTTCAAACTGGAATGAAACTATGAAAATAGTACGGTAATCATTAATGCTAGTAAAAACCGTGTAGCAGATGTAAGATGCTATGAATTTAAATGCATCACTCCTACTCTAATGAACGCAATAATTAACGATTCCTTTGGCTTTATAAAGTGTTTTAATATAGAAATTTTACGTTCTATCAGAAAAAAAAAAAATCTTAACAGTTCACTACAATAAAAAAATGTTGAATTAATGGAGAATTTTAGTTCTTAAAATATATTTTTCTACACTGCTTAATAAATTAATCCAGAAATATGAAACAAAACGTAAATTGATTTCCCTTCTCCCGTAATTTAAATTTAATATAAGTGTTCACCAATTACTTAAACAATTTAATTTTGTATTATTAATATTATAAAATTCATTTTATCATCATCTAATTATGATGTATCATCCCATCATTTGAGGAATCTGACAATTCATGTGTTATTACGATTTGTTGAAAAATGTGAGAATACATCATTAAATCAAGGGGATTACTTACGAGAGAACTCTCATGTTAAGAGATAAATAAAGTAGGCCTCATCAATTTTTAGAAAAAAGAAAAAAAAGAGAGCACATTTTTCAAAGTGAGAGTAACATGAGATATCAATCTCATGCAACATAAGAGTATGATTTTCCTTAAATCAAAATATAAAACTTTTTTATTTCACTAATATATCGAAATTGAACTTTTATGCACGTAATGAACGAATTATGAATGAGCAAATTATTTATAATATATTTATAAAATCTTCATATTTTTTCCTTGGGTTTACCGTGAATCACTGGATTAATAGAAATAGTACTCTTGAAACTTTGACCTATTAAACAAATAGGAATTATTGTTTTTCATGTTATAGTTATCTCTTGCATATACATAAAAATGTGTAAAACTTACGTAAGCTCATGTGAATAAAAGAGAAAGATAAGAATAACATGAACCCCACACATTTTTATATGTGTATATGAAATAAAATTATTTACTAGAATATAAATAATATTAATCCCTTAAAAAAATCAATTGAGTAAACGTTTTGTTTTGGCGGAGATTTTCCTTTTAGAGCAGCATTCATTTGAAATATAAATTGACATAACAGGAAACCATGTTGTGTACAGAATCGCATTAAAATTCATTCCATTGTAATGTAAGGAGCAAAAACAATGCAAGAAGAGCAAAAATAGTAAATAATAATAATAATAAGAAATTTAATATAACTGATGATGATAGTGTGTCATGGTCAGAATTAAGACAAAAATTTGTGTTAGCATTGAAATGTAGACGTGGGGAATGCATAGCCGGTGCAACTTGAGCTGATAGCGCCATGGCAGTGATGGGTATTATTAGTTAGCCGTCAAGGTAGAGTAACAACATTAATGAAAAAACCCCCAAAATTTAGAAAAATAAGTTCATAGTGTGAACTGTATCCGGTTCAGATTTCAGAAGAAGCATCCATTTGCTGAAAATTTTCTCCTTTCCAACCACACATCACATGTAATGCCGGGATTTATTAGTTCCATACTACTTATTGCATTCAGCTAGAAAAAGCAGGTTCAAGATTATGTGATTTTTAAACAAGCATAATTTTATATGTGCTCCCATCATTCTTTATTCTTTTTAATTATAGCTATAGGAGGCTTTCTATTATAGAAATGACATTTCCAAAAATATATAAAACAACAATGTTATTTTCGGATAAATATAAAACTTTATTTGGGTAGAATTTAATATTTTGAATATGTTTTAAAATTTAAATGATGTGAAAAAGAAGTAAGAGTTAGAGTGAGAGTTAGAGATTAGATTACAAGATAACTTTCATTCACATATCATGGGAAAGCACATACCTACCCCCATCGTGAGAATAAACTTTGGAGGCGTTTGGTACTGTAGAAATTTTTTTGTATCTTGAAATTATGATTAACTGGAATATAGTTAGAACAAAAATTGTCTGGAAATTTTATGAAAAAGGTGTTTGGTAGGACAAAATATTACCAGGAATATTGGTTAATTTTTTTGAAGAAGTGTTTGATTGAAAACAAAATATTGCTGGGAATATGATAAAATTTTACGAAAATACCCTCCTAAAGAATAACTTTTATAAAAGACGATTAACACACAAAATAACAAAACAAAACGCAAAGAACGACCTGCTGCATCGTTGGCGAGGTGGTTTCATAAAAGACTGATGCGAGGTTCAACAAGTTTCGGTCGGACACTGTAGTGCAGCACGATGGAGAGGTGGTTTCAGATTTTGTGAACCACAGATGGGTCTCCGTAGGAACTTTCGTTGGAGAGCCTCATTCATGTTCACCACAAATCCATTTTTTGGCACAAATGATAAGCTAGGGTTCCGAGGGTACTTTAGTCTGAGAAATAGCATGCAAAGAAACCAAGAAGTGGGAACACACAATTACCATGTTCTAAATGGTAATTATAATTCAGAATCGGTAGTGTAAAATGGTTGCCGAGGAATAAACTATACCCAGTAAATTTTATGTTTTTCTTCTATCAAATGTGGAAATAAATAATTCTTACTTACACTTTTCAGGACATCCAAAATATTACTCCATATCAAACAACACCTTCAAGTAAAAAAACATGGGAATGTTTCTTTCCTCATAACGAATAATGCCTAAGAATTTTTTTTTTTAAAACTTGTACCAAACAACGGGATGTCATATTGCCAAATTGAATAATAACTTGAAAATTCTTAAAATAAATTCACTCTTAAAAAATATGAATTGTTTCATTTCATTTATCCTTTTAAAAAAAATTAATGAAGCATAATTTATTTTCTCAAATTTATTATTAGTACTAATAAGCAAGAGAAAAAATATATAAAGAAATAAAATTTGACGCGCATATTTTTTAGCTAGAATCTAGCCATATTTCAAGTTGGCTTTGGCACAGTTCCATATTATATGATATTGTAAATTGTATGTGATCTGGACAAAATATAGAAGGCCCATTGGAGGCCCAATAACATACAAAAAAGCCCAATCTCATGAAGGGTCCAGAACTAAGCGCGATGGTTATCATCGCGCACATAGCAAGATGTGATGCCCCCATCGCGCATAGAGTCGCCCTTTGGCATAAACTCCAGGAAAGAGGAAGCTAACTTAAGAACCAAGGCAAGTCCACCGTGCCTTTGAACTAATAGACAGAGGACAGTACCAGCTTGCCGCGACTCTATAGCTTGAAATTAAGAAGATAAGACTACTCACGTTCTAGCCTGACCTGCAGCTCAAACCCGGCCAATCAGAGGTCATACAGCCTTACTAAGGCGACATCGTAACCGCTATATAAGCAAATGGTACAATACCCAGGTACATTGATCCTTTACATTAAGAACATACAAACTCATGCCTCTAATACTGACTTAAGCATCGGAGTGTCTTTGCAGGTACCCCCCATTTGGATTCATCGCGCTAGCAAAGGATAGAGACATAGTGATATCCAACTGCAACTCCAGGACCACGACCAAGAACACTATCCACATCTCAACCGTGTGTGATTAGGCTTGATACATATTGGCCAGCCCATATTGTATTTTGTCTGATCAGTATGCAATTTTATAAAAATCGGACTGACCTAGCCAGGTCGATCAAGAAATCAATGAACTGGTCTTATAATTGGTTGATTTTCATATTGGACTGGCCATGTAATGAAACTAGTACGACCCAGTCGATTTTTATAAAAATCCATGACCCGATCATGAAAAAAAAAACTAATTTGTTCTCACTTCTTATTAATTGATGTCTTTCTTTTTTTACTCACACACAAATGATTTTTTTTTTTTGAAATATTTGAGTGATCTGTTGCTTATTGAGTTATATAGGTTATGTACCTACAAGGCTACAACACTAATTATTATCTTGGTCATGTAATATGCAGCAAATTTTTATTTGATCTATATTTAGAAATGTCGTCTACTAAACTTGAAGCACTAGTATCACAAGTATTATATGTTTGATTGATCTTTTGTTATACTATGATGTATAATTTATTATTTTTTATATTAAAATATTTAGAATTGATATTATTGTTTTTACAGATATTTAAGTATATTTATAGTTTTGTTAATATAAATTAGAGATTTTTACATATACCTTTTTTTTTTGGTAAAGAGATTTTTACATATACTTACTGAGTCACGTGGTCAAACCAGTGGTCAAACCAGTGATCCATTGATTAAACCAGTGATCTAGTGATTCAATATCTCGATTAGATTAATAATTGGGCCAAGTTTAATAACATTGCTTGTATGACTTAATTTTTTTTATAAAAGTATCAATTAATCATTGACTTAAATAAATAGTTATGCATGATACTAAAGTATTGCTATTGACATAGTTTATTTAATTTAAAATTTAAAATTTCGCTTAATTTCAATTTCTTCATTCTAAAATCTCGCGACTTAGTTATACTTATTACTTATTAGCTAAATCCGTACATTCTTTTCAAGTCTTGAGTCAGCTTGATTTTTACTCTCCTCTTAATTAGGCCATGAAAAAGTCAACATTGGGATAGGTCAAATCTCATATCTAATCAAAAGCACCCCTAATTATTACAACACCACCTATTAGTTAACATACATTTATTAAGGCATCAGTTAGCCAAAAAGAGAGAGGGATAGAAATTTGTTGATACCCGTCTTTTGTTTTTTAAGGTAACATATGACATTTTGATTTATTTGAAATATAAATATAAATTACTTTGATAAACAAATCATAAAATATTACCAACCAATTACTAACACATTAATACTCTCAGAGAAACAAAGTATACGGATAAAATCTTCATTATATTTGAGTTATATTTATCTCAATTAACATGAGATAAACTAAATTTCTACTTATACATAATAAAGATAGATTCCACCTTTATTTTTTTTTCTTGAATTATTTGTAAGTCCCTCTTATAATTTTATTTTACTAATATAAAATAACTCATCTCCAATAACATAAGAAAAATATTTTCATTTGTTCTGATTTTTTAAATGTGGGGGAAATACCTTACAAGTGAAACTTGCTAATACTAATATGAAAAATAAAATCAGGTGTCCTTTAATGGGTAACATCATTTATAGTTTTCTAGCTGCACTCAAGAGTAATTGTACCAACCCTCCGTAACTGGCGGCCAATACCTACCTCCACTTGACTAGCTTGATCAAATTAACGGTGTCAGGCAGGTGTGCAAGGCTTAGCATCAGCGGCCAGCCGGCCACCCCTCTCTAGATTTTAATTTGTATATTATTTTATATGTAAAATAATATTTTTTAATAATTATTAATTATTAATATTAATAATTAATTTCCCCTTAAAAAATATTTATAATAATTAATATCTCTTATTAATCTTAATAATATTTATAATTTTTTAAAAAAAAAACTCACCCTCTGTTATGAAAAATTCTGAATCCACCAATAGCGTCAGGCATCATTCCCAACAGGTGGATTTTATTTGCTAGTGCTCATAAATAACAAGGAAAATCGTGGAAAAAAAAGTTGTCATTTAAAAAAATGTAAATTTATATTATTTTAAATGAAATTATTGTGCTTTACTAATTTTTATCTTCTTTCACCTTCACAAAACTCTCATGAAAAATCACTAAACATGTATCAAAACACACAACTTGTGTTGACAAATATTTTTCAAAAAATAAATAAATAATAAAAACAGAAAACTATATCCGACAAACTTACGACTAATCCACAATTGCTGCCAAGATCAGGATAACAATAACTATAATCTTAACAGAAATCAACATATCAATATCATTAACAAATAACATAATCAATAAAAGAATCGACAGAATCTGACGAGTGAATAATAAATTACAGACGAGAAATATATGTACAAAAGCAATCGCAAACGTTCTACCAAAAATGCAGGAAACAAATACATGACACCAGCTACCACGGATGATAAAACATACCATGAAATCACTCCAAAGATCTCCAGCGTCGCAATACTATTGAATCACCATCAGCGTATCACACATCGTATAAGATATGGCTCTTACTAGTAGCTGTATACAACAGCCTGCAGAAGAAATAGTCAGAAAACTATAGCAACATAGGACGGCCGACAATCAATCCACACTGCAAATGCACCAAATCATGACCCCAGTAGGTTCATGTTATTTTATCCTTCCTAGATGCTAGGAGAACATGTTCTCTTACATCAACCTCAACGGAAAAGTCAGTGTTCAACATAATCTGAACCATGTATAAGGATCAGATGTTCATCCTCAATGCCCTTCATCAAATCCTCGCCAATGTACCATGTTAAGGACCCTTCACCAAATAGCAAAGTAACCATCACTTGATTAGGTTTAGTCCTTGTAAAGAAATCAATCTGTGCTACAAGGGAGTCTAAGAATAATTGGCAAACTACTGAAAATAAGAGAAAAGAGACATAAGCTTATACCGTGTGTCTTATTATGTGGTTAGTAGGTAGTAAATAGAAGCTACTATCATGAATCCTAGTTACGGTAATTACATAATTAAAGGGAATTGGGCCCAGACATCTAAAGCCAACTAGCAGTAATACACAAATTTCGAACAACAAAAAAATCGATAATTGGCAATTTGGCATGCATCTGATTGAAATTAACATGTAGTTGTACCTTGCATGTTAGATTGTTCTTGTTCCCTTGTCACATGCAATATGATTGTTCCTGAAAGAACAATTAGGAATCCACATATCTCAGAGGCTATGCTGCTCACATTCTGACCAGACCAATCCTGCATAGAAAATTAAAGCAAGCAAAACGTCAAGCTTGTCCTACTGTTCAACAAAAGAAGCCCTTTGATATAGCATCAAAGGAATCAAATAATATGAATATATCACCATACCTTAAACATTATCACACTAGCAATGATAGTCAGAATTGTGAACATGACATAATATACAGGAGCAACAACTGCTGCGTTAAATGTATCCAGTGCCTGAAACATAGTTGAATAGTGCAAAATTGCTCAAGATTAGAAGAAAATCAAGGGAGCTAAGATAAACCTTAGATGCTTGATATGCAAAGTGGTATTATATTAGAATTCTATCAATCTGTTTGTAACTTAGTCTAGAAATAGTAAACTTTGGATCATGGACATTCCCAAGAATAACACAGCCATTCAAAAGTTTTCATTTTACACTTCTATTCATTAATTTCAATGGGTAATAGGATATGGATCCTCTCATGTTAAAAAAAAACATGACATGGTCATACGGGGAATCATAACCATACAAAGGTGGATCAATGGTGATAAAGGAAGAGAGAAAAAAATATTGAAATAGATAGTAACAAAATTATAATCGTTGATTCACCTTCGTATAGTTGTGATCTTCCCATGTGACCATGTTATTTTTTTTTTAACACGAGAGGATCCATTTCCATGGGTCATGTATTTAAGTTTGTATGTAGTTCAATAACTCAATATTTTCATTCACAACAAAATAAAAATTAAAAAATAAAAATAAAAATTCAGAAAGATTGATCTGATGCCAACTACAGTCATATGTTCCTATCAAGCACAGTGCATCATTTTGCTCTCTGTAAATAACCATTTTACCTAAAAGCTCAAGTTGATAAGTGAAGGCCCATCAATGATTTTTTTATATTATATCTCTCTAACACACTCTTAATAACTTTTTACCATAGCTGAAATGTTATCAAGTATCAACAAGTAAAGTGGAGCCTAATTGATAATATACTTTATACAAAATGCTTTAGAATTAGAACTACTTTTGGGGCATGCAACATTCTTATTCTCTGAAATCTCCACAGGCATGGCATTTGGAAATCACATATAGAACTATTACTACTCACCAGTAATCTTGAATAGCTTTCATAATTATCTAAGGGTTAGAAGGGAAAGGTTCTGACTTGCAAGCCAGAACTTTACAGAAAACTGAGTTGTATCATGACAATTCTAATGAAGCACATGCTTTTCTCTTTAGAAGCACAGTTTGGAAGGGCCAAGGCGTTGGATATAGATGTAGAATGTTTCACTTATGAGTGAAGATGTTAAAAGTCTATATACAGTTTATGTAAGCGTAGAATCAGCCAATGCGCTTATGGAACTTTGATTTGGGCAGTAGGAGCTAGGAGCATAATTTAAATGAGTAATTTCATATTCATGGTTAATTATTTCTCCATATAAGCATACTTTATTCCTTGTTCATGAAGGAAAGCATCCACATGCAAAATTTCCCATTCAATTGCGTCTGGTATATATTAAGTACATAGGGACATTTTGATGAACTATCAGTATCAAGTTAGGACTGCATTAATTGCCATTTTTGGAATCTACTATGCTAAAATTGAAGACTTCCAAAGTGAATTGCTCTCAGAAACTTTAGTGTGGTTCCTTGTACTGATGTTGGAAGCAACAAGAACGTTATGACATGATTCCATGGCCGTGCACACTTTGGCTACAATAATTCCTTAAATCCAACTATCAAAACCACTTCAGAAAAGATTTTAAAGAGATGATTAGTCATTTGCAGATCATATATGTCATGGGCATGGTCGGTGGGTCGGACATGCACAAGCTTCTACTACAACCAGTACTGAATAAAGAGAGACAACATTAATGAGCTTGTGGAAGGTGGCCAATATGTGGAGTGTTTAAACAAATGTAGAAAAAGGTGACCTTCAATACACTGATGAACAATAATTTACAGTTTCAATTATGAGTTGCATCAGACTAAATTTGATAACTATGTACTCACCTTGTTCAGGTAATTCAACTGTGTAATGACACATATGGCAGCCACTGTAAAAAAGAACCAAGTTTGAGGACAAGCTATTTGACTAATTCCCTCTACAGTAAGCTTGATTGCAATTCCAATGGCTTTTATGCTCATTACCTGAATAGTTTAGTATATAATTAGTTTGTGCATTACAGTATCAATATGAAACTTCCATCAAAGAAATTGGTGAAAACATAATTACCGTAAGTGAGCCCATTAATGAACAAATTCCCAAGTAGATTAGCATATTCGTCTGTCCATAGTGAGGTTCAAAATGCAAAATCAAAGCTAAAACTACTGAAACTGTTGCCGCCACATAAACTAGAAATACTGTTGAAACAAAAAATGAGATTATGAGAATATTAGTTAATAGAACCGGAAAGGAACTTAATAAAGAGTAAATCAAGGCTCCCAACTTAGCGAAAATAAGGCAAGGGTCGATTGTAATCAGCCTTGTCCTTGCAACCTTAATATAAGAAATAAATAAAACACGATAAAAAGAAACCTGGTTGAGTGGCCAGATCCCATATTTCTTGCACAGAACTTGGACTGTGCTCTTGAGGTGCATGGATGACTATAACAACTGAACCCACAATGCAGGACACACATCCCAAAATCCCCATCTTCTGAAGCTTTTCCTTCAGCAAGAAGTGAGCCAAAACAGTACTAGCAATGCACATTGAATTAGTTTCAACAGAAACTCATAATATTGAAACATTCACTGATTCACCAGACCTATAACTATTTTAAAGCACATGTACCTGACAATAATACTTAGTGCACCAAGGGGGGTAACCAGAACTGCAGGAGCATAGATATAAGCCACAAAGTTTGCAATCTCCCCAATAATCACTGTCACCAATTAGTTTCAACTTTCAAGATGCGTATAAGTCTCACTTCAAGCATACTGATAGAAGGAGAAACTTCCTAAACTTACTTGTTACCATGCCAGCCCACCAAAGTGGCTCTAATAGATAAGTATAACCGCCAACTCCTGCAAATTTCATACATATTTTAATGAGGCGTAAGTAACGTTGACAAAGAGAACAGCCTAGAGATCATTTGACCCACAACACTGGCTAGAAGGTTTCAAGAGATACGATTGGATCGGTGAAAAAAAGAGTAATTTCAGGCACCCCTTTTCATCCCCAGCTCTCGATCAATTTTTAGATAGATTTTAAGATGTAAAGTCACATAACAATAGTTGACCCAAGGTTTGCTTCAAAACCAGAAGAGCCTATGAAGATTGAAGCACGGTACACTATTTTGATTGAAGAAAACATATATAATTTTTTCTTTTTTTACCATAAAAATTGAAAAAATGAGTAAACCGCGATCAAGGAAATCTGAAGTGTTAAGATATAAAACCATGGTTCTTTACATGAAGATTGGAAAGGCAACAAAAAATAAATAAAAATTGATGAAGACCTGCACGAGTGCCGTGAGCAGCAGCTCGCTTAAGACCCTTCTTCTTCAAGATGAAGCTTGCCCCTATGAATGCACTTGAAGCCACCGCCAGTATCAAACCTTTGCCATTCTCTGCCATCTTCCACGGCCACACTGGACCGCTGGATGATGGACCGGGCAATTGTCTCGATGATTTCCTCTTCGTCTTCTCCGAAGTTTCTTGTGATCCTCTGCTTCGCGACAATCCAACCTCACATACACACGCCTTTCACACGTCGTCGTTGATCCATGCCCAATCTGCGACTCCCTTCTCATTCTTAATTGTCTCACTATCTATTCTTTTCTCTCTTTTTTAATACATTTATCTTTTCTGAAGCATCTTAAAACTTGTTTGTAAGAATATCCGGCCTCATGATTCTAGTAAAATTCATCAACATTTACGTAAGATTTAATAAACTTTTTTAAAGTCACGTGGGAAAGGGGATACATACTAAACAAATTACGAGATTAAAATTAAGTTTAAAATATATTTTATTCCTTATAATTTTCATAATCCAAATTCTAAATATATTTCTTTTGTTTTAATTATGACAAGCATCTGTTCTTATAATTTTTATTTGGTTACATGTTAATTCTTATATTTTTATATATAAAAATAAATAATTATTATTTTTAGACGGTATAATTCTACAAAAATATATATTAGGACGAAAATGACCTTAAAGCTGAAAACATTGACGTAAAGTATCCCAAATTTATTGAAGGTAGCTCAACTCATCAGTATTATGATCACAAGACACACAAGACTCCACCCCATGAACAACATCCTAAAATCGGAAAAAGATGGGACTCAGTAGACTGATTGAAACTTCTTAAGAGTAACACTAACACAGTTACCCCAAAGACACTGGCAAACCCAGAATTTCAAAAAAGAAAAAGAAAAAAAGAGAGAGATCAACGGAAACAACATCAGTTAGAAGATACAAGATACAAGATCAGAGCCACCATAAAGTCTGCTGTTAACATCGATTAAGAGAGTTGACCGCAGTCAGCGATCACCACGGGCTTTGAGGTTCTGCCGGAGCTGGACCCCACCTTCTCGATCTCCTTCACCACACCCATGCCCTCCACAACCTGACCGAAAACCACGTGCTTCCCGTCCAGCCACGCCGTCTGCGCCGTGCAGATGAAGAATTGAGATCCGTTGGTGTTGGGACCCGCATTGGCCATCGACAAGATACCTGGACCGGTGTGCTTCCTGGTGAAGTTCTCGTCAGCGAACTTCTCGCCGTAGATTGACTCGCCGCCGGTGCCGTTCCCGGCGGTGAAGTCACCTCCCTGACACATGAAGTCGGGGATGACGCGGTGAAAGGCAGAACCCTTGAAATGGAGAGGCTTGCCGCTGCGACCAACTCCCTTCTCGCCTGTGCAAAGGGCGCGGAAGTTCTCGGCGGTAACAGGGGTGGTGTCGGCGTAAAGCTCCATGACTATGCGACCGGCGGGTTGTCCTCCAATGGTCATATCGAAAAAAACCCTAGGGTTTGACATTGTTACCTACAAGAAGTGGATCAAATTTGGGAAGACAAGAGACGAAAACGGATTACAGAGTTAAGTTTTGGTGGGAGGAGGACTGACTGGTATGGTATATATAATGGCCCGTTACGTTGTCTTGGGGAAAGGCCGTTCTATTGGAGCACGTGTCGCATAGTGAGTAGGTAAAGTAACTATAGTTAAGTTTGGGAACTAGGGTTAGTGGGGCGGATCCAATTCCAAAGGAGAAAATGGCCCAAAGCAAAGGGTACTTACTTCGAACTTATCCATTAGCGTGGAAAGGAGAAGTGAAAACACAAATTGCACGAGGGGTACCTTTTTTTTTTTTTTTTTTTAATTTGATGGAGTGATGTGACGAAATGGAGAGTACACTGTACAAGTGTCGTTCATTCATGCTGCCAAATAAATGTGCACAGTGATTAAATTGTAGAGTGACAATCTGCAAAAGATTCAGTGGCTTAAAATTTTAGGATTGATATATTTTATGTGATAGAAAATAAAATTATTATATATATATATATATGTAAAAGTATATGAAATTTTTATATTTTTTTTCCACATATTTCTATATAGATTTTGCAGGCACGTGTGTGTATATATATAAAAGATAAAATTATTTTTTATGATATAAGAAATATGACACCTTATATTTCTTTCAAAAATGTAAAAGTATAAGATCCGAAGCTGATGAGGAAATGAAAGGTGACTTGCTTTAAATTTTTCTTTTTATAAGTTGGACTTTTGCTGCGAAGGACTAGAATTTGCTCCATACATGATCGGAAATTACAAAGTGGTTTTATCTGAATTTAATTGTCCTTGTTTTAAACGTTTTCTGGGTTCAACTCTGATAGAACCACACTACACAATTTAGATTGCAACGGTTGCTATAGAAAATAATTACGCGTCATCACGGATTGGGTATTGTTATGACCCAATCCAAGGGCCAAATGAGGATAAATAATTAAGAGAACAATAAGAAAAGATTCCTAAAAAAATATTAATCTCATCGCATCCTCATCATAAAAGATCTAAAATTCCATTATCCTGTTAAATTTTATAAATAAGAAATAAAGCTTAAAAAGATATAGTTATTCTCTCTCTATAGCTTTTACTATACATTCATCTCATATTCTGGCAACATTATTATTATAGTGCATCTTCTTAACATAAATTGTATTTCTCTCGTTAATACTTGAGAGAGCATACAAATTCTACAAAAAGTCATTAATCTTTGACTAAACATCGAGTATATTCATGAAGTTAGTAACTTCATTGGACGCAAATGAAATTCATTTAATTTAAGTATTTGGTTTTAGAAGAATACAATCCGATTATTAATAGATCGTGTAAATTTAAATTCATTGAAATTTATTCAATTCAAATCCCCATTTTTTATTTTCTGTTTTTTTAAATGTTTTTAAATTACAAATATACATAAATATACGTACAATCTATTTTCGACGACTCCACCTAAACCAACTATATTTGATCAAGATGGTTTTGTTTACATCAGTCAATTTTATTTTTTTTTAAAGAAATATATACCATATAAAGAAAAAAGACTGATAAGTGTGCAGCCCTGCGGATGATATTAATTAATCTTTAAATATGTACAATATCATTGAAATTGCATTCAATAATGAAACTCTTTTGGTGGCTGTTGCACGAACGAAGATCGTGACGATCACTTGAGGAACTAGTGCATATACCATTCCAGTTCATCATCCAAAAGAAAATCCTCAAATTTAAATTACCACAATCACACAAATTGCGCAATTTTTTTTTTTTTTTTCAGATTGTGTAAATTGCAATTTGCAAGCCAGCTTTGGCGATATTTGACGCAGGTAAACATTACGTTGTCTTGGGGAATGGTCGTTCGATTGGAGCACGTGTCACACTGTGAGTAGGTAAATTAACTATGGTTAAGTTTGGGAACTAGGGTTAGCCAGGCTTTGTCTAAGGAACGCCGCCGCCTTATGTTTTAACACTTTTTTTTTAATTTAAATGTTTATTTTATTATTATCCATGAGCGTGTGTAAATTAAAGGAGAAGTGAAAACACGAATTCCGCGAGGGGTAATTTTTTTTTTAATTTGATGGAGTGATGTGGCGAAATGGATAGTACACTGTACACGTGTCGTTCATGTTCGCTACCAGATAAATGTGCATAGTGATTAATTTGAAGAGTGACCACATAGAAAAGATCGAACGGCTTGTATATTTATTATTAATAAATAATATTTTTAATGAATAGTAAAAATTCGACGATTCGACCTAAACCAATTGAAATTTGACAAAGATGGTTTGGTTTACATCAGCAAATTTTGTTTAAAAAAATATAAGAAAAAATATTTATCTCTTTACTTGACACAACTTGTGTCATTTCACTTTCGTAAAGAGGTGAGATTTACATTTTTATTTTTTTTTGTCAACTCTCTCTCCTTCTTTATCTATTTCTTTCTCTCTCTTAAAATGACACAATTTTATATTATTTAAAATGACACATATTTTTATCAAAAATGTATCTTACTTAATGGATTTAGACCAAAAAATGACGTAATATTTATTACTTTTAAGATAGAGATAGACATAAAGAAATATGAATGTTAAAAAAAAAAAAAACAAGAAAAATAATAATTTATTTCTTTATGTGTCTCTCTTAAAAGATCATAAATATACCTTCTTTTAAAAATACACCTACTCTCTTACTAAAAAAAAAATACACCTACTTTTTCCCTTCATTAATATTCGGCTGAAGTTTATGCAGCGCAAAAATGAGTGAGAGACGTTGACAATTATCAATTAACCTTTAAATATGTGCAATATCATTGAAATAACATTCGATAATGAAACACTCGATGACTGTTGATTTGTTGAACGAACGAAGGTCGTGACGATCACTTACTTGAGAAACTAGTGCACATACATCCCATGCCAGTTCATCATCCAAAAGATTCTAAAGAAAATCTTCAAATTCAATTTACCACCAATCACATAAATTGCGCAACTATCCGTAATTTTCTTTCAGCTTGTGTAAATTGTAAGCCACGTTTGAACTTTGAAGTATGGTTAGAACCATGCATTTGGGTTTTGGACCAAAAAGAACAATGGCCATTTTCATCTTCCCTATCACCTTTGTTTATGGCTATGAAGCACCGACACTTTAAAAGTCTTGACGTGTCGTGTCTGACACTTTCCGACACTCCCCGACATTCCATCACGCGTTATACAGATTTAAAAAAAGGTTCTAAGATTGCGTTACATTGAGTTTTTAGTTCCAACTATTAGATTCGTTGAATTACGGTTGCCATTTTATTAAATTTAATATAAATATTTAGGATATCTTATATTTCTTTGCAAAATTGATGAATATTATAAGTTTAGTTTAATTTTTTTGTTAAATTATTGAATTTTAGATATAATATACACTACATAAATTAAAAATATTATTTAATATCAAAACGTGTTCTAACGTGTCGAAATCAAACATTTTTTAGAATTAACGTGTCGAAATATCGTGTCGTGTCGTGTCACGTATCCCCACGGATCAGGGCCCTACCACCACTGTCTACGACAATCATGCAACGCGCATTACTTATAAATTATGCCCAACCCTCCATAATCGATAACATGCTTTTCTCAAAAAGAAATTATGCTTCAAATATGTAGAATCACTAAAAGAATGGTCATTACAAAATTCACATTTATTTATTTATCAACACGGGGAATATGCATAGCTAGTAGTGGGAGAAAAAAAAAAATGCTCTAGCTAATTGGCACTATGAAATTCTGAAAAATTGATGTCTCCACTTTTTTGTCCATGACAGATGTCAGATGAAACCCTCAGCTTGAAGCAATTCAGGGTAGACACGAGCTATCATTACTGTCAATCAATAAATCTTTAATGAACCGAAGATTTAGTGCAACTTTCACTTATTCTGTGATACGTGAATAAAAAATATCATATCATTTGAAAAAAGTTGAAAATTAAATAATAACTTACCAAATAATATGATATTTTTTATCTATGTATCACAAAATAAATTACAATTGCACTAAATATTCGGTGCATCAGTTGCTAGAAAGGTTTATGCGGTGTGGAGGAGTTACTAATTACTAGATGCTTAAGAACAGCATGGCGTGACTAGCTAGCTCGCCAGCAAAAAGAATCTATAAGGATGGAATGCAAAGGAAAAAAAACGACAAAGAAATATCCTTCTGCGGAGAGCGTAGCTCTGATATCCTTTCATTATAGTGGAACAAGAGAAGTTTTATTTCTTAGCGGCTTCGCATCACCACTACACTTTCCACTCAGGCTAGTCCTAATTAATTGTCCTACCCTGCAAATATAAGAGCTACAAATAATAAAAGAAGTCAAAATTGCTTCTAACAATGCTGAGCCTAGTGAAAATTCCTACACCCATTCGTTTCATTCCACTTTTTTTGATTTTGATCTCTTGCTGCATTCGTTTTACTTTATTAGCAGATTCTTGGTTTCTTTTCCCTTTTAAACCTTTCTATTACTGTAGAATTTTTACGATAACTTGTTAGTCGTTTAGGCTATTAATTGTTACTTTAGGCTTCTTGACCGTGGGACCTAATTTAATTTTAATTTTGCCCTTTTTTCACCCTAAGGGTTATATGAGAGACAAAAGATTAAGTTTTGATATTAGTAAAGCACAAAAGTGATGCGACAAGAACAATATATAAAAACACATAATTACACTTACCATTAGATTTTGATCATTCAGAATCCTTTATCTATACTTTGAGAGAGCTTATTATTTCATTATTCTTTGCACGTGATTTTTATTCAGATTTTTGTTGTAATTTCTTTAAGAAGGGGTGTTTGATTTATGTTTGTAATCATTTAGTGACTCAAACAAGTTTATCATGGAACGGAAATCCTAAAGATGTATAGGTTAAGAGAGTGATCAAGGTTGATTAAAATTGTGGTAAAACTTCATTGTATAATGATTTTTAAGCACCAATTAAAGTTCTGAGATGACAGTGGAATTATTATTGATGGGACTGCGTTCCAGCCCATCTTCAACGTTATGACTGATGGAATATTGTTGTTTTTGCGTTCCCGCATTCCATAATAAGAGGAATAGGAGTGAAAATACAAGAAATTTTAATCTCAATGAATAAGTGAGGAGAAAAGTGAAAAAAAGAGAGAAAAAAGTGCAAAAAAAAGAGAAAATAGATGACTTGTACTTTTAGTTACTTTTTAATTTCACTGACTCTTACTTTTTGATTTTTGCAAGGTATCTACTAACCTTGCAATCATGGGGACAATGATCATATTGTCACTTTTTAGACAAAATTTTACCTGATTGCCACTTCTGAAATTTTTTTTGCCAAAATGCCATGCCTGAATCCCGCTGGCCTGACAAGCGGGAATAGACTGGACGTGTCAGCGTCTGAATGGTCAACCATTCTCGCTGGGCTGCCCATCTAGAATGACAGAATGCTGACACGTGGCAAAAGCACAGGAATCCAGAGAATGCCTGTGCTTTTGCCACGTGTCAGCATTCTGTCATTCTAGCTGGGCAGCCCAGCGAGAATGGTTGACCATTCAGACGCTGACACGTGTCCAGTCCATTCCCGCTTGTCAGACCAGCGGGATTCAGGCGTGACATTTTGGCAAATTTTTTTCCAGAAGTGGCAATCAGGTAAATTTTTATTAAAGGAGTGGCAATATGATCAATGTCCCGCAATCATAACCCCAAGCCATAAAAGAGGTGGAGAACTAACATGATCATAATTGGTTACAAGAGAGAAAAAGGTAAGGACAACTCAGCAATTCACATCCATCCGATCCAAAAAGAATAAGAGTCCCTTTGAACCAACGGTGGAGAGAAAGAACCTTGTTAATCACCAAAGTGCCATCATCTAATCACCGTAAAAAGAGGAACAAAAGAAGGCAGGAGAGATTCTTTTCTTGAACCTGTCTCTGAATTCTTTCATCCCCACGAGTCCCCTCGGGCACAAATTTCCATCTTCGTTCTTTTTCTATTTTCTGCAAGTTATTTTCATCCCATGTTTTCTTTGTTTGAGTCTTTGATTTTTTTGTTTTCTGTTGATCTTCTTCTTCGACTGGAATTTCGAGAATCTATAATGAGATTTCAAGGAGTTGAGGTTTTTATTGTATTTCTAACCATGCCTTTAAGCATGATATAATTTCCTTTTGGAATGGATAATCTGTACAGTTGTTACTACTGTAACCGAATTTCAATTACTTTTTTTTTTTGATACATTGAAGTAAAGAACTTCAGTTACTTAATCCAATGAATTTATGGTGTTTTGTGTTTTATTGGTTTGTATTAATAAAAATTGAACAAATCTGATAGAGTAACTTCCATTAGGAAAAGGGTCTTTGGTTAGAAAGTGAAAGTGCGGAAACACTTTCACTTATTGCCTTATGAATAAGGAGTTCCCAAGTTCACTAAGTTACAGTGCAATGTAAACGATGGAACCAAACCGTAAGGGAACGCGGGGTTTCATACACCAATTAGCCCAAGAACTTGAGTTATCAGTATTGACAATAAAAGTGATATGAACAAATCCATTGGATGAGGTAATGAGATTAAATGACAACTGGTTTTCAGTTGATCAGCGCATATATTCCTTGTTTATCATTTAATGTTCCACGTTTCCTTTTTAATCTTTTGATTCCGAAACTCCGCTAAAAAAAACCAATTTTTTTTTTTCAATTAGTGCATTTTCTCTTACTATTATAATTCACACAACCAATTGTTTCCATGATATGTCGTTCCTCCTTTCGAATGAATGATTGAAAATATATAATGATGCAAGAAATTGTTTAAAGCAATATGAATTATCATCACTATAATAGCTAGGAACGCAGATAATAGTTCATTTCTCTTTTCTTTTGAATTCCTAATTATTTTCATATAATTTATTATTTCACATTAATGATAGGTTTATGAGGTAAGATATCTTGAGTCATTTATATTTCGAATTATTACTTGGATGCATGAACTTTGTATGAGCATAATAGCTAAAATCTCGATTTATCAGTACGTTTTTATGATTTTACCTTTTACAATTTTTTTTTACCTAAAATCTCGTTTTTAACTACCTTGTGCACGAGTGTAATCATCATGGAATGTTTTTCTTGATAACTTGCACACCTAGCAAGTTTTTTTGGAGCAGTTGCCGGATATCGAACTCTATGGCGGAAATTTTTAGTTTAGTGCTTGAACTATCAATCACCCTTTAATTTAATTTAATTAAAATATTGACTATTATGGATATCATTATCATGGTCATGCAATTGACTGTACTTTAGCTGCTACATGGCCAAATTTGAATCTTACTAACACAATAACACGTAAGTAACAAATAACTCCACAAGTTCCGTAAATAATTTACATATATACTTGCACAAATTAACAGAGTAATCTTCATTCATAAATATCAATCCACCACATTTAACTTGATCTACAAACTTCAAACTTTTTCAAACAACATATTGCTCTATCATTTTCCCCCTCTACTTTCACTCTTCATGCTCCTCTGCTCACATTCTGCATTTAGGATTTTATTTGGAAACAACAAATTTCAACCTCCTTGCTAATACAGGAAGCAAAAAAGCAGATAGAAAACATGCATGTATCTGTGTTACTCCAAGTGCAATAAATAATAGCCTATGAATGAGGAGAAAAGGGAGGTACAGGAGGCCACTTTTCGAATTTTGGGTGATGGAAAAAGTACTTTGGAGGAATCTTGGGAAGAGGTGGACATGGCTTCTTCTTGAATGGAGGAAACTTTTGGAAAGGTGGAAGAGGTTTGAAAAAGGGTGGTACTTGGATTGGAACAGTAGGAGGAAGGGGCTTATAGACGGGAGTTGGAGGAGGAAGTGGCTTGGAAATGGGAGTGGGAGGAGGAATGGGCTTGGAGATAGGAATGGAAGGTGGAAGTGGCTTGGAAATGGGAGTGTGAGGAGGAATGGGCTTGCAAATGGGGGTGTGAGGAGGAATGGGCTTGTAAATGGGAGTAGGAGGTGGAAGTGGTTTGTAGATTGGAATAGGAGGAGGAATGGGCTTGGAGATAGGAATTGAAGGTGGAAGTGGTTTGTAGATTGGAGTGGGAGGAGGAATGGGCTTGGAGATAGGAATGGAAGGTGGAAGTGGCTTGGAAATTGGAGTGGGAGGTGGAAGTGGTTTATTGATTGGAGTGGGAGGAGGAATGGGCTTGGAGATAGGAATGGAAGGTGGAAGTGGCTTGGAAACTGGAGTGGGAGGTGGAAGTGGTTTATAGATTGGAGTGGGAGGAGGAATGGGCTTGGAGATAGGAATGGAAGGTGGAAGTGGTTTGTAGATTGGAGTGGGAGGAGGAATAGGCTTGGAAATTGGAATGGAAGGTGGAAGTGGCTTGTTAACTTTTGGTGGGGATGGCTTCTTGGTAATTGGGAGAGGTGGGGGAAGAGGTTTCTTGACTTTTGGTGGACAAGGCTTCTTGACAATTGGAAACGGAGGAGGTTTCTTATAGATTGGTACAAGTGGAGGAAGAGGTGCCTTAAAGATGGGCACAGGAGGAGGGAGAGGGTACTTTGGGAAAAACTTTGGTGGAAATGGTGGGAACACTTTAGGAGGGAAGGGGAAATGTGGTTTATGAAGCTTTGGGAAAGGTGGCAAAGGCATAAAAAAGGCTGAAGTGCATATCACTGTTGAGAATTTGAGTTTCCCAGCAGGCTCAAGGGTGTATTTTTCACCAGCTTTTGACTTAATGACAATTTTGTAGTGGTCCATGCCATCGTGGGCAGGGCAAGGTGTAGCTGATGCACTATGAAGACGGGCGTAGCATTCTTCTCTTAGCTCACCATCTTTTACAAGATCGTACGGAAGGGACACTTTGAAGTTTCCATTTTCATCAAGCTCACCAGTCCCTCTCGTTTTGAACTGTCCATTTGCTGACTTGCAGTCAACCGTCACACGTAGCCCTACACACAAGTAACGCACACGATTGTGTTACATTCTATAATTTGGCTTCATACTCGAATTTAAAACCAATAGCAGTTTATTCACATTATTACACTATTAATAGTAAGAGAATATCAGGAATTAAAAAGTAACTTGGTTGTGAATGCTTATCATGTCGTGCGTGGTAACAGAATCTTAAACACAACACGAAATTGGAGACATGATTGGGTCCTCTATCCGTGCTTATAAGTACTGATACATAGATGTAGTTAAAAGTAACATATTCATGTACTACTATGAGGCAATGTACCTGAGAAAGCCTGGTTAGTCTTCATATTATTCTCCTTGCAGTCTGCGCATTCTCCCAATCCAACTACCTCGATTGTCCTATGGACTCCGTCGCTTAAGCCTGTTACCACAAAAAGCAGAGACAACCAGAAGCACGCAAGTACTCCTAGGCGCTCGGTATAAATCTGCATAGGGAACTACAATTACGGTTCCCAATGCCAATAAACAATAACAGAAGAGAAAAGAATAAAAGGCACACTTGGAACTCTGAAACTAATAAGCTAGCTTCTATGGTTTGATGAAAGGTGCACACAGATTGAGATTCATAACCTTAATATATAACAATCATATGATTTTGTAAAATGGCTCACCGACTCTGAAATTAAGCACATCACATGGGGATATGAGTGGGATGCTCACAGAGAAAAAAGATATTGAAGTCCAAACCAGCAGCAAATGGCTTTATCTTTCATTGAATGCATCAGCGCTCAACCGCATGCCAAACTATATCTTTATGTGAAACAACACATGTCTCAATCTACTAAGTGGCTCTAATAAATGTCTTTCACATTGCACACTACTGAAATGATCATCTTTATGACAAAAAACCGTCTATGTTATGCTAACCCATTGGTTGCTTATACTTGAAAGCATTAAGATTAACTAAAAACCAAAAGAATTTCCGCACACCAAGCTTCGCGTGAAGGGCTTTCATACATCAACTCACTCAATTTATACGATGCCTCATCAAATTTTAAGATTTATCTGTTCCCGTATGGTCACACATGCATCTGTTATCAAAATTTGATGGTCATTCTCATTATTTCATCTTTAATCTTTCTGGAAGTCTCAATTAAACAATTGCATGTGAAGCGCCAAGTGGATTATTAATAGAACCGCAAATGTAGAAAAAAAGAAGATAATTCCTTAGAAACGTGACATTTGACTTTTGTGGTTCTCTGGCCAGCTAAGCTAGGAGTAGACGAAAAACAGAAAAAACGAGCCAACTAAAAAGTTGGTTTTTCTGCTGGAATACATCGACACTTAACGTAATGGTTACTATGTCATTTAAGAACTTAAGCTAATACTGTCCATGTCATTCACGGGACTCTCTTGATGATCGATCGTATCATTAATTACTACTGCGTGACGTGTCTTTTTCTAATAAACTGGGTGGCATTTAATTTCCAATTTTCAGACTAAAAATGTTTCTATTTTTATACGTTACTCAAATATAAACGGGAATCAATGTATTTGTATGTGTATGGATTGTGAGATGGAAAATGCTGTTTGGCAGTTTAATTTGAATTGACAGCTTGAACTCGGCTGATGTGGTCCTATTTTGATCTTGTGTGGTGTGTTGAAATGGTTAAATGGTAATAAGTGCATGGTCTCATCCTTCTCAATCAAAAAATACCTTGCCATCCCACACTTGCAAGCATCAACACAAACTGAAATGTTGATCTGACACAAGTTGCACTCAAAGAATATATGCCAAAACCAACACGTAATATAAGAAGCAAAGCAACGAATTAGCTCATCGAATAATAAGGTTTTCTATAAATTACCCGGTGTGCTTTTGAGAGAGAGTCTACGTTTGTGCATGCGCTGGTTGAGACAGGAAAGAGAAGAAAATGGAGTGGTTCTACCCCAAGAGAAGGGTTCCAGAATGGAAACAGGGTTGGACAGGGAAGACCATGGCCTCTGTTTCTGCACCTCCCCTTCATTTACTCATTATATTTGGCATTGTCATTAGCTTGATGTGGCTCTCCCAGTACAATGACTACAAGGCTCAGCTGCATTACACAGCCATCAAATTTCAGTTATTCCTCTTCTTCTCGTTCGCCCTCTTCATCTTTTTCATGATTTCACATTCCAACGGAGGAGGACTCGACTTTCACGCGTTCGGAGCAGAGAAGGATCCTAGGGGGAGGTCATATTAGATAAGAGGTTATTACTTCAACTTGACTTTCATCAGGCTTTACACCTATTATTTGAACTTTAGAGATCAATCTAATTACTCCAAAGAGATAGATCGAAACACTTGTATATTATCGCTAGACAATGTACTAGTTACATTAAACCGTGATAGCATTAGGTGATTTTAGGTGTCATAATACAAGTAACGAAAGGGTTAACCCAGTGGTTAAAGAATGCGTAGGATAATTTTCTTTCTTTCTTTTTCAAATGTATCGGACTTAAAAATTATAATATCCTTTAATATATATATATATATATATATATATATATATATATATAGGGCTTAACATTTCTGCAGCAGCCGTAGATAGTGTTATCTACAGCTGACACAGAAAAGTGGGCCCCATGACTTAAAAAAAAAAAAACTCAGGATCCATGGCCATATCCTAAGATCCGGACGCGGATCCTTGCTTGCTGTAGGTACAGCTGCTGCAGAAATCATTTTGCCATATATATATATATATATATATATGGGTTTAGGGTTTACTGTGTGTCTTTTTAAATGAAGGTAAGTTGTGTCCTCTTAATTTTTTACGTACTCCAGTAATACATAGTTATAATATGAAGAAAAAAAATTCACTTTTCTCGCCAACTAATGTGATTGAGAAGAGAAAAAAAAAATTTTTCATGTTATAATTATGTATTACCAGAAGTATACAGAGTAAAAAAAAAACTAAAAAGACCAAAACTAACTTTTATTTCATTTCTAACACTGTAATTCTTTGCCATATTTAAAAAACTACGGTTTTATATTTAAAACAGTTTATAGTCAACATTTGATTGAGATAGTAAGTTAGCATTCAAGTAATTACCAAAAAAAAAAAAAAAGTTAGCATTCAAGCAAAGTGACCAAAATGATATTTAATTTGATTTTTTTGTTTTTTTTATCAAACTTACTTAAAGATAAAATATCTCTTCTGTTTTCAAATGTCATAGGATGATTACAGCTGAATAAAGTGACATTAAAAATACTTGAGAAGGCAGGTTGAGTCTAGCGCAATTCAGCACCCTCAATAAAGTATTACTTATCTAAGAAAATTTTAATATATATATATATATATCAAGAAACTGATGATGGCGGAATTTCATTATTTTAAAACTAAAGGACAAACAAATGAATGACAATTCCGTTTCTTCCCCGTCTTTTCAGCAGAATACAGGCTCAAGTTTTGACTGCTAATAATAAGTATCATAACTAAGCAAGTAAAGGAGCTTTTAGTTGTTTACAAAAACAAAAAAGAAAAGGGAGCCTTTAGTTTTGATTATAATATAACTTTTATTTGAATCAATAATTATGCATGTAGCAATCTTATTTTTGAGTAAAAATTTGTGAAAATATGATTACCAAAAAAAAAAAAAAAATTTGTGAAAATATTAGTTTTTTTTTTTTCTCTCCCCCTGCCCTCGTTTAGGAAGGAATACGTTCATCAGAAGCACCTTAAACCCAATTCATATTCATACAGCAACATATTATATTCAACTGCATATTTACAACAATCACAAGGTTTGCATCAAAGTTTCATAGTTACTCTGTCTTTTCCCTAATAACTAATAAACACAGCCACCGTAAATTAAAACAAACCTATATATATAGAAAAACAAACCAGCTCAAATCAGAACACCAAATCAACCAAACCAGCTATCAAGGAAAGATGATTGATACTGCACCAATATCAACAAGAGAACGATCAAAGCAGCCACACCCCAAGGGGAGCTACCCTCTGATGGGAGGTAGTGGGTCCTCCTGCGCCTTTCCCATGGCGACGAGCTAAAGAACCAATCTGAAGTATCCATTGATGATAAACAACGAACTATGAGTAGTAGCACCACTGGTGTAGCAAAAAGTATCCAACCCAGTTGTTCTTCAGCAGCTTCAACAACTTCTTCATATGAAAAGTACCATGAAATGCCTAGGAATATGAAGATCACTGATAAGATAAGCAGAACAGGATAGGGCAGTGGATTTAGAGTGAACCCATCCAAAACAGATGAAGCTCTGCTTCTACCATAGGCCATTGAATTGGATGACGTTTGGAGTATCAGGAATAAGAACTAAGAAGTTTGAAGGATATGCACAAATCTTAGAGGATCTCAGCACTTAGATGAGTTGATGGCGTTCTTATTTAGGAAAAGACTAGTCTCCTGTCATGGTGTGTTTGCTACAGGAGAAATTTTTTGGTGACCGGGAATCATGATTAATGGGAATTCAGTAGAAATTGAATTTACTTGGAATCTTACGAAAGATGTGTTTGGTTCGCCAAAATATTACCGGGAATACTGGGTAAAAATTACTGATTCCATATTTGGTTTAGAACAAAATATGACTTGGAATATGAGGTTATTTTACAAAAATAACCCCAAACTATTTTTACTTTTGTAATTGATAGATTGGGTCTAGATTTTTATGTTTATTGAGGTATTTTTGTCTCAAAATTTATTGTTGTGCTTTCCCTTTACTTGGTATTCTGATTGGTATTCCGAATTACCATATTATTTTTGGTAATCTGAATAGTGACTTTTCTTTATAAATCAAATTACCGGTAATCCTTGGATATCCGGGAATCGTAATTTATTCCTTCTACCAAACGTGGTAATTACATTTACCAAAAAAGGATTACCGATAATCCTCTCCAAAAATTTGAACCAAACACCCCCTTATTGGAGAATAGCTCTGTTTTCTATACATACATCAATTTTTTATTTTTTTTTATAAATGACTGGACCTCGTCCATCTAATTTGAGTAACTAATTTAATGTGATAGTCAAAAGACCACGGTTGATGATGCTAGTTATGAGGACTACCCTTCTTAAAATGGTCATTGCAAGAGGAAAATAGGACATACCACATGAAAGTGTTGCTTTGTTTAGAGATTTAATTGATTTATTTTTTTTATAAACTAGGTATATCTTTTATGAAAAATAATTTTGTTCGAGCTGGAAATATAGATATTATGATAGGACTAGTTCTGAAAATTTTTTACTATCAGGAGAACAATGACCAAGCCAGGAATTTTTACGATAGGTCAAAAATAAAAAAGACTATATTATAAATAAAAATACCTAAAATATAATACATATCTAATATAAAAATATTTCATGTTTGACACAGGTTAAAAAAAATTTCTGACTCCACCCAGAAAAAGAATCATTTTCTCAAATACATTATTTATTGAGAAAGGATTCATTTACAAAATTTTTTTATAAATTTTTATAAATTATACTATGTACTTTCGGAAGAACGCAGTAACTTAGTATTCTTCCGGGAGTACATAGTATAGTTTGTAAGAGTTTGTAAACAAAAAATTTGTAAATATAACCCTCCCATTATTTATTTAGTTTAAATATTCTGATTTGTTGTTTCTGTTTCCCGTCTTTACTTCTGACAAGAGCAATAAATAAATACCATGCTTGTTAAAACTTTATTTCAGTGCATAAATATCATTGTTCCTATCCCCACTCCCATTATCTATATAAGTGAAGCAGTTATTTATTAAAAGAATAATTCGTTTACAAATTTTTTTTTATAAATTTTTATAAATTACATTATATACTTCTAAAAATATATTACTATTCGAATGTACTCTTTCAAAAATATATAATATAATTTGTAAAATTTTATAAATAAAAAATTTATAAATATGACTCTCCCTACTTATTCATTATAAAACAAAAAACAAAAACATGAGTGTATGTGTCGGAGTTCGTTTCAAGGTTTCAGTTTTGATAGAAAAACAATATCATCAAAGTGCAAGTTCAAGTTCTAACTTCAAAACTCACAGCACAAAAATGCCATTATAGATATATAAACTTTTTTTCCTTCAAATTTTAACGAGGGTTGGCGGTTCACCCTAGTCCCTCTAATTTCGTCTTTGCAGAAGAATTTGAACTCAAAATCTTGCTTAATTGAATTTAAACATATACCACTTAAACTAATTTCCTTTTAGTTTAATTAATTGTTTTTGGACAGGTAGCTAGGTTTGCACTTGAAGTTTGAATATTTTGGCTCGCAAGATCCGTATCATTTGATAGGAAAGTTTTGATACAAAAGTTTAGGAGAGAGTTCTACACACACACACACAAAAAAAAAAAAGTTTAGGAGAGAGAAAAAAAATTAACTAACAAAAAGCAACAATTTTTTATTTTTATTTTTTAATAAATATTTCGAACAATATATTTTCCCTGCTAAAATAAGCAAAGGTAGAAAATTATTTAACATAAGTTAAGTTGGTTTCGGTTGAGGGAATGATATATATCCATTGCCTATACTTTTAAATTTTTATTTAAATATTTGTTTCTAATTTAAATGTTATGATAGTTATAATTCTGATATGACCAATGAATACTGGATCCAAACAAATAGAGATCCCATCAAAAAAAAAAAAAAATCGAACCGCAGAAATTTAATTTTAACTTTTAAAATATATCAATTTATTTATACCAAAATAAAAAATATAGAAATTTATTTAAAATGCTTATAAAAATATTAAAACTTAATTGTTTTTCAATTTCAAATACTATACTTTTTATGTGTATATTTTTTATTTAATAGACATATATGGAATGATGTACATTTTTAATATTTGTGCTTATGGAAAAGAAAATAAGGAAGTACTTGTGTAGTAAAATTAAAATTTAAGGGACATTACCATAAATTCTGAAATTAGTAAAAAAATATTTAGGTGGACACAAGTCGATTTGGTAGGACTATGCTGGTATAACATTTTTATCAAAATTTTAAAATTTAATTTACTTAAGTATTTAGCATGCGTAGTATTTAGATAACTTGTATAATCAAAATTCAACAATTATATACGTACATCAGGTCAGGAACAGTGACCATTGTGTCACTGTTCACAAACTTTTTTACCTAAATGTCACGCGAACAGTCTTATTTCCCAATTTGCCACGGGGGCAAGTTCGCTTCTGACACAAGCGACCTCAGTTTGCTGATGTGTCAGCTTTCTAGTGGTGTCAGAGTTCGCTTCTGACACAGGCAACCTCGGTTTCAACAATATTTTAACCAAGTTCGCCTACATCATTTTTTTTGAATTTTTTTTTTTAAAATTTAATACTTGTTATCCACTAAAAATGTGACACGTCAGCAAACCGATGTCGCTTGTGTCAGAAGCGAACTTTCCCCTATGGCAGATTGGAAAATAAGACTGTTCGCGTGGCATTTAGGTAAAAAAATTGGTGAACAGTGACATTTTGGTCAGTATCCCCATCAGGTCATTTGGACTTTTTTTTAATAGAATGTACCTGAACACATTTCTAAATGCAAAATTTGTGTATAGGTAAACTGAGGTTTATCTTAAAAAAAGGTTTAAAGCTATATATATATCAATTATTATATGGATAACAAATGTGATCAGTGCTTTAGTAAAGCTTAATTTGCAACAATGGTTACCGGAAAAACAACAGCATTCGCTTTTGAACGCAATTTGCATGTCTCTGTCCAACGTCTGTTCCGAATTTCAATTTTGCGTCCCCACAACTGCTAGTATTTAACTTATGCTGGCGCTAGTGTGGTGGTTGTACGAAAAAGCAGAGTCCACTTAAATTCTGATACCCCTTTAGAATAAGTCATATCAATATCAAAGAAAATAATTGAGCTGGTGTGGGGACAAATGGATCACTATTTGGTCATTGACATGGGAGTAGGAAGGGGGATAAGGAAAACTCTCAAACCGGCTCAATACCACAAAAATTTCGTAAATATCATGAGATTCTTAGTACGATCGATTAATAAGACCTAAAGAATCGTTTAAAGAGTAAGATTATATTAATAATTTTATATCTTTTGAATATATTTTTTAATACAAATTTTTTTTAGACTTGAAACATGCATATTATTCAAGTCTTTTTTTTTTTGTCTACTTTGCAACACTATAACCTTTTTCTGTTTATACAAGTGGTATAACACTATAACCTTAACAAATTATAATCAAACTTCTGAACATTGCAACGGCGCTATTTCTTGTGAGATGGTTTGCCTAAAAACCCAGTGTTGATCTCAGTGCTACAATTTCGGTTGTGTGCGCTTATGGTTGACGGTAGATAATTACTAGAGATAAAATCAACCTGCATTTTATGTTCAATCAAGGAGCCATATTCTTTGAAATCAAAAAGAGTCGTCCTGATAATTCATTCCAACTATGATTTAATTAGAATCACCCCAATTTACATGAACCCTTGTCCATTAACTGCGGGGAATTGTCACTTCCAAGACACTAAAGCAAGCACGAGAGCTCAATCTTATAAAACTAGTAACAAACTTTGCTTAAATTATAATATAATAACCCGACACAGAACAGTGTAATTAAAAATCATAAATTAGTCAACATACAATATAATCTTCCTTTTTAGTGTTCATAAAAAGCAAGGAAATTGTTATCAAAAAAAAAAAAAAAAAAAAAGCAAGGAAATAGGCTCATATTTAAATGATCATCACATTCCTACACAATATTTTATTTAGTGGCCTATAAAGTGGGATAATATAGAAAAAAATAGCAGGTCTTGGGGACTGACACTAGCAGTAATAATAACAGTAGCAGGCATGCTTACATCGACACCACTTTCGCTTGGCATAAGCCCTCCTTGGACTTGAAATCAATGACACCAAAAGCAGGATCAGTAGTAAGAGTATTGGTATGATCAAAGCTGACCAATTCTTCTTCTTTTCTTCAACCACTACCACTGATTCACGCGAGAAGAGATAAGGTAGGCCCAGAAGCATCAAGGCCACGGCCAAGATCAGAGCAACATTTGATGTACGAGTATCATAAGCTTTGTGTTTATGACAATAGTAACCCATCAAGGGGCTTGAAGCCTGAAGACCTGAGAAATCTGGAAAGGATTACAGAGATTCACAGTGATTAAGTTGAAGCATATATAATAAGGAAAAGCCCTGCCCCTATGGAATATTATAGAACAAGGGGTAACAAACCATTCATAGCCACCTCACAACATCTGGTAGTTGCTCTCTCAACTTTTTTCTAGTACCCCATCACATTCAGGTTCAGCTGTAATTATTGGAACATTGAAACATAACATGGCATGTTTATAAGATGGTGACATAAAGTAGCGTTTGGAGCTTACTGTAGGGACAATTCATTTCATTAAGTAACGAATTCAATTTCTTATTTGGCTTTAAAGTGCACTCACTGTAACCAATTTTCTGTTCTACATCACAGTAATAGATTCCCCATATCAAACTTTATGACTTTATCTACCACGCATTGGAATTGTAATGGTTCTCCCTAAAAACCCAAATCCTAACTCCCAACGGTACCTCAGTTGGCAAAAATCTTCGGTTGGGGGATTAGTCTCGTCCTTTCTCCGGTTGCGAAGCTTAGTGCACCCACTGTTACGATGAGGGGCTAGCCCAAACGGGCCGTACCCCGAGGGCATGGTGCCCGGAGAAGATTGAATGGGGATACCTCCTGGCAATGTACCAAAAAAAAAAAAAAAAACCCAAATCCTTATCTAAGCCCAAAAGTAATAAAGACGAACTGATTTGATCCTTAGCAATTTCAAAAATGTTTCAACATATACTTATTCAATTTTAGCACCACAAGTAAACAGTCCATTCCCCATATGTGTCACAAAAGGCATCAATATAACCTTATCAATCAGACTTAAAGGATCAAATGTGTTAAAAGTAGGCAAAGGTATAATGACGTATAGGAAATGTTACATGACTAAAATGGTTTGAAGTTTGATCCGTTGAAATCCTGCTACCGTATAGTTTTTCGTCAAAAATTATTATTTCCGGAGATCACTGTTCGAAATTTGACTTTCAAATTTTGAATATGTTTCTATTTTACACTGATTTTGATGCAAATGAAAAAAAGTAAACAAAACTACAATTTTCGATAATCACAACCACACCTTACTTTTTCTTATATCATCATCAATGAATGATTGTGATCAAATAACATGATCACTTTTTTACATGAGAGTATATAATCCCTAATATAATATTATGCATTAGCGATCCTTTCACGAGCCTATGAATGGTGTGGGGTACTAAATATCACAAGAAAGTTGAATTTTGTTCGGAATCAATCTCTTCGTGGGAAGTATTCAACAATTTGGAAACTCGTGTCTAGCCTGGGGAAACGATGATCTTCAAGTTTAATGGACCCATTAAAGATAAGTGGACTGGGCCACCAAAAACATTCTCAAGTGGGAAACGAAGTGTGTGTTAACAAAAATTTGAAAATATTTAAAAATGAAATGCATTGGACAAGTCTTAATTGGGATGGTCTAAAATAAAAGAATGATCTTTCACTTATTTTCAAAAAAAAAGAAAAGAATGAACTTAAAGAGATTGTACCCAGTTGACATCATGACTTATCTAATTATCTTGAGACTTTTTTTCATATTTTTTTGTAGACTTATATTTAAATTTATTTTAGGACCCATTTGAATGAGTTTTTTTTTCTTCTCCAATTTTTTTTTTTTTTTTTAAAAAAAAACACTTCTTAAAAAAAGTTTGTTTAAATGTCTACTTTTAAAAATACCATGAGTCATAAAAAAAAGTCAAATTTTTTTAAGCTAAAAATTTTAACTAATAAAAAAAGCAGAAATCAAAAGTCAAATAAAAATCAAATATTTTTTAAAAAATTTAAATAACTTTAAATTTTATAAAAAATACTTCTAAAATAAGCAAGACATAAAATTTTTTTTTTTTAAAGCCCATCCAAACAGCTCTTTAATCTTTTAAAAAAATCATAACAAATTCAAGATATTATCTTGTGACTCATTATGAAGGATATATGTAAAAGCAATGTGAGTAAAGGATAAGATACCAGTAATGATGCGGTGAACTGGCCTTTTTTTTTTCTTCAATAAATTATTTGTGGTGAATATGCTTATCGAAATTGTAAAATTAATTACTTATTTAAAAACACAAGGCAACACGACTATCCCAAAATAAATGTAATTAGATAGAAGGAAATATATTTAATCAATATTATTAAATTCAGATCGATTATTGATGGAGCCTATGTAACGATACATAATAAATATATAAATACTAATATATGACTACAAAAGAGATATAATTTAGTGATTGACATTTTTTTCAACTAAAATATTAATATGGGGTTACCACCAATTAAACCTAGTTTAAGGCCAATCGACTGATTCCTGACCAAATTGCATGCATATCGATCAATTAATGGTTTGGTTTCCAATTCAATCCGTTGAACCAACTCATCCAATACGATTTTAATAACATTTGAATATTACAAAACTTATTCAATATAAATAAAAATATTACATTTTTTAATGTGAAAAGAACTTCATCTAAATAAGCATTAAATAGTCTTGTGTGGCAACTGCAAGCCAACTAATGTCCGACCAATGAACGCGAAGAGAAGTATAAAGCGTCAGAACAATTAAAATAAATGCAAGTGGTGTTGTTAATGAACATAGAGATAGAGTACAATCTAATAAATGTTTGTAATTATTCAAAGAAATAAGTATTAAAAGTATCTTGTAATCTTATTTTAATAAATATTTAAAATGAAAAAAAAGGAAAGGCATTGTAAACTATGAAAATGTGACTTTGTGGGTGAGAGTCACAGTCAGTGAATCAGAAAGGTCACACGTAGCACCACAATATCAGCCCCTCGCTCCGTACAAACCAAAACGTCATTCATTATTGAATTCAAGCAAAAAAGCCAACTTCACTACCTTTCTTCGCTTCCTTCACATTCACAAAGCAACTTCTTTGCTTCACGTGCTTCTTCTTGCTCTCTCTCTCTCTATCTAACCGCCCTACATTTTATCAAGAGAAAAAGATCTCTCTTTTGCTCTCATTTTGCTCTCTTCAGCTTGTAGGTAGGTAGGGGTTAGTTAGTTTATTTCTCTGTTCTTGAATTAATTGTAATTTAAAATGATTATTTGATCTGACCCGTTGAACCCTTATTTACTCCTCTTACGTCATGCATCATGCTTTCGTGTTTGGGTTCCTGTTCATCTTCGTGCTTGCATGAATCTATCACTGCCTTTCTTTTTGGATGAACATGGTTCCTAAACCACGCGCAAGTGTAAATCTTGAAACCTTTCTGATCCTTATTTTGTGTCTTTGGATTCGAACAACCAACTCTGGCAACGCTCATACATGGTTTTCTTTTCTCACATTGTAAGCTTTGAACAACCGTCGAGATTTTACAATGCTGTTTCTTCTGCATTTCCACATTTTCACCAATTATATTTGGGGAAAACCCGGATTATATTTCTTGGCTTTCATCATCAATTATCTCCTTTTTTTCTTTTGTTGTGGTTGACTTGTTTGCTCAGTGCTTATTGCGGTTCTCCTTTATCTATTTTCAAAAGCCTATCAACCTTTCATTTTAGCATTTGGGAGATTTTTAACCAGCTAGTTAATTAAGAAGTAACCTTTTTTCAGGGAGAACGGGAAACGGAATCAAGTTCCTTCATGAAGTTTTCATTTGAAAAATATTTGAATTAAAAGTAATAAAATAACTTTTTGCTTTGGATAGGGATCTACAGTTGGAAAGTTGGGGCCACTGTGCTATTTATATTTTCCCCTTAATCTGATAATGAAAACAACTTGATTTTTTTTTTTATTTTAATTTTAATTTTTGGTAACGACAAACCACTTGAATTTGATAGTGTGGTATTTTCGAAATTAATCATATCTAGGTTGGTGTTCATGATCCTCATATGGTATCATTTTGAAGAACCTGTATGTTTGAACGCAGTATCATTTGGAATTTCGAATTAAAATAATGATGCATGAGTTTCGAAATATCTGCTTTTGGGCTTATAAATTGTAACTAAACCAGGAATTTAGCAGTTCGTGGTTTACATTTATGTTAATTCAATATCATAAACTCTGATACCCTATCTGCAGGATTTTGAGCAATACTACTGCAAGTGCAAAGATTTTGGGAGATGTCTTACTCTCCGACGGATTGGTCTCAGAATGGAAATTTTAAAAGTCCAGACGCACTATGTACTGTGGCAGAATTTGAGGAATTTGATTTCTCGAAAGCGTTAGATAGACCAAGGACTTTGAATATTGAGAGACAGAGATCATGTGATGAGAGGTCATTGAGTGAACTATCCTTAGGCTTTTCCCCACGTCAATTGTCCACTAAAGCTGAGAACAGTTCTCGCCATGGAGACCATCCTGATAATGCATTTTCTCCTCTGCCAAAATCAGGCATTACTACTCCAAGATCACTGATATTGGATCCACATTCAATAATATCTGAAGGTTGGGAAGCTCTGAGGCGTTCCTTGGTATATTTTCGTGGTCAGCCAGTAGGGACAATTGCTGCCTTGGATAGTTCTGATGAGAAGCTTAATTACGATCAGGTAACACTCCCTTCACATACGTAAATATATCTGTTTCTTGTTCTTTTTTTTTTGGTTGTGTGTGTGCGCGCGTTTTGGTGTGGTGTGAAATTTCATCACACTTGAATTTTGGTTATACTTTTAGGACATGGTTTTTTTTATAGTCCTAGTAAAATCAAATCCACTAATACGGACACAAGCTAGATTATGGCTAAAAAGATGGTATTTGTTTTTCCTTTACATCCCTCTTTATCATCTTTTTACTTCCTTTGTCATGTTGGATCGGTGGCATCGGTGGCTTTGGTCATTATATATGATAAGCGTCACTTCAACCCAAAATTTTAAGGCGTTAGGTGAGACTTAATTAATTATTTTATATCTCTTTAACACACCTCCTCGAACAAGAGCCCTTTTGGGCTTAAAGCGTGGATATGGCACAAGCCCATTTTTTATCTGTCTTGTGTTTTTCTTAATTCCACAAGCAAGGGGCAGTAAGAATCGAACTCATGATCTCCTGGTCACTCAAGAACTGATACCATGATAAGCACCACTTCAACCCAAAACCTTAAGGCGTTGGGTGAGACTTAATTAATTAATTTATATCTCTCTAACAATATATTTATCTTTCATTTTCTATCCATTTTCAGTTTGCTATGGAGGTCTAATCTAAGGTATTATATTTGTGCCTAGGTGTTTGTAAGAGACTTTGTCCCAAGTGCTCTGGCTTTTCTGATGCATGGGGAACCAGATATTGTTAAAAATTTTATCTTGAAGACCCTTCGCCTTCAATCATGGGAGAAAAAGATTGATAGGTTCCAGCTAGCAGAAGGGGTAATGCCTGCTAGTTTTAAAGTATTCCATGATCCAGTCAGAAACCATGAAACCCTGATAGCAGATTTTGGTGAAAGTGCAATAGGCAGGGTTGCTCCTGTTGATTCTGGATTTTGGTGGATTATATTACTTCGGGCATACACAAAGGCTACAGGAGACTCTTCTTTGGCTGAAAGGCCTGAATGTCAAAAGGGTATGCGCTTAATTCTGAGTTTATGCTTGTCAGAGGGGTTCGACACGTTTCCAACTTTACTATGTGCTGATGGATGCAGTATGATTGATCGTAGAATGGTGAGTTTGTTGAATTTTATTGTACTCTCATTTTTACATTGCCCACTGTCTTGAAACTAGGCATTGATTATATGATAAGATGACTGTTTTAGGTTTTTCCAACTTTGTAGATTAATATTGCAAAGACTTTAATCCAGTGCAAAATAAAGAAATAATCTGTTTTTGTGATGGCACCAACTGAATCAAAAGTGAATAGAATAACTATATAACCGAGTGATGCTAGAGGTGGGCACTGTTAGGGTTTTTACTGTGACTTTTATTCCTAGTGGTTAGTATATCCATTTCTTACTTCCAATTTTGTATGTATGATTTCAGGGAGTCTATGGGTATCCAATTGAAATTCAAGCATTGTTCTTCATGGCTTTACGATGTGCCTTGCAATTGCTTAAGCCAGATGCTGAAGGAAAAGAGATTATGGAACGAATTGTCAAACGCTTGCATGCCTTAAGCTATCATATGAGAAGCTACTTTTGGTTGGATTTGAAGCAACTTAATGATGTATACCGCTTCAAAACAGAAGAATATTCACATACTGCAGTCAACAAGTTTAATGTTATTCCCGATTCTCTACCAGATTGGGTATTTGATTTCTTGCCTCAGCATGGTGGATACTTTATTGGAAATGTCAGTCCAGCTAGGATGGATTTCCGCTGGTTTTGCCTGGGTAATTGCATTGCAATTTTGTCCTGCTTGGCAACTCCTGAGCAGTCCATCGCAATCATGGACCTCATAGAATCACGATGGCAGGAATTAATTGGGGAGATGCCAGTCAAAGTTTGTTATCCAGCCATTGAAAACCATGAATGGAAGATCGTAACAGGATGTGACCCAAAAAATACTAGGTGGAGTTACCACAATGGGGGGTCTTGGCCAGGTATCCTAATGCTACCATTCTGCATCTCAAATAACTTATGAAACAGCACATTTTAATTCTAAGATGAGTATATATATAGAGCATGTCCCTTCGAGATTTTTTTTTCTCACATTGAGTGTGACCACAGATTTGCAGGTTATTTAATACAACCACCTAAAGTAATTAGGCACTGAATTCAGATACTTTTAGAGGTCTTTCTTTGTTCCTTTAGATTTTAGATTACTGTGAAAACATCCCAGTCGCATGAGTCTTTTTTATTATTGTGTCATCAATCAGCGTTTCTTTCCTTCCCAACTTTGAAGTAATATATATTTATTGTGGTGATTGCAGTTCTTTTATGGCTTCTGTCTGCGGCCGCCATCAAGACTGGGCGACCCCAAATTGCTAGACGTGCCCTTGACATTGCTGAGACCAGATTGCTGAAGGATAACTGGCCTGAATATTATGATGGAACTCTTGGTCGATACATTGGGAAGCAAGCCCGTAAATGCCAAACTTGGTCTATTGCTGGTTACTTGGTGGCTAGGATGATGCTCGATGATCCATCACATTTAGGTATTATTGCAATGGAAGAAGACAAACAGCTCAAGCCTTTACTCAAGAGATCAAATTCTTGGACTTTGTGACTTGTTATTTTTCCTGATCAATTTTGGCCTGCAATTATAAAAAGGAAAAAGTGGGGAATGGAATGGAAGAAGAGCAAGGTGGAGGGCAAACACTGAAATGAAGCATTCTACGTTTAATTTCACGTGTCAAATGTTTACGTGTTCCTTTTATAGAGTGCTTTTCTCTAGCATCTACAGTTATGAGGATTCTTGAGAGCAAAAATCGATTTATGCAAAAAGTGAGGCTATGCGATAATCTCAAATTCGTTCTTTGGAACTGCACGAGGTTCTTGGTGGACAATGCATGGAGTTGGATCGGATGCTGATGTTACAATTTAGATGGAGAATTATGTAGGCATTGGACATAGAATGGATATACCCTTTTTGTACTAAGGAGCTTATTTGGTCATCATATACCCTTTTATATTTTTTAATAGAGTTTGAGATGAACATAACTACATAAGCACTCATTTATTTGTTTGCCAACTTTTTTTTGTTATAAAAGAAAAAATTTTACGTTCAATAAAACCATTAAAATTATAAACGCTTATTACAACGCAAACTTTTTTAGTGTTCACGCTGTTCGCTTATAATAAATATTGGTTAGTGGTGTTGGTTTATAATTGTTAATTCTTTCAGCGCAGAAAAGCATGCATTGTGTCATCATGTTGTGGTGGATATCCGAAATTTTGGAGTGGTTATCTTTTTGGTTATATTCTTTCTTTAGATAATAGCAGACTGGCAGTAGAGTTGATGAAAAGTGGAAGATGACGAACGCAGTGTTTGTAGAAGTTGAAAGGCTTAGCCTAAACATGATCCGTAGACGTTGCCTTGTATTCATTGAATTCCTTGCAGTCACCGATGTTAGCTTGTCCAATTCTTTAGGATGAATTTGGATTATTTGACGTTTTTTTTTTTTGGTAAACTACCTTTTTTTTTTTTTTTTTTTTTTTATATTTCAGAGGGAAAGATACAAAGTAAGTTTAATAGAATTATGTCAACTTCATATATTTCATTAATTTAATATGTTAACAAAATAATTACACAAAATAAAATTATATAAAATTAAATTCAAAATAACAATTGTATATTAATAAAAATACGATCAGAATATAAAAACAAATTGCTTTTTTGCTGGAATATTATTTTATATTAATTTAATAAGATGTAAAAAAAAATGGTGAGTTATATTTATCACCTCTTACAATTATTTTTTGGAAAATCTCCATGAACCGTTTGCTTCTAAATTATTTATCCTCCTGAAGTAATTTTTTTTTTTTTTTTTTTTATCATTTATCCCCTTGTGCTTTGATTCATAATCAATTACCTTTCATCCACTTGTTTTTCATCCAAATTTAACTAATGATGTTAAAGTTTAAACAAAATTCAAAAACAGTTAAAAATTGAAAAAAGCAAAAATCTATGACATCATTCCTTCGATTAAAAAACTATCTAGGTACGGTATAAATCTGACACCAAGATTCCCACACTTGACAAAAGAGAGCAAAATGGAGGTTTTGGTTGCAGAGAAAAACTTACCAATAGAACCAAGTGAAGGTGCAGCAAAGCTTATTTTAGCCTCTAAACAAAACACTGATTAACCAATCTTAAAGGCTACAACAAACAAAGATTGACTAAAAAAATCACATTCTTCTAGCAAAAAAATATACAAAAGTCACATTCTTTCAGCCAAAAAATCATACAATATTCTACTTTAAACCCTGTCCAAAAAATCAAGCACCTAAAACTTGTCTAAAATCAGAAACTTCAAAACCTATCCAAAAAATTCAAGCACGCTAAAATTTGTCCAAAATCATACAATCTAAATGCTTTCCAAAATTAAGCACCCCAAAAAACTATAGATTCTAACATGGTCTCCAACATAACCTATGCTTCACTTCGTTGCTTGGTGATAATGTTATGCAATGTAAACTGTTCGAGTGATGGACCTTCATCATGTGCCAAAAAAGCATCATTCTGTTTTCCTTCTCTTGTAGCCATATCTGTTAATACAAGATAACCATAAAATTAAAAACATATAAACAACATAATAAAATAAAATAACATATATATCATTCCATTACCTTTTACCTTTTACCTTGTAGTATGAGGTTGAGCAATTTGTTGTGATTTCTCTTTTCGAATTCGAGCCATCCTTTGTGTTGGTGACTCTCCAATTATAGATGCCTTACAATTTTGAACATTATGTCTCTCAACATCATAATTTTCACACCAGATAGGTCTATTTATTCTTGTAACCTTAGAAGAGTTTTGAGGCTCATCATGCTGCCTTTGCCTCAACTTCTTAAGCCTACCCCAGGTGGCTTCTTGACCACAAGTACAACAACAGTAGAATCACTCTTGGCTAAAAAGTCATCAATATTAACAATATGGTTGATAGAGAAGGCATATACATTTAAGTATGTTTCTTTTGAGAAGCATTTATCAACAAAGCCCTCTGGCGTCTTTTTGCAATATCTAATTGCTGCAATTCCATAGATACGAGGTACTCCTGTTAATCCCCTTACTCGACAACTACAATATTTCTTATAGAGAATGACTTCACATGCCATGTTACTTCAACTATATTTTCAACTGAAGGTTCAACAATGCAATCTCTAGATTTTGCTTTAAGTGTTTCCAACCTTTGTTGGACATTTGGTGTTAATGGTCCAGTATATTACTCCGTTTTAGTCCTTTTCTTATACAAATTTTGCATGAGCTTTTTTCGAATCCATTCGATCAATGATATAATTGGCAATTCCCTTGCTTGTAAAATCATTGAATTAAAGGATTTAGTGATATTGTTAACCAAAATATCAATTTTTTCCTTGAAACTGAAATGTGATCAAGACCATAATGTTTGAGGGATACGCTTCAGATAAGCTTTAGCTTTCCCATCAATAATTTTTTGTAGCTTCGTCATAGCATGCTCAAGTCCATTTATAGTTGTTGAGGTGGCTGCTTGCCATAGTAGGTCTTCGTATAATTTCTCCTTAAATTGCTTCTTATAGTTTTCAAGCAAATGGTATAGACAAAACCTATGCTTGGTGTTTGGCAAAAGGTTAGCAAATGTTTGAACTAATCCCTGCAAAATAAAAATAAAAATATAAGGTAACATGAATACTAATCATTAAAAAAAAAGGTGACATGACATTTACTTACTTTTTACATATCTGATATAAAGACTAAATTTGTAGGATCATTGCCATTTAGCCTATCCAAAAATGTATTAAAAAGCCAAGTCCAACTATCTTTATTTTCGGCCTCAACAACAACTACAACAATAGGGAACATGTTATCATTTCCATCCCATGTTATAGCACTTAGAAGATGACCTCCAAAATGTGTCTTCAAGAAACAACTGTGAAGACCAATTATTGGTCTACAACCTGCACTGAATCTAGTTGTTATTGCATGAAAACTCACATACATTCTTCGAAATCTAGGGGGCAATTCTTTTACTATCCCGTTAAGCATCACTGGATGTTGTGGTTTAATACTTAGCTTAACTAAGCCTCCAGGATTTGTGTTTAGAATAGCTTCACAATGTGCACGAGAAACTTCAAATTGGCGAACATGACCCCAATTATAGTCTTATTGCCTTTTTTTTCCTGATATAGTCGCTGCATTCCGATATCATAACCAATACTTTTATTCACTCTATTTCTCTTTCCAATTATTTTTTCCTTTGGATTAGATCTAAAATCCTCCAACAACTTTTTTGCTAAGTAATTGGAATTAATAAGGTTGTTTGTTGCTTGTCTAGGACATGTATGCTTGGGTTTCCATGTTTTAAATTGAAATATGCTCTCTCCCGTCACCAATGACGCGTGTACAACAAATGGACAATCTTTAGACACCTTACAATTTTTTTTTCGCTTTTCACATATGTGTATTCAGACCCTTGAGAAATGGACCATTCCTTCAAAGCCTTTCTAAATTTATCAGCTTTTGCAAATTTCATACCAAGTGTCAATTCAATCTTTCCCTCATCTGCGCTTATCTTCTCTGAAATCATGGTATTGCGGGTGTTCATTGTCTCTTCTCTCCAGTGACTTTAACTCATTAGTCACGTAAGTCTCCATGAATTCATTGACATATTCAAATTCACTTCCATCATCATCCATGTCATGTAAGGACAATGTATCATTCAAAAAAAGTGAAGTTAGTATGTAAGTAACACTAACATGCGAAAAATCAATAGAAGAAAGGGGATAAGGAGATGTAAATACCTTGGAAAGTTCCCTTAAACCTGTTTCATTTGCAAAGAGAAATTCATGTATAGGAGGTGATAGAAGACCTTCATCACCATCATCATCAATAAAAAATGAATTCACTAAATCTACATTACCTTCATCATCCATTGCTTTAAGCTGTAAGAATTCACAAAGTCAAAAAAATTCTCTTATAACTTAGAAATCTTAGATAACTCAGATATCTTTTTTTTTCCTGACATATCCTTAAATATTTATTCATGACATTGAAATATACAATCAACAACTCCTATGTGATAACCTCTGTATTTCATAGTTCCAATTCCAAAACATGCTAGAAGAAAAAACATATAAGAGGAGAGGCAACAACAACTACATATGCTAGTCTAATCGAGAAGAAGCAAAACAAGGAGGGGAAATGTGAAAGCTGAGAAATAAAATGAATACTTACTAAAATAGAAACAAAACAATGTATTAGCATTAGGGAAGAACAATGTATCAAAAAAAAAAATGTATCAACATTGGGGAAGAACCTGTAAAAGATCGAGGGCACAAGAAGATTGAAAACACAAGAAGATTGAGATGTGTTGGCTCCAGCATACCAAAAAGAAGAGGAGAGGGGCTGAACTATAAACCCTAGATTGATAAGAGAATTGGGAGAAAAAAAGAACAATATATTTAAAAACAATGTGTTTAAAATTAAATAACCGGTCTTACTTGATATTATTCTATAATTGTTCATCGTTTTAATTCAACAATAATAAAAATAAGGGGAAAATGTTTGTCATTTTAAATGACACAAAGTTATGTCATTTTTAATGAAACTACGTCGTTTTGGTAAGTTTTTACATTCTCTCTCCTCCATTTTCTTTTTATTTCTAATTTTATAAATTAGAGAAAATAAATAAACACACCAAAACGACATAGTTTCATTAAAAATGATACAAAGTTGTGTCATTTAAAATGACTAAAACTGAACCCTAAAAATAATTATAAAATATCATAAATATGACCTCCCTCAAAGTTTTATACCAAAAAAAGTTACTCACAAATTGTTCAATATTTTTTTAGTATTGATATCAAAAGTAAGTCGTAAAAAATTTATTAATTATTTTAATGTAATATTAACTTATAACTATGTTTAAGAAACATTTTATTTTATTTTTTGTAATCCATTTAAGAAACATTTTAGAACTTTATAGAATCAGCAGTATATAAAAAAGAGTTTAGTTATAGTATTTTTTCTTTTGGGTACAAATAGTATGTCTTTTAAACAAAATAAAAACATTCAATATCTTAAAAAATTAAAAATATCTAATATTTTTTTTTTTTGTAATAAGAGATATAATATTTTGATATCAATATCATATTTAAAGTTTGATACCAAAAAATTTGTTATTAAATTTTAATCGTTGATTTTTATGAATTAATAATTATTATTTATTAAAAATTAAAAATTAATTAATAAATTTAATTTTTATATTACTTAACGAAAATTATAACTATTAATTAGAACCAACAATGAAAACTTGGAGTCAAATTTAAAATTAATAGTTCTGACCCGTGTAATAAAACTCCTGTAAATAAAGGAAAAACATTTTATGTTGCATAAGAATTAAATTATCATGTTATGATCCTTCATTTGCATGCAAAACTTTTTTTTTTTTAATAAAGGTAGAGTTGAGTCACAATACGAGAATTCTATTCTAAGGAGAAAATCAAATCTCATGAATAAATTATTCACCTTTGCATTTTGGGCGAGTATCGCAGCGGCTAGATTGAGAGAATTGGGGAAATTTTTTCAGACTCTGCAACAAGAAACAGTATTTTGGGTTCTCTGAATTCATTGAAGTTGAAATCAATTGCAACGCAACGCAACAATCATTAATATAATAAAAATAATTAATCTGAGAGAGAGAGAGAAAAAAAAAAAGAGGCGATGAGGGGTGAGAGAAAGTCGATCCACGCAATCACGACATGGGTGAGGCGACAACCACCAAAGGTGAAGGCTTTTCTTGCCGTCGTTTCCGGTATGGCGGCTCTCGTGCTCCTCCGTTTCATTGTTCACGATCACGATAACCTTTTCGTCGCTGCTGAGGCCGTTCACTCCCTTGGAATATCCGTTCTCATCTACAAGCTCATCAAAGAGAAGACATGTGCCGGTTCGTCACATTTCCTTTTTCTTTTTCATTATTCGCCCATGCTTTCTTCAATATTTGGATTTTTTTTATCAGTAAAAAAAAAAAGATTTGTTTTTAATTTCTTTAGATTTTGATTTAATATGTGTAGAATTTCCATATCAAACATTTGTTGGACGATAAATGGCATTGTTTGACTGATTTGAATTACCTTCGCCACCCCCCAACCTTTGCATAAACAGGACCTTGACAATTGTTATTAATTGGAAAAAGGGACAGCATTTTGTTTTATTTTGCTAGTGGTTTTGGTACTTCTACCTTGATGATATCATGTAATGTGGATGATATCAGATTTCTGGGCTATTGCCATCTTCTTGAGTGGATACCTATCAATTCCATCTTTCCTGTCACAGCTTTCAAAGGTTTTATTATTACTCTTTGTGATGTACAGGATTATCGCTCAAATCCCAGGAGTTAACAGCTATGTTTTTAGCTGTTAGGCTGTATTGCAGTTTTGTCATGGAATATGATATACACACCTTACTTGATTTGGCTACTTTGGGAACAACACTATGGGTTATATATATGATTCGTTTTAACTTGAAGTCTAGTTACATGGAAGAGAAGGACAATTTTGCAATATACTATGTGGTAAGCTCGCGCACTATCATATGACATTTTAAAATTATAAGCTTCTTCTAAATTGCTATCTTTCAAAGGAAACAGACATTTATTAATGCGAAGTAGTGACTAATTGGCTAAACAGAAGTAAAAACAAATACAAGAATTGCGAGAAAATACTATTCTCTTTTCTTAATTTTCTTTAACCAAAAACAACTAAATAACAATAGGGTTCTCCAAGCCTTAAATAGGCAAAAACAAAATAACAAAAAAAGTAAATAACTATAATCATGCGCAATCAAAGGAGATAACGCACGCTCAAACATAATCTTAAATAACAAAAAGGAAATAACTAATAATTATTAAAATCCCTAAATAAAGAAATAAATTATGAAAAAGCCCAATCCAAGCGAGTCACCCAGGTGCATCATTTATCTAGGCTCGTTCATCACAAAGCAACAACCTATTGTCGAGCCAAGAAAGAAGCCATGGCATCTTATAGAAACTAATGTAGATCTGATTTGAATGTGGTTTATCTTTTTACTCAATTTTGAAGGATTCTCTTTTAATTAAATTTATGTTGTCACTTGTTGACCGTGACTTGTGCATTTACCTATTCTCTCTTTGAAATTGAATGCAGGTGGTACCCTGTGCTGTGTTAGCCTTGTTTATTCATCCATCAACTTCTCATCATTTATTGAACAGGATTTTCTGGGCATTCTGTGTATATTTGGAAGCTGTGTCAGTACTACCCCAACTGCGAGTCATGCAGAACACCAAAGTACAATTTCTTAATTTAAGAATTCCCATCCTACATATTACATACGAGATCTAATTATATTCCTTTCCTTAATTTGTTTCACTTTACACTTTCAGATTGTTGAACCATTTACAGCACATTATGTATTTGCACTGGGTGTCGCAAGATTCCTGAGCTGTGCTCATTGGGTTCTCCAGGTATGATCTGTTTATCCAAGCTTGTAATTGCATTAGTCATCGCTTTGATTCATTTTCAATTTGGTTATCACTTGTTTGCTGGTCCGTGTTGGTGTCTGATAATCACTAAGACATTTTTTGGATTGGCAATCTGGCTGATCAAGGAGTGAAATATGAACTTATTTTAATTACTTTATAATTTCAAGTTTGGTGTTCATTTTTAATGGTATAATGATCATCTTTCCTCTAGAAGTATTATAGGGCCATTTATTACCTGTATCTGATTTTTCTTTTGAATGTTTGTATGTTCTGACTGGGTGACAAGTTTGTTGTTCTTAGCACATTTCTTTAGGGGCGTAAGCTCTTTGGATATACAAATTGCTGGTCTCCCACTGAGTTCCCATTTCTTGCAACAGGTGTTAGATAGTCGTGGGCATTTGTTGGTTGCCTTGGGATATGGTCTATGGCCGTCGATGGTTCTTATCTCAGAAATCGTCCAGACTTTTATCTTAGCAGATTTCTGTTACTATTATGTCAAAAGGTTAGTTGAGTGCAATACATAGGTCTTTTCACCTCTGTCCTTTCTTGTTTTGCAGCTTTGCTGATAGTATCTCAAGAACTTTTCAGTATGACTCTTCTTATGATATTTAATTCAATGCAGTGTTTTCGGGGGACAGCTTGTTCTCCGCCTTCCCTCTGGAGTGGTGTGATTGAAGATTCACTTCATTGCATACTTGCATTTAAATTAACTTAATCGATGGTTATCATTGTTGGAGCCCATATTGTGTTGACAAAGTTTGGCTCCTTGGAAGAAGCTGGTTCTTTGTAACGTTGGGGATGAAGGAAAACTAGATATTTATGTTTAAGGTACAGTCTTTGTAGTTGGAAATGCTTTGCACATGACGACTCTATTTGCTTAGGTTCTGGGAGTTCAGTTCTTAATGTAACCATTCCTCGTGCTCAAGTTCTAATTATAAAGTGATGTATGTGTTACTGTAAGTAGCTTTACTCAGCCTATGAGGGAGTCGAAATGAATTTGCTTTTAATAGAGTCATTATTGTCCAAAGTCATTTGAGTTTTATTTCTATAAGTAGTGTTTGGTCGAGGAATTTTTTTTTTTATCCGGAAAAAATAATTTTTGGAAATATGGTGGAATTTTTTTTTTTTTTGGATAAGTTACTAAAAGGTGTTTGGTATGTCAAATTTTTTTCGAGAATGTTAGGTTTATTTTCCTGAGTCAATATTTAATTGATCGTGAAATATTACTGTGTGATAGTTAACTGAATTTACAAAATTACCCTCAAATCTGAATTATAATACGTGATTCTCTTTCAACGTTCATTTCCCTTTTGTTGTCTCTCTCTCTGCCCCCGCTATTGAGCTTTATTATTTTTTTCCTATAGCCTTCATTTCCCCTCAGTTCTCTCTCTCTCTCTCACTTTCAGATATTCCTCCTCATTCTTTGCTTTGAGCTTATCGCTGAAACCCTATTTTGTGTGTGTTTGTTTTCCCATTTCTTTGTTCTTGGATTACATATGAACCTAATAACATAATCACAAAATATAAATGACAGAAGAACACCACATAAAACATATATAAGAAATGAATATTGCTAAGAAAAAGAAAACGACAATTGAACATGCTCATTCGAATATTGAATTATGGTATAATAGCATCAAGAAAGCGAAGCCTTGCTATTGAAACGGATGGGTATGTTTTAGTCCATGACTAGGGCACGATCTTTTGTCTGAGATGGGGGATAATTTTGTCTTAAATTCCACATAACATTTTTCTACCAGCAAGAAATCCTAGAATATCACATTTTCAATGGCCATCTATGTTGGCATTTTCATGTGTTATGTGAAATCTTGGGAATAAAACTTTTCCAGGATAATTGTAGATGTCTTTGTACCAAACATGAAAATATTATATTGCCACTACCACTTTCCTAGGAAAATAAAATATATCCACTTACCAAATATCACCTAAAGGCATGTTTGATTACTGTTCGTATTTCAAAAATAATTTTTTTGATTTTCATAATAAAAAAAATGAAAAAACATGTTTGATAAGGTCTATTTTGTAAAAATAGTTTTAAAAATTATAATTATTTTTTAGTTTTTAGAATTAAATTTAGAGAACGTTTTGTTTTTGTTTTATATTTTGATTCTTAACTTTCAAAACAGAGAAAAAAAAATACAGAAAATACTTATTTATGCTCTCTGCGGTTATGACGAAGTGGATGTTGTGGAACTCAACGACACCCTTTAACTCGTCACAAAATCCTCAATGTTTGTCTTAAGATTATTTGAGGTAATCCCCTCCTGTGTTTTTCTCCCATCAATTTTCTTCGAATGTCTGGAGGAAATTCTTGGTCTCTCAGTTCCCAAACAGGAAACTCTATGCCTACCACACATACAGAGCAGCCCATGAAATAGAGCATGAGTTTTTAAGTCTCAGGGCTCAGCCCAAGTCCTCTGGCTCTAGCTTCACCGGAAGAGACATAATCCTAATGGAATGGGTTATGTTATGTCTGAAAAGGCCTATCCCAGTTATTGTTGCATGCACCCTTGGGAAGCTCCAACTGCCATTTGTGTCCCTCCCTTGCCTTGTTTCGTAATATACCTACCCTTTGCTTTACAGTGGGGAGGAGAGTTCTACGTGCTTTATCAGTATCTCCGCCACGTACCTTGTTTTAACTGTGCATCATTTACTCTGACTATGATCACTGCAATTCTTGTACTAAGTTATAAGGTCACGTTTTTTATTTTATTTGTTTGTTTTATGTGTAAATTTTACGCCATTTTGATTCTTGTACAAGAGACGTACCGTGTGTGGGTCCTGTGGAAATAACCAATCACCTGCGAAGAAAAGTGGAGTAGAAGACAATGTAATAATACATGGGGAATGATCCGGTTACAAATTTTTTTTACAAATTACACTAAGTATAAGCGGTCATACACTCTTGATTGAAGTATAACCAGTCATACTTAGTGTAATTTGTAAAAATTTGTAAACAAAATTTTTGTAAATATAACATTTTTTATAATATATATATATATATATATATATATATATATATATATATATATATATAGAGAGAGAGAGAGAGAGAGTTATTGTTTCTCAATTCCGTCAACTATATATTATTGCATAACAAGGTGGTGAGGAAAAGCCTTGCCATGGGCTATGCTTGAGAGGTTCTGGCGTGACGATGACAAGTTTATTATTATTAAGACATTAAGTGTGAAACTTTACTAGTCTGTCTCTGTTTTGCTACTTCTCTTTCATGTTATTTCAGGGTCACTAACTGTTACGAATATTGAAGTAGGGTAATTTAAGAGAAATGAATCTTGAGGCCGTATTCTACACTACAGATGCTAGATCAGTATAACTCATTCTCTGCATTGACTGATATGCCTCCGCCAGATTGTCTGTAAGCCTGAGGTAATGTAATCCTTTGATTGCCTCGTGACCGAACCATGAACATTGACAGGCCACAAATTACAACTGGTAGTAAGTGGCAAAATGTTTACAATGATACTTCCATTATAAAATCAAGTTACTCAACATCATTTCATTATCATGAAGAAAACCTTAGACAGTAATTAACCATATTGCTTTATGCAGTTCACTGGAGGATGTCATAGTACATGTTTACAATGAATGCCACAATCTTGGCCAGTTAACTTGTACAGTCTGCAAGGCCAGCACGGGATATAATAGGGTAAGTGAGGGCTGCAATATCCTTCTCAGTTTACAAGTTTCTATATTTGCTTAAACCTCACAAATTCCCGATCAATTATGGCAGTGCACAATTGGAGTCCACCGTACAACATTTTCATAAAACAAAAATACGAAATGGGCTATCAAAGTTCAGATACGTGCTTTCCGTTAATAAAATTAATAACTTGTTCAACAGCCAGATCAAGTGCAGCAGTTACAGCTGCCAAATTCTGCAGGAATTCTTCTGCAGTTGGTTTGTCACCATCAACTATATCAGTCACAGCTTTTATAAAAATTGCAGGAACTTTCAGAAGGTCAGCAACATAAGCAACAGCTGCTCCCTGAGGAAACAATTGAAACAACGAGGTAAAGCCTATATTCAACAAAGGGAAGATATGAACGACTAATAGTTACTTATTCAAATGAGGATTTATTGATTGAACAAGGTATTATATGTGAAGATGTTGATTCATGCCGTCCCCAATTGATGAGGCAAATGTCCCAAGCCCTAGAGAATAACCCAAGTAAAGAGGTTACCTCCATATCTTTAACTGTGGCATCATTTGCAATGATTGATGATTCATCTTGCTCTGTCATGTCTAAAGAGTCACCAGTAGACAATTTAGCTACCTGAAAAATGCACAAATATGGGTGAAGGTACAAATTTTGCTGGATTAATTTAAACAATTAAAGAATTGGACACTGATAACACGATAAAGCAGATCAAATATAACTTGATGTGTTTGAACCATAAGTTTTAAAATTGATCATCACCTTGTTTCTCAGTAGGATAAATCTGTTGTGTAAATGAGCTACTACTATGATTATGATCTAGATAAAGCTGTTTATTCACTTACAAGATTATCAATGCAAAGCCTACTACATTTGTGCCCGATCACAATGAGGAATGACTTGAACAAAATTTCAACCTCTTAATACGTCAATGGTATTATAAGCCTATAAGGAAAATCTGTTCCATTCAATTCACTCAATTGGGTATGGGTCCAAATATCCCAAGATCATCTTGCCTCACCACAAAAGATCACACATCAAGGTGCGAGAGATAAATGAATTATTGATCTGTCAAAAGTAACAGCCAACGCACCTGGTAGCTTATGAATTTTTCCTACATTATAATAAGCTTTTTTTTTTCTTCATTCATTTTTGATTTATTATTAGAAGTGTGTATGGCAGACAGGCAGTGAAAATGAATTAAGCATTTAACAATCCTTTCTTTCAGCAGAAATCTTTTATCCAAGGCAATCCATTTAAAAACTAGGCTCTACATACAGTGTATGCACATTATTATATGCGGGCTTCAACTTTAATCCTTGAAGTCACTATACATATATAAGATGTAAGAATAACTATTCCCAAAAGAAGAACATATCCTAGTCAAAGCATCAAACCAAGACAAACATAAATAATAGGAAGGATACTGTTTGTGCTCAGAGGCTCAAACTTCACAGACTGCATGTGTAACGCCTGGAACTTGCAAGGATCAACGACTATCCCCACACATTAACACGAGACTTTTCAGCGTGCTTTGTCCTCACTCGCAGACTTCCCGGGAAAACCTCCCAGGAGGTCCCCCATCCCAGAATTGCTCCAAGTCCAGCACGCTTAACTATGGAGTTCTTCCGATCCGGGCTACCGAAAAGTAGATGCATCTTGTTAGTATAGATAGTACCAATTAATTCTTATAAGTCATTCCCAACTGTACCGTCCCATACCAGCACAGTCTCTGGAATCCCTCTCTTTCGGGTGTTGATTCGATTCATTCATGTACCCCCAAGCTGCAAGATTTGGCATGAGCCGCTCATTGTCCGTGCCCTTTCGCACCGGCGATCACTCCCTGCCCTTGCCAGCTCTTGGGATGTTACATGCCCACCAGCTTCCGCCTGGTTCGTCCTCGAACCACACCGTACTGGAAGAGAGGTCCTGCTCTGATACCACTTGTAACGCCTGGAACTTGCAAGGATCAACGACTATCCCCACACACTAACACGAGACTTTTCAGCGTGCTTTGTCCTCACTCGCACACTTCCCGGGAAAACTTCCCAGGAGGTCACTCATCCCAGAATTGCTCCATGTCAAGCACGCTTAACTGTGGAATTCTTCCGATCCGGACTACTAAAAAGTAGATGCATCTTGTTAGTATAGGTAGTACCAATTAATTCTTATAAGTCATTCCCAACTGTACCGTCCCATACCAGCACAGTCTCTGGAATCCCTCTCTTTCGGGTGTTGATTCGATTCATTCATGTACCCCCAAGCTGCAAGATTTGGCATGAGCCGCTCATTGTCCGTGCCCTTTCGCACTGGCGATCACTCCCTGCCCTTGCCAGCTCTTGGGATGTTACAGCATGGGCAGTCCTTCAATCTAGTTAATGTGGTTAAACAATGGCACCCAATTTGGATAACAAAATACATTGTGATACCAAGGGATCTTGGTTGGCAATGTGAACTTTGAATAAGACTAACTGTAATAAAGACACTTCTTTTTAATATATATATATATATATATATATATATATATATATATATATATATATATATATATATCTAATAACCTACTCAAGCAAAAATGTCAGCAGAAGCAAGAAATGATAAAGTTTGGAATATTTGTTAACTTTGAAGGGTTTGGTGTTTGTTATTTTAAATGACATAAGTTATGTCATTTTAGGAGAGAGATAGACACAGAAAAACGGAAATCATAGGAGAGAAAGTTGGTGGTTTTTTTTAATTTAAAGTTCAAATTTTTTGTGTATGTATCTCTCTTAAAATGACATAACTTTCTGTCATTTAAAATGACAAACACTTTTCCCTAACTTTGAATATACACAGTTTAGCAGATAGCACTCACCTTTAGATTAAGTTCCTTTGCAAGGTTGGGGGTTTCAAAGGCTTTACGTAAACCAACTCCATACATATCAAAAACCTACAGAAGACAATAATATATATATATATATATATATATATATATATATATATATATATATATATATATATATCAATGTTAATAGCAAATCTTCTACTTACTATTTGCAAGAACCAAGCAAGATTTGGGCACGTAAATTACTAAATGCCCACCCCCCACAATAAAAAGAAAAAGAAAAGAAAAGAAAAATAGATGCAGCTGTGGTGTAATAAGCACTCTGAAACATTTAGTATAATATTATTCATATATATTATCTCAGGTCATACTTTTGCTCAGAAGCAATAAACAAAGATGAAACATGCACCTGTTTAAGTATAATATGAATGCTTATTAAAAAATTCAATTTAAAAATGAAAAACAAATATCTATTTAGCATTCATCTTACTGATGAAAGATCTCAAACTAAGTTTTAAAATTCAAAATTAACAAGTACCAAAATAAAATTCTTAAAATCTATCAACAACATCAACATCAACAACACCTTTATCCCAAACTCTTCAAATCTATCTACTAAAAAAAATGTCTTAAAACTATTGCAGTAAAGTCCAACGCCATGGTCCTCTTTGGTAGCTCCCTAACTAGCCAATTGCAAGATTTTATAGGAAAAAAGATGGGATTTTATCCGTTTGATTTATTTGCCAACACATTAAAAGACTTCAAAACACAACTTGACATACTTTTAGTATACAATACTTAAACGGATATGGATCCTCTCGTGAAAATTCACATGACCATGTCATGTGGAGAATCATAACCATACAAAGGTGGATCAATGGTTAAAAAGGAGGAGAGAGAAAAAATGATAAAATAAATAGTTACGAAATCATAACCGTTGATTTACCTTTGTATGGTTGTGATCTTCCCACATGACCATATCATGTTTTTTTGGCACATGAGAGGATCCATTTCCATACTTAAACACATAAGATCGACAGGTCAAGCACCTCACTCTTACTCTCTCATTTCTCTCCAATGGAGCAAATAAAGCAAGATTAGGCAATAATGCCCAAAAGCTTTTATAATTATTTTAGATAAAAGAACAATATTACAGGAATGAAAGAGGAGATACATGGAAAAAGGAGGATAAAGTATCGTGTATGGATTAAAAAAGAAAAAAACCAGAGCAAGGATATATTTTCTTTATTTTTTATCCCCCCTTTCTCCACTCCTCCCACAACACATACAAACACAATAAAAAACACCACCAACAACAATAGATCATTCCAGTCTTAAATACAATCACATTTCAAGTAGAGAGGAGAGCAAAAGACAAAACAAGCGAAAGGTACTAAAAGGAATAACATAACACTTACAGGTATGGGTATTCTTCTGTCGTGAAAAGCACAATCTGATACAATGAAAATATCACCAACACTAGCTCCTTTGGCCTGAAAGAATCCATGAATGAACAATACTTAGAAAAATATGTTCATGCACATAAAAATGCATATATCTGCATCGGAATATTTTCAGCTACATACATAATCATTTAAAGATTTCAATTTACTATGAAGAGTTATATTTGTACACGTCGACCAATGCTGGAAAGTAGAACAACTGCACAAACAGGTAAAATACCACAATTTTGTCACCAACAAATCACAATTATGTTGTCAATACTCTTAAACTAGTTATACACTTCAGTTCAATCCATTTCTTGATTTCAAAACAATTTATAAATAAAATTATGGCATAAAATCAATGGCCATGACTGAATGGTAAGGGTGAAAAATGGGTATATAGAAAAGGAAAAATATTGTATCAGATCATTACAATCAATTATCACAAAAATGAATGGCGTGCATAACAATTTCATAGGAAAGAGGACCGAGACTAACAAAATTAGGAAGAGACCACGGAATACAACACAACATACAGAAATTTTGGAGTACAGAACCATAAAACCAGCACTGTAGCACTACTGTCAGGAAAGAGGGGGGAAGACAGTGCCTACCTTGAAGCCACCAGCAGTGCCTGCATTTATGATCAAGTCTGGCTGCAATGCTTGAATAGCAGCATATGTTACAAGAGCAGATGATAGCGTGCCCACACTATCAACCCCTGAAAGAAATGGGTCAGGACTCATCAAATGAAAATTTGAAATCAAACCAAAATTGCCACTTGCTTTCATTATGTTCCTTGCAGAGGTGTGGTGGGGGCATGTTAAATAGTTATACTAATACACATCCGTACCACTGCTCATTTGACACAATCTGGAAATAAAGAAAGTCTAGGCTTGATAAAAGTCAGCTGAAATTCGGCTGAGATAGAATTGGATCAGAATGCCCTGATTTTATATTTGTTGGTAGTGATCTTGATTGTGTTAGCAACCCAATCATTATTCCCAGCTTATCACATTTCTTCCAAACAATCAAATATCAATGCATCATTAACCTAATTAAGAATGGTTATATATTGCAATTTTGTATCATTCTTGTAAAAAGAATCAAATATGAATTTAAGCAGTAAAAATGTTAAAGCTACCTACAACTTTTTGACCTGATAGAAGTGGTGTAGTACGAAATAAATTGAAAAGAACAGACATCTTTACCCAAAGCTGGATCTTTTCCAGGCCAAATCAAGTTTATATTGAGATCTTTGTATGTCCCGTGATAACGAACCCATGGAACCCCTTGCGGAAACCTGCACCATTGTGCAAAGACACATCAACCCCCAAAAAATAAACTAAGCAAAGTTCTTACATGTTGCAGAAAACTAAAAACTAATTGTATGTTGCGTAGCATATGCACAAGCTTTCTTTCGTTTTTTCTTTCTTTTTTTCTTTCTTTTTTTTAACTTTTGTTCCAGTGAGGTTAACTAAAATAAAATTAGAAAAAAAGAAGAGAGAGTATGGGTTAACTAAACAGAGTAAGTGATCTTAAACCCTAAGAGAGAGAGAGAGAGACGGACGGAGAGTGAGGGTCTTCGGTGAGCTGAAACTTATTGACAACGGGAAGCGCTTCCGTCTGCATAGCTGTTATTCGAAACTAACATTAACATAACATTAAGAAAATCAATGAACACAAAGAAAGACAGACAACATAATATGAGTGACGTACCAATGACGATGACGATGTTGGAAATTGGTTTAGGTTCGGCAACCATGGCTTCCTCTGGAGCCGGCGCATCTAATTGGTCGCCACGCGCTGCCATACCTGATTCCTATGCCTTATTATGACTTTTCTTCTTTCTATTTCCCCGCAATACCACTTACCACTTGCGTCTATGAACATATTTCCCTATATATATATATATATATAGGTAGGATCCTTTGACACCGATGTCAAATTTGAAATTTGACATCTCATCTGAGAGCCGTTAGATCAAAAAAGATCAATGGTGTCCCATGCTTACAAATCAGAATCGTTGATATTTTTTGATCTAACGGCTCTCAGATGAGGTGTCAAATTTTAAATTTGATACCGGTGTCAAAGGATCCTGCCTCATATATATATATATATATATATATGAGGCAGGATCCTTTGATACCGGTGTCAAAATTCAAATTTGACACCTCACTTGAGAGTCATTAGATCAAAAAAGATCAACGGTGTCACATGCTTGCAAATCATAGACGTTGATATTTTTTGATCTAATGACTCTTAGTTGAGGTGTCAAATTTGAATTTTGACACTGGTGTCAAAGGATCCTACCTCTCTATATATATATATATATATATATATGGGTTAAGATCATTTTACACCCGTGTAAGTTACACTCTCAATCTTGATCGTTGATCTCACTTGTATCTAATGGCTATAATTTTTTTAGAAATGTGAACAATTGGATACAAGTGGATCAATGTTCAAGATTGAGTGTAAGACTTCTAACTCTTACACCAGTGTAAGAATATCCTACCTATATATATATATATATATATATATATATATATATATATATATATATATACCACTTTGAATTTAGGATTTAATAATTTACAGATTACGCAATGTGATTGGTAAATTATAATTTAATTTGTTTTCTTGTAAATGTTGAGCCAGTTGAGGTAACTGGTTACGCACTGCTCTATTTCTACATAATTCGTCAAGTCTCGTGATTATGAAATTAACTTCGCCATGGAATATTTCTCAGTTCTTACATTATTTATTAATTTTAAGTAGATTGGACACAGGCAAAAAAAAATATTCATAACATTTAGGCATATATGGTGGACATGATGGAAATAACACTACATGATAAATTATCATAATTTTCCTCTTATCTATTATTTTTTAATTAAGGGAATATTATAAATTTATACTACTCACAACCTATTAAGTCGAGGATCATCACAAATTTGACCTCATAATCTTTTTATTATAACTTCACTATGGAATGCAAAAGTTAGCCTGTCATTGGAAAAAAAATCTCTAAGCGACCCATATAAATTTTGGGTGGTCCCTCTCACAATCAATTTTGTTTTTTCTTTTTATTTCCTATTTGTGAGAAGTAGCTGCTCTGGCCCATTAAAATCGTTCTCCTCTTCTTGGCTAACCACCTCCACAACAGCCTGCGCTTGCCATAAGAGAACGTGTCAAATTCTAGTTTTATTCTCCTCTTTGAACTTATACGATGATGGTTTTGATTCTTCTTTGTCTTTACGAGAATGTAAGATTGATTCTCAACACAAATACTCCGAGCTTCAGTAGTGTAATCCTTAACATTTTCGAATCTTTTAACAATTATCTTCTCTCCAAATTTCAATATATATATATATATATATATTAATTACTCACTCACAATTTTTTCCAAACAAAATTTTCCCGTAAAGGTAAGGAAGAATAAGAACCATCTAATTCAGATAGGATAAGAGAACAACAATTAGGCACCTGATACGGTGTTCCGAATTGCAAGGGTTGTAATTAGGTGGGGATTTATCAACGATAGTGGTTCGGTGCTTCAGTGACGAGGGCTGATCTGAATGAAACACATCCAAATCAGATATATCAAGTCTAAGTACAAAATCCCTCAGGTTCTCGCCTTCAATGAGACAACAATTCTCAATGATTGTCGCAACAACCATTGCTCGCGGACAGAATGATAATTGATACCCTATCTACGACTTAGTTGCAACTTGATAGATAAGACCATAGTTTATGGAAAGCCAACAAGAACATTAGGAAGACACACACAAAAAAATAAAAATTCTAAACTCCATTCAATAAAACATAATTTCCTAAAATTAAGAAATTTCCTAAAAATAAAGATAATGATGAGGATAACGATACAATTAGGAAAGATTCTAAAGATTGAGATAAAGATAATTATCTCCTAAAAATAAGAATTTTTTTTAAAGATAAAGATAAATCAACTAAATACAATCAAATAAATCTATTATTTGGTAAGTTCAAACTCGAACTCAAAATATATCTCAAATCGTAGCCTTTAAAACGAGCCAAATTTATTGAAAACACGGATCATGCTTAATGGACCATAAATTTGATTGAGAAATGATATCTTGAATCAACCTATTGAATATTTATTGAATTTTCTTAGTTGAGCTTTAGTATCTAGAATAACTGGAGCTTGGATCGAGTCCCTGAGCAGGACTAACCTGGTCATAAGAGCTAGATTTCATATTCCCATCAAAGCTTCAAGGGAGAAGCATATGTGGCTATGTTCAAGACTAAAGAATGTGATATTTTCATTACTATTTTATTCAATCATAACCCAAGTCCCTTTAGGATATAACTTATATAGGATAAATTCAGCTAATAAGATGAATTTATCTTATTTTTTTCTGATTATTATTTATCAATTTATCGATTATTCGACTAGTTTGATTCAAGTTGGGTCGGACCATGAACTGCAACACTCTTCCTATTAAGTTTTAACACATCTGTCTCTTCATGAACTCAAACTCAAGACCACTAATTAAGTTAAAACAACTCAACCACTGCATTTCCACAAATTTGATGGTAAGTTTATCTTATTCTCACCAAATAATAAATTAGAACGTCTTATTGTCTATCGGATCATATTCTCTTTAATTTGTCCCATGATGGACCCTTAAAATACATATTCAAAATCACCTGTAAATTTTAAAGATTGAATTAAAAATTTTGACTTATCATATTCAAACAAATTTAGTGGGAAATCGTAGACAACATGTAGTTTTTTTACTAAATGATTGTTTTCTTCAATTTTCAACTTACGAACAATGTTAAAAATGACATTTCAACATAAAATATTCGTGACTCAGTTATCTACTTAACGATTTTATTAGGTTTACCATTATTCGGTATTAGATGTAGCAGTTTTTTTATAGATACAGTAGATTTAATTAATTTTCGTAACAAAATAGATATATGCCCATGATAAACATAAAATACAAAGAAAAAGGTAATTTAGTAATTTACCCCCAAATGAATTATAAAAACTTAGAAGTAACAAATAACAAATTAATATTTGCAATAGATATATTATTCTACCTGTATATTTTTAATGTCTATTTTTATACCATTCTCCGATACTGTTAAATTAGAATTTAAACCAATTTTACTATTTTTCTCTCCTCTTTAGATTATGATATAATGATGTTGGAGATTTATAATAAGATAGGCATGCAAAAATGGTAAGTAGAATAACTATCCATATTTTCAAAAGCCTAGGTTTGAAACGTGGGGTACAACACCCAAATTTATATTTTATTTAATAAAATTGTTTTGAAAGACATTTAACAATATCATTTAATACACATTAATTTTAAGAAAAAATAAATAATAAAATAAAATAAAGATAAAGCGTCCTGTGGTTTAATAAAACCAAAATTAACATTTAATAGTGATAGCATTATTTATTAATAAATTAATCATAAAATTACTTCGAGAAGTAAAAGTATTTAATAAAACTAAATATTAAATACAAAATAAAAATTATGTTAATTTTTTAAAATTAACACGATAATAAATATAAATAAGACAAAAATATTATGGTGAGTATTGATAAGAAAAAAGTTAATTAAGTAATACTGATAGTATACAATAAAATTTAATTCAATTCAGAAGTACAAATTTATTTTCAATGAAAAAAAATATTACATATAAAATGAACATTAAGTTTTTCCTTATTCTTTTCAATATAATAATACAATTAAAATAAACAAAAATATAAGAATGTAACAACTAATGAAATACATGAGTAACGGATGAAGGTTATCCCAACTGCATCTTGCCATGATACATTGCCAAAGCAGGGGAAGGTTATTCTAAGTAACAAAACACACTCAAAACTTAAAATGTTAAACTAAGAAGGGCACACACACAACACTAATACTTTGTTTGCTGTGCGGCTCTTCCAAATACTGTAGTGTAGAATGTAAACACCTGAATTTTGAGTTGCTTTAAACCCAACAAATTGATTACCAAACACGCCACAATGAATTGGCATATATTTTACATCAAATGGGAAAGTACTCCAAGAAAACACAATGGATCCTTCAAATTTGAGGAAGATGCTAGGCACTAAGGTAAAGTAAGTAGTCAATGTTCAAAACCAAAGGAATGCTAGGGCAAGAAACAAAGATATTAATAAGGGATTGAAACCACATGAGTAAGTTGTTGGTCTTGAGCTACCATTTGGTAACATAGGGAATGTATCCGGTAAAGGCATTTCACAGTTCTCGCCATTGAAATATACTCTTCTCGGAAATGCCCATCCGTTACTTAATGTGAAAGAATTTGGATCTTTTTCCAATATTATATCTGTTGTCACCATCCTCAGTTGATCTTTATCTGAATGCAATAACTCACTGTTGTAAAAATCTATCCCCCAATAAAGGGAAACTCCATCTGCCACAATAGAGTACAAGTTTATCAATTTAATGAAAAGTTAAATCACACTGTCATCAATAGCAACCAAGAATTTCAGGATTTCTTGCACGTATATATATTTTGGGAAAATGTTAATTGCATGAATGTAACAAATACATTGCTTTACATATGAAGAAGCTTGTGGCAGAATTAGAATGTAAAAATATGTAGAATAACAACATGATTTCCATTGTAATCAACCTGTAAAACCTATGTAAGTGATGCATTATCAATGAGTTATCTTTTATTTAAATACTTACAAATAGGTAAAATTTAAGATTTCTTACTCATAATGACGTAGGTGACAACTCAATTTTCTTTAAATTTAATCAAAAGAATTAGAAAATCTTAAAAGTTTTCTATTATCAATCACCAATAGTTATTTTTATTTTATTTTATTTTATCATCCATGATAGGATTATGCTCTTCAGTGTGTATGTACCTTGGAGCCCAAGGGCCGGAAGTTTAGTACTGTTGAAGCTGTAAGTTATTGCATTTTGGCTTAAACCAGGATGTTGAACCAGTACGTTCCAGTTTGAATAGTTTCTATTATAGTTGTAGTTAGAAATTGTTAGCTTCACCCTCCAATGATCCACATAGTTGTTCTTGAAATGCCAATGGACTCGAATTGGGCACATGTGCTTAGTGCATTCTATTATGTTGTCCTCATTTGACTGTGGCAAGGGATCACCTGGCCTGGTAAGATAAGCACACAAAGGAGAAATGAGTGACCTGAGAGAATGCCCTTACTTTTATTGAATACAAATCTGAGCAATTGAAATGCACCTTATGCAAGGCCCTGTACTTTCATCTGATTCTGGACACCCACAACTGCAATTACGGCATGAAGTGATAGCAGGGTTGTAAAATGTTGAGAGGGAAACACAGCATAATGGTGATGTATTTGCTACGAAACTGGAGTACGTACATGTTGACTTCCAAGTTCCTGGAGTGCAAAATGTATGCTACTAAGTACTAACCAATTAGGATTACAAGCGTACGTTCACCATTTTTCTTATTTAGTGTATTCAGTAACATAAATCATTTCTTAATTTGCATTCTTATTTGTGTGTTTCATACTTATTTAATTCTTTTTTAGGGAACTTTCTTTCAAGGCTAGAACATAAGAAAAACCATTTCTTGCATGTGAATATTACATAACATTAAGAAGAGCAGAACTACATTGTCTATATGTCACAGAGTCACAGAGAACTTACTGATAGCTGGAACTTGTCTTCGTCCCCCAGAATCTGAGGAAACAGTGGGATCAACATCCAGAAGTGGACTACAAGTGTAACCAGGACCTGGGGCCATCAATGTAAGATTATTAGGTGCTTGTCCAAGTGGGTTTCCCCCCAAGTTGCGAACTTCAAGTTCAAATAAAGAGAATGACTTCAAAGGATCAATAGCCCATGCAGAGAGGAGGCCACCATTACAGCAATGCTCTGACCTGTTTTTTGTGACATCTGGAGTGAGATCAACTATGATGGGATCTTTCTTGCAAGAATGTGGCATCTGAGAGCCGCTGTAAGATGAGCAATTCCCTCTATCAGTTGCAACGGCACCATTCATTGACCATATCACTTCACTGTTAGCCCATATCCATCCTAGTTTCCACCCAGGTTTGTCTACATGGCGATATTGATAATAGTTTTGAAGGGTCACCCTTCCCTGTTGAAAACATTCAAGGCTTCATGGTAGATTCTAGTTGTGCTTCATTACTTAACATTCATTGTATATATGCAAAATGATAGAACTTAAATCAATTAGTTACAGTCAAAAGAATCAACTCGAAATGCCTTTAATTAGTGTAATTTGCGGATCAACTTCATACATTGGATCATTGGCTAAGTTGATTGGAAATTTTGAAATTTCATTATGTGATTCATCGGGGCAAGTTCTCATTCTTGTATCCCTAAGACATTATAGTATCATTTTTAAGTTCAAGCACTGAAGATGAAAATATTTGCTTTTAGGATTTATTATAGTACTGTTCTTCTTCAAGTAAAGAAACATAGAAAGTAGATAAAAGGGTGCTGAGTGGCATCCTGAGTAATTTTTGCTATGCTTTGTTGACCATAATCGTGAAGCAGCTAAATATGAGGTTCAAAAATCAAATTGCGGTTTCAAAGGGTGATGGTACTGACCAGATATCCATTGTCTGTCCGTTGGTAAATGTCAAAAGTTACAGAAATGTTACCATTTGGATCCCACGGGTCATAGCAATCTGCAGAAAAGGTTGAGAACTAAATGAGCAAACGAAAGAAGACAAGAAAAAGTAGAGTTAGCTAGACCATGGCATCCACTGAAAACTGAACACAAGCAGCAAGCAAAAAAAGGAAAAGTGCAGTGCCTGATAAAGTACACAGAGCAATCAATAGTATCAACTTCAGTGTATGAGGATATAGACGATGAAAAATCAGCACCATTTTTTTCTTTGAAGATGGACTGCGGAATGTCACAAGAGCATGAGACAAAAGAATTGCCTTTATTAACAAGTCGTGTATCAATGTAGAGAAACTCGTTATCTGCTCCTCCTTATTATATTACTCGAATCAAACAAAGGGTCATCATTGGAAATATCAACTAATTATATGACTAGACAAATCCAGCATTTTACTAAACCTTAAAATGGTTCCACTCGAATGCTGACAAGCTACAGAATAATATGTTATGCAATTACAAATAAATCCTCCTGCCCAAAACTTGTTTAAGCACTCAAAGTCAACAAAAGGATGGTTCATGTTTTCTTAACCTGACATAACTCAGAGACACTGTATTATGCATTGTTCTTAGGATAAGGTACGAGTCCTTGTTTACTTACCAGTGAAACAAATCAAAGTAAACCTGGTCACTAAAAAGCAACGTTGTTAACATGGTAACAGTAAGTCAGAAACAGGGCTAAAACCTTAGGCATTTTGTTTCCATTGAACTTTACATGATCAGAGACAAAGGGTAATCTTCCATGACAAATTTATTACCCGGATTATGCAATTGTATTCATTAAACAATACGGTAGAAAAATATATTCCATTTTTTGACGCGTCGTGGGAATGAAGCTTATGTTTGTCATCTAAATTGAATTGGAAAGTATTTTTTTCAGCAACTAGTTGTCATTATTTATCTCCTTCAGTTTGGTAAATAGTCATTTATTAGAAAGCTATCAGCATCACGTATTTAAAAATAAAATCAACACTCAAATAATTTTCTTTTTCTTTTTCACGTCCATAAATAAGCTAAAACCTTGCAAAAAAAAAAATTCATATAAAATTTTGCATTTCGAAATAAACGAAAAAAAGAATATTGGGCTTGAAGGAAATATGAGATGGAAACAATGCATTTGTCCACTAGTTGCCAGATCATTAAATGGAAATATGAGATCAGATGTATGAAATTGAGAGGATTACTATATCCGCTTAAACAGTCCAAATGGACTAACAAAGGTTAAATAGCATCCAAGACTTTTGGCGAGCATTTTCAGAACAGAGAAGATGACTCCTATTAATCACATGCTTGGAGAACACGTAAGATAGGATCCAATATTTTGGAGGAAGAGGAAAACGATAATGTTGTAGCTGTTATGCGGTAAGAACATGTCGTCATAGAGGATAGCAAGGTTTTCCTGTCAAGCCCTTCGTGTTGCGCATATACCTGAAATATTGTTCCCTCATAGCTGTTTATTAGCAATAAATGAGACCTAGTTTCACAAGTATAGTTACAGAAAAAGCATTGGACTCCAAAGGATAAAAATATAATTTACATTAAAAGCTAAAAATTTATAAAATAACTTCAAAATTATAAAAACTATTATGTATCTTTTAAAAGTAGAGTGTCTAGGGGTCAAATTATCATATAAGTGTGTACATATTATGTTCCATTGAGGAGATTACATATTGATCATAGGGAAAGTTGTTGAGAACAAGAAGGCATATATTTCCTTGGTTCCAAAATTATCCATGTCCTTGATTTATACGCAGCTATACTATCCAATCGCTCCAACAACCAACCTTGTACGGTGGCAGATTTTCTTTACGGTGGGGCAGCTGCCCCCAACATTATTTGTTTTTCCCGTAGAAAAATAAAAAAATTAGTTATTTTCTTTAAAACCTATGAGGTTATGTCGCATATAAATAATGAGAGATCAATTGAGCATTTTAAAAAATAAAAATAAAAATCATCAAATCACATTTGATTAGTATTGACTAGTACAAAGAGGTAATCAAAACCAGAATATATTTTGGTATCTATAGCTCATCTCTCGCCGTTCTCACAATTCAAGTACTGGTCAAATCGTAAATGACATATTGTTAATGGTAGAAGTGTTTATCATTTTAAATGACATAAAATTATATCATTTTAAGAGAGAGATAGACATAAAATAATTTTTTTATTTAAAATTTAAATTAAAAAAAACCACTCATTTTATCTCCCATGATTTTCATTCTTTGCGTCTATCTCTCTCCTAAAATGACATAACTTATGTCATTTAGAATGACAAACATCAAACCCTTGTTAATAGTAACTAATCTCGTATACGCTCTACAGGGTGGGTGGTTAATATCTGCATCAATCACAACTCAAATAAATATGATTTACACATTAATTCAGCTAGCTCCTAAGTAATTCTTAGTTAGACATGATTTATTTTTGACATGTGTAAGATTATGTAAATAATTGTTGAAATACTCAAATGTGATGAAGTCTCACGTCGGCTGGTAATGAAATGAGTGAAGTTCATATAAGTGGAAAGATCAATGAAACTAATGCCTTAAGAGTTTGAGTTAAGACATAATATCAAAGTCACTTGCTACAATTGGCACATAATTTACACATTAATGGTGGTCCCTACCCATGGCATAAATGTGTGCCTATTCAAGAATTTCTCCACACTTAGGAGATGAACAACTTCCCAGGTCTGTTCAAAGTTATGACACAAGTTGTTTGATGGACAAGAACTCTTTAATGAAAGAGTCCTCGCTTCCATTGGTGCCCATGAGTTTTTCATACAAGAGGTAATTAAATACAAGATTTTGTTAATGTATACTCTTTCTAGTGCCTGAAGTAGCCTCTAGCTTGCTTGGTGCCACATCCCAAAAATTTCAACTCCTTTTGCCTCTGCCTCTTGATCGCTGCAATTGCATGCAAACACAACAAAAGGTCCCAGAAAGCATGGTCTATGCCTAACAAAGTCCATTTTAATTTGTACTTACAACTTTTCCCTTGCTCCTTATTCAATCAACAATCGTCCAACTGCTGGTATATTATATGTTCAAAAACAAAGATAGGAAAAAGGCATGCCATATTCTTAAATTTAAGTCTCTCATTTTATGTTGCCATCAACGGCCTACAAGACATCTACATCATTACAATTGAAGTGACCAACACTGCCGACTAGGGATAAGTGAAATTTTTTTTCCATCTCAGTGGCATTCTATATTTTTCAGACTCACAAATAATCTCACAACATACAAATTGACTCCTCAAAACACAAATTATGCAAGTAACAATTTGCATAAATAAATTTGTTTATTGTACTTGGTTTTTTGATCGGTCATGTACTTGAGACAGTTATGATGTTTCACTAGTAGATGGCTGCAAAAGTGTAGAAGATGAGCCTAAAGGCTCATGCACGACTGAATTAGAAGAAACAGATATGGGATTGATCTCTAACTGCATCACGATACTCCCCAATATTTCAGTTAAAATTTTCTTGAATTCGTCTTCTTTAACCATCTTTGCATCATCTGCATTCACCATCTTAAAGGCTTCACTAATAACCTTATCCAGCTGTAAAATCAAACACACGAGTTTCCAATCACTGGCTCAGGAAGACACAGGTAAACATAAAGTGCAAGACATCATTGTATCTCATGCCATGGTGGCAAATGGCAAGATCCAAAGAACATAGACACTAGCACTGACCCATGCCAACACTGATTTTCTAGCTTTTATTGAGTATCACAAAATAAATTGCTTCGAGATCAATTATAAACAATGGTACTAAATAAGAACACTTCAGCAAAACATGTGAAAATCACTGCTATAAACACTAGCAGTAGCACTGACTCATGCCAGCACTCCAACAGTGATTTTTGAGCTTCTATTGAGTATCATAAAACGAATTGCTCCAGGATAAATAAAAAATGGAACTAAATAAGAACACTACAATACAACGTGTGACAATCTCAACTATATTCTCAGCCTATTTTAATTCTTTACCTCAATGCTATTCAGCAACATACAAAATTCATAGAGTCAAAGCAATAAACAAATAGATGAATCCGAATTAAGTTGGGAAGTGGATGGATTGACTGTTTGCATTGGCAACATACCTCTTCAATTGCACCAACTGGGGGTAAACCAGCAGATGGAGACACCACATCTAGAGCCACCCGCAGACAGTCCTTTGATATTTTTCCATTGCGATCTTTTGGCAGATTCTCTAAAGCTGAGTTCAACGTCTGCATCATGTGATAGATTGGTACATTTCATAGAAGGATGTTTAACAAAGTAAATTGGGAACAAGAAAGATATTCCAATGAATCACAATAAAAATAAACCTTGTCTAATTCAAACTTGTTGGATAAAAGTCTCTTGACGCCACTTCCATCAAAGGTGTTTTCACTGTGGGCAACAATGACAGGTTTCTCTTTAAGACAATCAACTACACTCAATGCCACATTCTTAAATTCTTCCAAAAATGTATCTTGACTAACAGGCTTATCCCAAGAAGGACCAGCTTGAGACAGCAGAGCCGGGTCCAGAATGTTATTAAAAACCTATGCATAAAAAAGATAACCCAGAAGGGTAAGGAAATGAAAGAAGATTGAGATATATGTCAAAATTAAGATGGAAAACGAGATTCTTAGCAATAAATGAACTTTATTTTAATCATGTTTTGTTCACACAAAAATCTATTTTAAAAAACAAGTACTTAAATATGTACAACAACATCATTCGAGGACAAGAATAGTTGCATTAATTGATTACCCAAGAATCTGATGTAGGAGGAATTCCATGATCAACAGTGAGTCTACCAAAAGCTTCAATTACATATTCACGAAGTGATCCACTCGAAGACTCAATCTGAGAGAACATGGATGCCATTTCTGCTTCATAACTTGGACCATTAACAAACTCAAGGAGATCTTCCCCATCCATGCGGAGTATAACAATTGGGTCTCGCTTCAGTCCAGCAGCCATGCCCAATAGAATGTCTGAGAGAACCTCTTTGAACTCAATCTTGCTCACTTTTTCTTGCTTGCCATGGGTAAATTCATTCAAGACTTATAGACCAAGACAATAGAATTTTCTATTCTTGTTCCATTTGTAAATTAATGTATAGAAATCTTGATAGCTCATGCAAAAATTATCTAAGGAACTTGAGGACTTCTATTGAAAATGCAATGGCAAATCAAACTCTTTAGAGAAATATAATTAATCTTATGGGAAACAATGTACATCTTCACAAAAGAATGCAGATAGAGTTCTTGTTTTACCCAATAATATTCCAAAAATACATAATGATTCTTATGTACCACCAGAGTGGATCAAATTCTGGCAAACACAAAAAGAAAATAAGCAAGTCTTCAAGACCTGCTATTTCCAAAGCAAAAATTACAGCCCACCGTGTAATTTTTGGTGGTCCAAAATATGTCTTGCATGATAATAGTACTTCATAACAAACATATTAAAAGGATAAATACAAAAGGGAAAACCCCCCAGTAAATCCTCATTTATCATGTATCTTAACACGTCATTAATCTAGAATCATATTGCTTCTTTTTCTAATCTTCTTGTGGCCAAGGTGTCTTATACTCTTCAAATATATTTTATATATATTTTTTTTTCTATCTTTTAGCATCTGGTTAAGTAAGAGATTTGCTTTTTCCCAAAGTATGCCTTTAAAAGAACACCTTTACCTGTCCACACGAGTACCGACCTCAGATTGCAGCTAGCACTAGTAGTTTGGGTCCCTGGAATTTATCATTGACTATAATAGCAGATTGACTTTTTGTTACTCTAAACTACAAAGTCTAAAATCTAAACTAATATATTAGAGGTTAAAAATGCCAGCTTGACATAGTTTCCACCATATACGTCACCAAAATCTGCCTCTAGGGAGACAAGAAAATAGCAATAAGAAGCAAAGTAGAGCAGGGCAAGTAATTGCAAAATAAAAGCAGATTCCCACAGGACCGACCAAAGTATCATGGATGGGATACTTTTGGGGCCAGCTATAAGTCCATAATAAATTTACAAAGCACATTATCAATTAATATTTTTTATCCCAAGTTCACACTCTTCTCCATCAACATCTGAAGCATTAAGAAAGTATAGAATTTGCAAACGAGCCACTATATACATAAAGAAAGTTGCTTTCACATGCCAAACAAAGCTTAAAAACTCAAAGGAAAACCATCAGACATAAGAACTATTACAGAATAATATAAACCATTAAAAAAGACCCTCACCGAATACCTTAAGGTTTTGGGTTGAATTGGTTCTTTACATGGTATAAGAGCCTCACCCTCCTATTTTGTGTGTGGAATTTCTTAGTACAGTTAGGTGGACCAATGTATTATCCATCCTTCATGCCCAGTGGACTATCTTGTATGAGGGAACGTGTGAGAGAAGTATATAAACCATTGATGGACCTTTACTTAATAGCTTAAGCTTTTGCGTGAAATGGTTCTTTACATAGTATCAGAGCCTCGCTGTTACAGGTTTGATCCTCATTACTCCCATTTTCTCTTGTGGAATTTCTTAGTACAGGTAGGTGGACCTGTGCATTCACCTTTCAAAACCAATGGGCTTTCTTGTGAGAGGGCGTGTTAGAGATATATAAAACCATTTAGGTAGCCTCATCCACCAGCTTAAACTTTTGGGTTGAATTAGTTGGTATTAGAGCTTCAGTGACCATAAGGTCACGAGTTCGATCTTCAACACCCCCACTTTCTATTGGAATTAAATAAGTACAAGATAAAACCAAAAAATTGGGTCTGTGCAATATCCACGCTTCAAGTTCAAAGGGATCTTGCGTGAAGGGGTGTGTTAGAGAATAATATAAACCATTAAAAAGACACTCACCCAACACCTTAAAGTTTTGAGTTGAATTGGTTCTTTACGAGAACGAAACGAATCGGATGACGATAATGATATGACATTGATGATAAGTTAACTATTTTTGCCTAGACATGATAATAATAATATGGGAAGAATTAAACTAACATAATTTAGAATAAGTCATGTATATTTTCATGTTTAACAAACCCCACCCACCGCACAGCACTGCTAAGATTCCAAGCCAGTTTTAGCACAAGAGAAAAAGCTACCACTGAAGTACTTTTCTTCTTTCCCCAGAACTTGAAAAGAAAAAAATAAAGAAAAGAAAAGAGATTGAAACCTCATAATAGATATGATCAGAATCAGGACTAGTTCCCTGAGCAGGCAAACCAAGAGCAGCACCGATGTCAGCAACAGCAGGCTCGAGCTCCTTTACTGAGAGCTTCCCATCTCTGTCTCTATCCAACTCATGAAACTTATTGTCCACGAAGTTGCTGAATACTTGCTCGTTCCCAACCAACTCCATTATGTTCGAACCATCCAGAACCTGTCCGTTCCCACCACTTTTCCTCTTCTGATTGCCTGAACTACTCTCCGTTCTCAGCTACCCAATGCTTCAGGTTTTTGCTTTTTCTTTTGAGCTTGTGTCACTTTGGTTCCACCTCTCGTGACGTGAGTGTCACACGAGCTAAAGTAAGTGAGTTGAGTGAGTGAGTGAGTTACACAGTTTTGCTTTGTACTTGTATTTGTGGTTAAAAATAAAACCATCAAATATGGCTTATTTTCTTCAACATTGTTTCGCCTCTATTTATTAATGGGTTTAACACGGAAGGGGAAAAGAAAAAGAAGAGGAGGAAAATAATCAGATCAGGCAGTGAAGTGTGAAGTGTGAACCCCACACCCGACTCCCAATAGAAAGTTTATATGAATCTCAATCATATCATTTATAGGAGAAAAAGAGCAAACACAACATGTGCTTGAAAGACGTAGGTCCTGTTTGTTTTAGTTGATGGGAAGCTACTTGTGCCCCTACCAAGCAGAGAAGCTTTGTCCCTTTTCTACTCATTCCCAATTAAATTCATTATACTTAGTTATTGATATGAGCTTTTATACTCCCAAATATATCCTGTCAGTAATGGGTTCATATTTTTTAATTTGGCTCAGTGCGAATTTAAAGGGAAAACAAATTATTGTGGAGCAATTAATAATTATAATTCTGCATTCTTTTAAGTATACTTCTCGTAATAAAATATTAATATTTTTTATATTGTAGAAGATAATTATATCTTGTACATACACGTAAAAGTGTATAGGTCAATATGGGTCCATGAAAAAAAAAAAGAGAGATAAAAAGAAAGGATTTAAAGTTTCTAAAGTTACTTTAAATAATTTTATCTAATCTTCACTAAAATACACACACAAAAATGTGTGAAATTCATGTGAACTCATATAAAGAGAAGAGAGAGAAAAAGAAAATATGAGTCATACATACTTTTATTTTATATTTTGATATATATTAAATAAAATTATCTAAATTACTTTTAAAAAGTTTAAATATATATATATATATATATATATATATATATATATATATATATATATATATATATATATATATATATATATACGTGCCCCACATACAATATAAAATATAAAATTATGTCAAAAATATTAATCCCAAAATGAAATTGGGACAAAGATGCTGGTGGTGACCACAGATCCCATTTGTAGCTGGGAAGCGTGACTACAAAGGGGGCAGGCGCGGATCCTCAACTTGGGCCAAATTTCTTTTTACCCAACTATTAGATTGGCCCGTACTTAATCCCCTTGGGATACGTGTCGCACAAGTGTTACTTATCATTTTACGGTTTTTCTATGATTATGTAATTTTTTTTTTGAAAAGAAGATTATATTTATAAATTTTTTGTTTACAAAATTTTATAAATTAATAGTATAGTTTATAAGTTTGTAAAAAAAAATTTGTCAGTATAATTCTATTCTTCTTTTAATATGCACCCGGTTCATGGTTTTTTGGGTGCTCCTTTTCCAAAGAAAGAAAAAATTTCTTCTATTTATATCCCTATTTTCTTTTTAAATTCTTTCTCAATCCTTTTTTCCTCTCATTTTTGAATAAGGCCCACCAAGTCCGGGAAAAAAAAAATGAGCTCATGATTATGATCTTCATCTTCTCCGGTCCATACACCGTTGCGTAATATTGCAGAACCATTAATTATAGGAAAATCATACTTTCATGTAATAGGAGAGTAAAAAATTTTCCTACACACATTCGTTTTTCATGCCAATTAATTTTTTTTTTTCTAATATAAAATGTGGGACCCACATTTAATTTGTCTCTACTTTTGTTCTCTCATGTTTTCATGCAACATAAGAAAACATATGAACCCTTAATTATAACGTTTAGTCAAAATGTAAGTAGTATGCGGGGCTAGCATCAGAGCACACTGCAAGAAATTTTACACTTTCCAGTTATCAATGAAAGCAAGCACTGTGTTATATAAAGACTGTAACTGATGAAATAAGTTGAGTTCAATTATCTTATAATTTATGAATTGATTTCGGAAACATCAACGTAAACTTAGTCAAACAATCCCAAACTAATTGAACGGCTAGGCCATTCAAAGGATCACCATTAGGTTAGCGCTAGTATGCTACTTAAAAACAAAGCTAATTATCTAGAGAGTATTATTGTGAATTAGGTGTCTTCTATGTAATCATAATTAGCCAAAAAAGTAGTCCAAAATCATTAAGGCACATCCTTGTTATTTTACTTAATGACTTCTGATTGTTTTTTAGAATAACCAAAGGAACCCACTAAAAGGTTGGCAAGAAGCAGAGTGGTTACTGCTCCCTAGGTATCTGAGGGTAAACACAATGTGGGGTTAATTAACAAGATGCAATGACCATGAGCGCTTTTAAAGTTCAGCCATTTGAACATGCAGAGTAAAAGAGGTACATAATTCTAAAACACACAATTTGTAAGCATACATTATTTTCAACTTGTCATTGCAATAATCTAATTGAGGTGGACGAGTGAACACATTGAAAAACTCACGACCATTTACTTGACATGTAACTTGCAGCAATGATACTAAATATTAAAGAATGAAGACCTTGTCTACCTGAAAACTTGATAAAGATACACTGTCAAGTCTGTCCTAAAAGTATACACTATACAATCTGCTTTACAAGAGTGACACCTCAGGGGCTACCTTGCTTATCCATATGCACCTGATTAATACGAGGCTGCACAACCAAAGAAGGAAACTGGTTTAAAATACCAGTGAATCCGTTTATGCCGTAAATCACAGCCTTACGCCAAGCGAATCCTACAATATCCGTAGCTTTGACTCTCAGCTCTGACAAGCTATCATTGATTTCCTTCTCATGTTTCACCATATAAGGCCGGATGAAGGAACTGTAAAGATGAATACTACCCTAAAGCCATTACCAGCAACATAAAAAAAGATAAACATGAAATACTTCTAACCAAAGCCCAAAAATAACAGCTTAAACGAGCAATTCATCTATGTTGCAGGTGTGAAATACTTACTTCTGTTTTAGAATACCAGAGATACACAAAGAATGCTAACTTTGCTTCGTTGTACAATGGTACCCTTCACAAAGAAAAAGAACATAATCAGAATATTTAATAAAAATCAGAGCACCAAGAAAGAAAAAAAAATAGATATAAAAACCATGATAATAAATAAAGTAATAATTGTACCATGAAATAAAAGTATCCCCCAATCCTCCAACAACCGTAAGGAAAGCAACTACGATCCTACAACAATAAGATGGCCCAACATTTAACCAAGGAAGTAATTAACAGTATTATTCGTGAGGAAGGTTATATTTACAAACTTTTTATTTATAAATTTTATAAACTACACTAAGTATGACCGGTCTCATACTTAGTGTAATTTCTAAAAAAAAATTGTAAACGGATCGATTGCTTATTATTTGTTGGCATCACAGTTGAAACTTAAAGAATATATTTAGTTCACGTGTCCAATGGGTAATAGGGGAAAACTCAAGACATGTACCAGTATTGGCACCAAAATACTAGTCGCTCAATCTCTGGCTTACTCTTGTCCACAGTTTTGAAACATTCATAAGCCGGCAAAGAATAACCAAATACCAACCTATACAAGTAAAATTAGATTCAGTTACCCCATTATTATGAAACAAGAAGTAAGGATTCTATAATAAATCATTTCTCTCTCACGTACAAGAGAGCTTTCGAAACAAATGACCCCATCATTTAAAGCCTGCAACATGGGCTGGAAAAAAAGAAAGAAAAAAAAGAAAGATTAATGTCGCTCTTGTATAGAGTTTCACAAGAAACACCAAACCCTGAAATCACGGGGAAAAATTCCATAATCAGTGCAAAGAAATCAGAAATATAATTAGTAGATTCCCACGTGCAAGATTCATGGTCCTTTGCGTTAGAATAAAAGTTGCCATTGGCCACAGAACAAATTAGAGATGAAAGGGACAACAGTCTTAAAAGATGACTAGTGAAATTAAATTCTAACCAATATATTTCAATTGTTTGTGATGAAAGTAATTAGATTAATCTTGGAATTCAATCACGCAAGATTTAACTCCAGCGGTTTTAGTTACATAATAAAAATAAAAATGAACATGACAAGGTTAAGGGACTAACCCTGCAATGCTAATGGCTTCCTCGTAACAAACGGTAATGTGTAACCTCTGCGTATATTGGCGCTAATTAAATAGGCTTCGCTCCGCTACGAAACGGTGCAACCCAAAAGGCGAATCTCAATATCGCTCCGCATCTGAACGTTTAAAAAATAGGAAGGCCCATGATTTATTTTTATTTTTTTTGCTATTTATTGGTGTTTTTAAAAATGAAATTTATTGCACTTGACACAATTAAAAAAACTGAAAAAGCGTAAAATTAAATGATAATGAAAGAATTAGATAATTATTGATTAAACTAATAATCACATGTATGACGCCCACGCTTTTTCTTAGCAAGTTAAAAAAAATGTATTGATTCTATAAATATGGGTGTAGTTGACTCAATTGATAAGATCCACCAAGGTGTCGTTATCAAATACTATATTAGACTTTTGTGATCGGTGAAGCTTGTGGACAATATAGTAATCGACATGACGTGGTTGAATTTTGAGTTTTGACATAAACAAACAATTTAAATAATATAAAAGAAGAAAAAGGAAATTGTGAACTAGCTGAATTAAGAGGAGAAAGAGAGAAAACAAGTTAAATTATCGATATCAATTGATTGAAATAATTAAAAATATAATAATATTATTTGTGCACTATTTTAATTATACTATTTTTATTTCTTTAATAATAAAATAAAAGAAACAATAAAGTACACGTTCTAATATATTTGTTCTCAAATAAAAGGATTAAAAATTAATGTGCAAAAAATACATATTTTTAAAATATAAAAACATAAAGAAATGGAATAAACAGAAATCATTGACGAATTCCCGGATCTTGTTAAATATTTATCAACCCACTAACGTCAAGAATATATATATGTCCACTCCCGGAAATTAGAGAAACAGGGCGTTTTCTTTGAAAAACAGTGGGCAAGTAAGTAACAAAGTAGAGTGCCAGATTGGATCTATGATGGGCTGACAGTGCCACAAATTCTATAGTCCAAGTACAGAGGTACATATTCCAATTTTTCATGCAAAAAAATATACTATATCTTATTTTCCTCCCTGTTACCCTTATAGCAATTATATTAGCAATTATTATATAAGCTGAATGCGAATATAAAAACCGCAAAACTGACATAGATTCATAATTAATCACATGGAACCTACATCTAGCATTGACAAATTATCGATAAGGATCAAACGGTTAGTAACTCATCATTTGTAGTCTGTCACATGATGATCCACAACCGAAAATCTTTACATGATTGTCACCCACACCCTTGTTCTGACAATATGCATATTGCACCATGCACATTTGTGCTTTCCGATGTTGATTCTCTTAGCACCTTAAATTTGTAGGACATGTACTAATTATAGAATTTTATATAATATTTTTCGCTTCCTATATATTTGGATTATCTTGATTACTTTGCAATTGAATTTTCTTGCTTGCATCTCTATATCTGATGCATTGGTAAGTGTTCATGCAAGTAATCAAAAGCCTCAGTGGCATGCATATACTCTTCAATGCCAACAGAGTTTGAAAAATGAAGCTATAATTACATATTTTGGCATAGATTGTTGTACCAAACCAAACAGCTTATCCTAGTTCTAATACCACTCCTGCTACAATCTCCTTTTGTTGCTCTAATAAAGAAAATAGATAGTAAATACTTAATACTATATTTACAGGTATGTATGATATAGAGGCATGGCATATGGTACGTACGGATGTGTGAATAGTTGGTACATTTAATGCACGTAACCTAAACGTTCCTAAGTTTTTGAGCCTCTTAAGAATTGGGTCCTGTGCTTATTGCATGTTTTAAGCCTTCATCACGTGGGAAGGGTGTGACCCTTTTCGATTTCAGTGTACGGCACTCCGTTTTTCTATCTCACTAGCTGGCTGATTTCTATGGAGTGATGGATTAGATTTTGAAATGGAGTTGAGAGGTAACTGAGCACAGCCATGTGAGTGTTTTATGAATTTCATGAAGTGGGGCCCATGGTCCTGTGGCACCATGCCAAAATATGAGTTGGAGTGTCTTATTAAGTATGATCCATTCTGGAAATGTATGGCTTCCCACTCCGTCTTAACGCTTTTAATAACAACACTATAAATACAACAACCCCAAAGCCTGATCAGTTCAAAAAAACATCATTACATGAACACATATTAGTTCACGCAAGAACAATTCAATTCAACCAAGTCCACTTGTCACTAGCTAGTATATATAAGGCTACAAGCCACTGCAACATCTTGCATATATATTATGGGCATTCGTCTACCATTATTTATGGTTCTTCATGGAAACAAGATATTCAAGTGGCAGCATCTCGAGAGTAGAAATCAATCGAATGTTCCAAAGGGTCACATAGCAGTGTATGTTGGAGAGGCTCAAAAGAAGAGGTTTGTGGTTCCAATATCTTACTTGAACCATCCTTCGTTTCTTGACTTGCTAAACAGAGTCGAGGAAGAGTTTGGATTCAATCATCCAATGGGGGGTCTCACAATCCCTTGCAAAGAAGAGGCATTCATCAATCTTACCTCTCAACTTCGAGCCTCCTGAATTATTATTAATTAACATCCTATTCCCTCCTATGTACGTATGATGCCTATCTTACTTCTTTTTTCTGCCTTTTTGTTTTTGGTACTCTTCACTTGAGTGCTTTTTGTACTAACTTCAGTCTTTTGACTAATGATTAAAAAGGTATTTCATTGTGTATATTTACTCTTAGAAGCAAAATAACCACTAGCAAATAACTTCTGGTTCCCCTTGTCCCCTCTCTAATAATGTAACATTTAAAATTTATTTAATTTTAGTGTATCTTGTCAAATATATATGGGTTTTATAATTCTCATTTTGAGAGAGAATTGAAATCTCATGTTGTAGAGATAAAAAAACATATGGGACCCGTGTGTTAGAAAAAATTATATGTAGGACTCGTGTCAGCACGGAAATCGAAGAGTGTGTAGGAAAATTGTAATTCTTATGTTAAATGAGAATTATAAAACCCAATATACGTAGGGAAAAACATTTCTCAAGCTGCTTGAGACAAATTTATCTTCGACCACCCCAAAACTACGTCGTTTTGATTATTTATTTTCTTATATGTATTGATTCAGCTTTGAATGATTATGATTCCTTTTTTCTCTCTCTTCCTTTATCACCATTGATCCATCTTTGTACGGTTATGATTTAGTAGCCAGAGATAACTTTATCTCCGACAGCTTGAGAAATGATAAGCCCATATATATATATATATTAATTTATTTAAAATGAAATAGGATCTTTTGATTTTGGTGTCAAATTTTAAAATTTGATACCAAATTTTAACTGTTGATTTCTGCCAATCAACAATTATTATTTATTGAAAATTAAATTTATTAATTAATTATTAATTTTCAATAAATAATAATCGTTGATTCACGGAAATCAATAGTTAGAATTTGATGTTAAAATTTGACACCAGGATCAAATAATCCTTCCCCATTTAAAATATGCTTAATTTATTAATGTCACCTATCCATGCAAAATGTTTTTTTCTTTTTAAGATTTTTCCGTCGATTCCTTCAGCTGGCAAAAAAATTTTATTAAATTTTTAAAATAACTACTTACTCATGATTCGAACTCAAAATCACCTGTTGAGCTAGATTATTTCATGTCACTGTTAATTGATCCACAACATTTTAGAATGTTCAAACCGTTGTTAAGTTCCAATATTGTATAGAATATTTTATTTTTGTATTTTAGGCATTGGCGTTATAGAATATTGGCAGTTAGCATGTGTTAATATTATTATAATTTAGGGAAAAGTTTAAAAACTCCTTTTATTATTTTATTTTGAATCACTTACACATTTATACTTCTTTTAATCACTTACCTCCTATGATTTTTTTCATTCAAATTCATCTTTAATATCGTTAAAAATTTACTAATCTATCTATTTTACCTTTCTTAAAATAAGTGAATATACTTATGACAAAAAATAAAAGAAAATAAAAATAAGACCAAATATATTGAAAACTTATAATACTTATTGAAAAGATTAAAAATTAAAATAGAAGAAAAAAATTAAATTGTCTAAATCAAAAAAAATAAAATAGACCGAGGACAAAAAGAAAAAGAAAAATAAGATTAAATATGTTGCAAACTTAGAACAGTAGCAGAAAAGACTAAAAGTAAAAAAAAAATGAAAATAGTCAAAAAAAAATTGAAGACAAAAAAAAAAAAAAGACTAAATATGTCTAAATAAAAAAGAAAAAAAATAGATTGAGGACAAAATAATAGAAAAAAATAACACCAAATATATAGGAAATTCACAAACTGATTTCTTTTTCTTTTATGTCTTAATTTTTCTTCCATTTCTTTTAACAGTAATAGAAAAGACTAAAAGTGAAAAAAAAATATAAAGAAAAAAAATATCAAGCATATCTAAATCAAAAAGATGAAAATAGTATGAGGGCAAAAAAAAAAAAAAAAAAAAAACCAAAATATGTTAATCTATTTCTTGTATTTTATTTTATTTTTTGTTTTATTTTTCTTCTATTTTTTTTGTATTTAGTCTATTTTCTTCTTTTTTATTTAGATTGTTTTTTAATTTTACTCTTTTCTATCAGTATTATAAGTTTTCAATATACCTCTCTTACTAGAAATCTATCAGGAATCAGTTATTCTTCAGGTCTCATCTCTTTTTATACTGACAATCACTCCCCGGCCATTCTCAGCGACGCGAATGTTACAGGTAGTGTCTGCCTTCGAATTCTGCTTCCCTTATGCTCACCGTGCAGATCACATACCAACTGGCACAATGCCTTACCATATGCCTACTCTGAAAAAACAAAAACAAAAACAAAATTGTTTAACCTAAAAAGATTTTCATTTATCATAGGAATTTCGAAGTAAGTCAGTTGAAGCAAAATCAAAAGATTAATATGAAAAATTCAGTGTGGGCCCCCAGTAAATGCATCTGAAAATATTTGCAATGAGGGGTAATACTTACATAAAAAAAATTGTCACCCTATGGTTACCTTTGAAAAGAGAATGAAGAAAAGTATAATACCAATAATTGATCACAGATTACAACAACGTCTTAGTAAGCAATTAATCACGAGGACTTCACGTGCTTTTCACATGGTCTTGTTGTCGTCAAAGTTGTGAGAAAGCATGCAATCAATTGCAAACCTTGACTATAATATAACCTCCTGCAAGCCTCCCAGTATTCATAAAAGGGTATTACCGTACTTCAAAAATAAAATATTATCATAATTTCCTTGTATTTACTAATAGCAAAGAGATTAACTGGACAATAGAAATTGCACTAGCCAAGACTTAATTCCACGTGTAAATAATTAGTCTTCACTACAGCCATATAATATGGAGACAGAAATGACAGAATTATTAACCAAAAACAGAAAGGAAAACTCATCAAAAAAATAGGGTTCAAAGTTTATCAAAACTTGACCCAATTATGAAAAGTCTTCCATTTCTAGTTCTCTGGGTTCAGCCACAAAGTAATCTGCATATAGAATAGCATTAAAACATGAATTTCAATTCAATATCCAGGTGGAACTTCTATGCAATACACTATTATGGCGAGTCGGCTACATAGAGTCAAATGGAACTTTCATGTACACTTATTTAATGGCCCGTCAAATCTTACTGTTAAGAAAATAGTAGCCATAACCGCTGATTCATCATTCATGCATCAATCTTATCCTTTGCCTCAAGCCTCTGCAATTGACCAGAGACTTTCCCATCTACATCTCATAAATTCTCTTGTTGGTCACCTATTGCTTGTTCTCATATAATTGGTGAGCCTATATGTTTTACAACCAATGCCCAATCTTAGTCATTAACAGCTTTCTGCTCTATTATTTAGAGTGATCGAAGAGCAATTGAATGCTTATGTCTCTCACAATTTCCTTCCCATTTCCTTCACACTAGTGGCCTTTTTCTCGTGCTTCTGTTTTTTCCTTCACAATCTCATAAAATAGCAGTAACAAGGTTCCAATGAATACAAAACTAAGAGGAATGTAATTAAATTTATTTTGAATATAGTTAGGTTTTGATGGTGACTAGAAAATAATTGATCATGGAATTTCAATTCCAATCTGTAAACTTGCATTCTGATTAGATTAGTACAAATCAGTATATGTTTTGCACGGAAAATCAATAAACAGAAGATATTTGAGTGGAAATGTGGATCTAACCAATTAGGTTTCCGTCGTACAAGAGTGGTTGACACGGCATCCAAGTGGAACTCGAATTTGATGTATATGGCCCATTTATATCTTCTTGTCATGGAATAGCAGACACCAACCTTGAATGCCATTGCCGACCAAAACAAAACTTGAATTCTAACCTCTTCCTCAAGTCCCAGAAATTGACCATGTCTGTTAAATGTTGAGCCTCTACAATTATTAAGCAGTGGAAGTCATCAAGTTTTTTCCTGTATAATAGGTTGGAGGACACACCATGTGATTCATGTCTCACGCTTATTAATCCCTGCCTAAATACCTATACACCACAGATTTTTCCACACGCTTTCATCTATAAATACACACCATATACTAAACTTTCTTCACCAAACAGAATTGTATACAACAAGAACCTCTTCCAAGTTCTAACAAATACTATTAAGATGGCTATTCGTTTGCCTAGTGTCTTGAGTGCTAAACACATTCTTCGCCGATCTAATCTGTTTTCAAATCAAGCAGCTGCACCAGCATCACAAGATGTGCCTAAAGGGTACTTTGCTGTATATGTAGGAGAGGGTGAAAAGAAGAGATTTGTGATACCAGTCTCATTATTGAATCAGCCTTCATTCCAAGAACTGCTAAGTATAGCTGAGGAAGAATTTGGCTTCAGTCATCCAATGGGTGGCCTCACAATTCCCTGCACAGAAGATATGTTCATTAATCTCACCGCAGACTTACATAGACTATGAAGAGCAGCCAAGAGTTTTAAATCTGAAGAGAAATCTTAGTTTTTCCTTTTAACATGGGGTTCGGAAAAATGGACTCGTGCAAAAGGTTTACACAGATGAGATGATACGCGGCCAAAACTAAGTCTGAAGACAGACTTTTTTTTTTCTTTTTTTGGGTAATCTCTGAGGACAGGCTTTTGTTTTTGGTTTTTGCCTTGTAACATGGGATTGAGAAAAGTTGACCCATGCATAAAGGTTTACTCTGTTCGGCAAGTGACTATATGGTATATGTATCATTGGATTTAAAACATAACTCAGCAGAAATTGACTTATTCATTTACATATGGCTTCTAGTTTTTTTTTCTTTCTAGTCTTAAGGTTGTTTCTATATACACTTGCTGATAAATGATTGAAACTTTCATAGTCTTAAGGTTGGATCAAATAAACTATGATTACTAGTTGAGAATTTTTAAAAATTTGCGTTGTTCCAGGTAATATATACCAACCTCATAAACTTTAAAATTTAGAAGATCCGCTAGAAAATGCCCGAGTTTGAAATCCTACCAAAATCAACGGTTGAAATCTCTCAAGTAAAATTTTCCCACTGTATCAAAGCATAAAACACGCCAAAGCTTTTTTTTTTTTTTTTGGGTACTTGCCATTATATATAAATCTGTATTATATGATCAATTCAATGAATGAGTGACTAACTGGTCAATTGGGTTGTAGTGATTAAAATGTGAAAAATGGTTTTAATTCTTTAAAAAAAAAAAAAAAAATTAATTGTTAAAGGAGAAACAAGTTGACCTGATTATGACTTGCCTTAACTAGGGTGAACTAGTCCTTTTTAATAAAAGAGCTAAGATTTAAGATATTCTTATATTTTCGAATACTGTTACCATAATTTTGTAACAGCAACAACAGCATGTACAGATACTCCTGTAGGTGTTGGGCTGTTATTGTCTGTTGGGCTGCTGAATTGGATTTCTTCAACTTTGACTGAGTTACAGGTCAGCCCATGATCTGGCCTGATCCAATCCATTTAAATTTAAACCCGGGCCTTGAGTTTTCTGAAGTGACCTTAAACGGGTTATAAATTTAGCAAATCCTAATCAGTTGAGTTCATGTCATACGACAAGCTAAGCTAGGAAATCGGAAGAGTGACCCATTTCTCACAAATCTAAAAAAAAAAATTGTTTCTCAAAGTGCCGTATGTACAAATCCGTCACAACTTATAGCGAATTTAATTTGCAAACGTGGCATATTTTTTATGGCCATCTAATTCATTATGGATAATAACAAATTAGGTGATAAAAAATGTCAGTATACTTTAAGCAAAAGCAAGACATATATGATTGTATTAGGACTGGCGAATTAAGTTTAAAAAAAAAAAAAAAAAACTTGAACCGGTGCGTATCTGCTATAATATTTGCTTTCTTCTAACCACATGATATGACTGAACTGCAAATGCTATTTACTTTCTAACTCTACAATACCATCTTTTGATCCAATCACAGCATACTCTGCCTCAAGTATTTGGGTTAAAAACACTGTGACTGAATTATTATTGGATCGGATTTTGGATTCTGAAAATTCAGACCTGAACAAATTAATTTTCCTTTTTTTCTCTCTCTAATTTCTCCAATTTTATTTCATTTTTTGCGAATAATATATTTAAAATATATGAATGTATGTACAAATTATTTTTTAACATTCTTAATTTTATTTTATTTTCATAAATAACACTTAAATATATAAAAATGTAACAATTTAATTCAAACCAACCAAAATTTAATTGAAATATTTAATCGGAATTAGTCAAAGAAAATTGACAAACTCAATTGAATTTTATTAAATGATTTAGACTGTTGATTAATGATTAATTGACAAACCGACAAAGTTTTTTGACAAAATCAATTCAAATTAAATGGTTTTGACAAACTAAATTTCAATATAATTTTATTTTTTAGAATTTTTTTTTTTTAATAATTAAAAAAATAATATATACAAATCTCAATTCAAATTTAATTAATTGATTTTTTTTTTCTGAAATCCGTCCAAACCAACCGTGTGTGGCCTTACTTTAAAATAGGTTAAAATTTGCAGAGAGAAAAATAAATAAAGAACTAAGGGACGTTTGTAGAGGAGAAATTTTTTTTACTAGGGAAATACAATTACTTAAAAAATTGTAGGAAAGTAAGTTTGATAGAAAAATTAAAAAAAAAATTGTTTGGTTGACGGAAATATTAATGAAAAAATTTATTTAAATTTACAAAGTCTATATTTGGTTAAAGATAAAATAATGATAGAAAAATAAGTTAAATTGACAAAAATACTCCCATTATAAATTTTTTAAAAGAACTATTAAAAGTGAGTCTCTTTTACTTATTGGTACTAATCGATGCAAGTTTGTCGCCTACCATCCCTCCTTGTCCCTCTCATAGTTTTTTTTATTACTTCTTTCAAAATTAAAACAACCAAATTTTGCTATTTTGCTTTGTTTGAACTTAAAGTGCCCCTCCTTAAAAATCGTGCCCCGAGAATGGATCACAGGTCAATTTGGTCTATAACTTTTTCTCCATTTTTTCACTTCCGAATCTATTCCAAAATATCATATCTCAAATGGTTTTTTGGAATAGTAAAACTCAACACAAAAAGAGTTTTCTATGCTTCCTAATCTACTAGTATTTTCTTTTGCAAACTTGTACCAAACGTGATATTTTTCAATATCTACTTTCACTTTTCCATCAAACTCAAAATAAAACCTATATCAAACACATTTTAAGAAGTTGCTAGCTAGTCAACCAAAACGGAGTTCACTGAGAACCAGTCAAAGAAAAAAGCAGCAGAGTATGTTGTGATTGGATCAGAAGATGGTACTGTAGAGTTAGAAAGTAAATAGTATTTGCAGTACAGTCATATCATGGTTAGAAAGAATCAAATACTATAGCAGATGCGCACGGTTCCCAAGTTTTTTCCCCCTTAACTTGGGAGATTTTTTTTGTTCTTAGTGTCACCTAATTCGCTATTACCCGCAGTGTTAGTTAATGGCATGTTCTATTTTTCTTCACCACCTAATTCATTACTATTCGTTAGGTGAGCCATCAAAAATATGGCATGTCTGCATATTAAATTCATTAGTATTTGTGACGAATTTGCATGTACGGCAATTTGGCAAATTTTACTATTGTCATGATATTTACACAATTTTTTTTGGATTTGTGGCAAACGCATCACTGTCCCCAGGAACCCACGAGATATATAGTCTCACAACATTGATTGGATAGGCAACTAATATAGTCTTTATAAGGCCTTGGACACTCCCACCCTTTGAGCTAGCTTTTGGGGTGGTGTATCCCAAGATTCTTTACGTGATATCAGAGTCTCACCGTCACCCGCTTTAAAAAGTGGAATTAAAATATAAAAAAAGCACAAAAAAGTAAACCAAAAATGAACCTGAGCAATTTTCACGCTTCTAGCCTAAAGGACTCTTGCGTGAGGGGGGGCCTTGGGCACTCCCACCCTTGAGCTAGCTCTGAGGAGGCGGTGTATCCAAGTTTCTTTAGAATTACAAATAGTGGCAGATTCTAAAATCATGTGCTTCAGTTAGTTCATGGTTTGAGCCAGCAACCCACAACAGACAAATGTCATTGGTTCTTCAGTCTTCTGGCCTTGCTAAGCAGCAGTATCACATGAGCCTGTTAATTATTTCTATACTTTAATTATAAGCAACAGCAGTAATCATCCCTCACTTCAACCCAGAATTAATACTTTCCTCAAGCATGATTATTACCATGATTTCTACTGACCTCCCTACGCAAAAGAAAATTGGCCAAAGGTTTTTCTCATACCATTCTTACCAGGCTCGGTCAATGGCCAGGAAAAAGAATTGGAATAAAATCGCAAGAAAGGGATTCACATTCAAGTAAAGCCCTACGGATCAGTCATTTGTCTCCAATGAATCCAAAACTAAGAGGAGTGCGAATTTGGTTTAAATTTAGTTAGGTTTTTGACGGTGACCAGGAAATAATTGATCATAATGAAATCCAATTCCAGTCAGTGGACATGCATTTTGATTAGATTAGTACAGATCAGTATATATTTTGCACGGAAAATCATTAATCACAAGATATTATTTGAGTGTAAATGTGGATCTAACCAATTAGGTTTCCATCGTACAGAAGAGTGGTGTACACCATACCCAAATGGAACTCAAATTTGGTGTTTATGGCCCATTTATATCTTTTTGTCAAGGAATAGGGGACGCTCGTCTTGAATGATATTGCCGACCAAAATAAAACTTGAAGTATATCCTCTTTCTTAAGTCCCTAAAATTGACCCACGTACGTTGAATGGTCAGCCTCTACAATAAATAGGCAGTGGAAGTCATCAACAAGTTTTGCCCAAAGGTTGAAGTACACACCGTGTGATAATTTGAATGCTCATGCCACACGCTATTCCCTGCCTAATTTCCTATTAGCCACTGATTCTTCCACACGCTTTCATCTATAAATACACACCCATATACTAAACTTTCTTCACCAAACAGAATTGTAAACAACAAGAACAATCTCTTCCAAGTTCTAACCAATACTGTTGTGATGGCTATTCGTTTGCCTAGTGCCTTGAATGCTAAACACATTCTTCGCAGGTCTAATCTGTTTTCAAATCAAGCAGCTGCACCAGCATCACAAGATGTGCCAAAAGGTTACTTTGCTGTATATGTAGGAGAGGGTGAAAAGAAGAGATTTGTGATACCAATCTCATTGTTGAATCAGCCTTCATTTCAAGAACTGCTGAGTATAGCTGAGGAAGAATTTGGCTTCAGTCATCCAATGGGTGGCCTCACAATTCCCTGCACAGAAGATATGTTCATTAATCTCACCTCTAGCTTAAACAGACAATGATATGCTGCCAAAAGTTTTAAATCTGAAGACAGACATTTGATTTTGGTTTTTGCCTTTCAACATGGGAGTGTGAAAAGTTAACCCATGCAAAAAGGTTTAGTGTACCGCAATTGAATGTCTCAAGACTATGCCGTATATGTATCATTGGAATAAAACTTAACTGAACATAAATTGCTTGCTTCTTGTTTTTTCTTCTTTCTCTTCTTATGGTTCTTTCTTTCTGTATACCCTTGAAGCCTGTGTTTCACTGCTGAGAACTAATTTCCTACTGAACATGAAATGAAACAAACTTTCAGCTGTCTAAACTACAGCTCTTAGAATTGGTTTGGATCAAATAAGCTAAGATTATTGTTGAAATATATTATTATTATTATTATAACCAAACTCACGACTAGCTGGTATAAAAAAGGGGAAAAAGTCCCTTTAAGATAAAGCACTTAAACAAAGCTCATTCATACTAAGAAATGTGTTGCTGGCATTTAGGCAGTAATAGTGATCAAAGGAACTTTAACTTCCTATAGTATCTATCCAGTTTCAACTTTTGATGTATCTTTCGGAATTTGGATAGATGAAGTGATGAACCCAGGAAACCAAACACATTCGCTCTGATTTCTTAAACAGGATAGATAAATAACGCCATTCCCTTGCTAAGGACTAGGCCTTTACGTTGTTCCAGGTAATATCTATCAAACTCATTACACTTTAAAAGTTTATAAGATCCACAAAAAGGTTCGTCCAATAGATACATACTTATTCCGCTTAAGTAAGGTATTGAGTTCAAGTCCTTGTAAACGTAAAAAAATTCCTTTAGGAGAGCTAGTCCCTCAACGATGTGAATATTCCCTATTCGAACAAGATTAACTCCGATGGAGGATATATGTGATTTATTCAAAAACAAAAAGAAACAATTATGAGATCCACTCGGAAAATGCCTGAGGAAAACAAGAAAAATCCTGATCCACATAATTTATTAGCCAGCAGTTGGTCTCTCATTCATAGTCCTATAATTTCTCTTTTTCCTACTTATCTCTTTTTATCCATATTTAATGGAGAACTTGGAACTCTGATATTTAAAAGTACTAAGCCATCAGCTGTACGATTATTTTGGAAAATTAATTTACAGCATAAACATTGCTTGACTGTCACAATTGTAATGAACCTAGAAACTATAGCTTTTAGCCAAACTTGAGTTTTTTTTTACAGTAAAGCCACAACTTTATAGAACAAAACAAAAGTTCAAGAAAATCATTGGGCCTTCTATGGGGGGAAATACAATCTACATAAGAAGACACTCCAAGCTAGTCTAATAGAGGTTCCTGAATTAAAGTTCCACTACCTAATTATTCTTACATGCAGAGAAAATCATCAAACAGCCATTATGAATACAAGTTACAGTTTTGAGATTAAGATTTCCTGATAATGGAAGAGCATATGAATGCAGTGGTTGCTAAATACTGTCTTGGTAGGACTACAATTATTTAAAACTAACACATAGAAAATTGAATATTAAGAAATCAATTTTCAGAATAAAGTATGTTTACTACTTGTACGTCCAAAAATATATATATCCTCTTCACTCTTCAGGAGTGTACATCCTTTGTAGGTCTTGTAATTTCACTTATACGATCTCCAGGTCACAATGACAAGTGATCAAGCCCATGAAGGTTCCCTGTTTCCTCCTAACCTTTATGATCTATAGCCATCAACTCAACTGCTTAAGAATTCATCAACAAGAGAGTTTTTGGTAGCCATATAGCTTTATGTAGATAATACTGCTATACCCTTCTGTTATATACAGCTACTGTTACTGTTAGTATAGGTATCTGTTAGCTGTTAGTCAGTTAAGACTTTTGCTGAGTCAGATAGTTAGTTTCAGTTCGTTACATCTATAAAAGCCTGCGCTGTGATACTCTGAACTGATTCTTCGTTTTGTATCAGTAACAGAACATTCATAGACAAGCTCTCTGCATTTTCTCTCTACTCTTTCCTTCACTCTCTATTATGGAATCAAAGCCATCTTTAGGGCCTCATTCCGATTCCGTGGTTCCTCCACGTAATCCACATCAATCCACTGAACCTCCACCACCAGTTCATGGTGGATCTTCGGCTACCAATCTAATTCCTTTTCAGGTACTGTTTTCGCACACGATTTCTCTGCGTCTCGATGACAACAACTTCCTCATATGGAAGCAACTGGTCGAACCAGTGCTCAAAGCTTATCGCCTTCATCGCTTTGTGAAAAATCCGGAGATTCCTCTCCAATTCGCTTCTCAAGAGGATCGTGCGGTCGGAAAAATCAACGAAGCTTACTTGGAGTGGGAACAGCAAGATCAAATTCTGTTATCATGGCTTCTGTCAACACTTTCAGAGTCACTCCTCATCAGAATCATTGCTTGTGCAAACTCATGGCAGCTCTGGGATAAGATACACAAATATTTCCGTTCTCGCATTCGCGCCAAGTCTACGCAACTCAAGTCGGAACTTCGAAATATGAAGAAAGGTGATAGATGTTAAGGCCTTAGCACTCTCACCCCTTGAGCTAGCTTTTAGGGTGATGTATCCAAAGTTCTTTACAGTTACGTACCTCTTTAAAAATCTGCAGTGTAATGCTTTGAACTGATTTCTCTTTTTGCATCAATAAAAGAACATTTAGAGACAAGCTCTGCACTCTCTCTCTCTACTCTTTCTTTGATAGTCTTAAGATGGCTAAACTAGTCAGCTCATGGAATTGGGTTGGGTCAAATAAGTTAAGGTTATTGTAGGAATGTATTAGTTCAAATAATCTCATAAAATATGGAAGAAGGGGTGTAAAGATGAAAAGAAAGTAGACATAAGATGAAGCACACAAGCAAAGCATCGTTGAGACAGTAGTGTAGTGATCAAGGAATTTCAACATTCTATAGTATCCATTCAGTTTCAACCTTTCAACTCTGATTTCAGGATATATGAATAACGCTGGTTGCATGCCCTTTATTCTTTAATAGAGGCGAGCTGCTGTAAATATGGGCTAAGACCATGCAACAGCCTACCTAATTTTATTTCTAACCATATCTCAGAATTTTTTGCCCAATCCAATAGTCGATATTTAAATTAGTTTATTTTGATAAAATAATCACGTTTTTACAGCTTTCTTAATAAATAATTATTTCTTATCAGCAATCAATTTCAGAACACCTACTTAATTATTCTAATTTTTTAACCCTGACCTACTAAGGTCCCCAGCCAAGTGGGTTGGGATAGGGCGAACGCCTGGGTTGTTCTCAGAAAATGCCATAGCACCTCTGTACAGAACACACCTTTTAATGATGGTTTGAGTGTGTGACAAACTAGTTAGTCAATTGAGTTGCAATTACGAGATCGATATCAGTATGACACCCCCTTTTTTTTTTTTTTAGAAATTATGACACCTTTTAATTCTTGAAGAAATTAAAATAAATAATTCAGGCAGCGCAGCCCACTAACACTGGGCAGCAGCATCACACGCACGGCTAATTAGCGGTGTGTAAAATCATCAAAAAAATTGAATCGAATCATGAACTGAACTGAACCGTTCTTAATATAATCGATTTTTAAAGAATTAATTCATGAATCGAACCGAACCGTTTTTAAATCGAATCAAATTGATTTTTATAATTTTATTTTTAAATTTTTTCTCTTTTTAAAATAGAGTCGACCCGAACCGGTTCTGAACCGAACGAATTACTTCTGAACCGAACCATTTAAACCAACTCGGTTCGATTTTTTAAAAAATTCAGTTCAGTTCAACCCACGCATATCTCTATCGCTAATACCCACATGGTTTTTTTTTTTGTAGTCCAATGATCAATTTTTTAGCCCCGGTTATATGGGTAACCCACGAGTTTTGACCCATTGCTCATGTGCACTAAATTATTAATTTGTTATATCCAAAAAAAAAAAATTATTAATTTGTTCGTGAATTGTGATATTAATAAAATACTGACATAACCCAAAAAAAAAATTAATTTAATAAATAAAAGTTAATTTTTGTTCCTCTGATTTTTGAATTATTAAGTTGAATTTGTAAATAGTGCATACAAACTTACAAAGAAAGGACGAGTGAGCATCATGCAACCCGAATGTCAATTATAGAGGGCGCGCATGTATATGAATGTAACATTGCCAAGCACCTCTCTGCTTGATTCCATTTTTACATGTCCAAGGTAATTCAATTTTTGCACCAATCTCGTGTAACTAATAATGTCTCAGACATCAAGAAACTCCATGGTCACCTACTCAGAACAGGCATGCTCTTCGTCTCACATGATTCTCACACACAACTCGTGCTCACATACGCCGCATGCCTTCCTAAGATCGACCTTCGATCACTTTACAATTTTTTCAAATGCATGAACTCCATCAACCCATTACACTTCAATGTCATAATATCTGATTTTTGTCGGAAAGGTTCCCCTTTTCTTGCTCTTACAGCTTTCTCCTTTATGCACACAAATGGTGTTCCCTTAGATACCTACGCATTGTGTAGCACTTTGAATGCTTCGTCTAAAGTTAAAGATGTTAATTTTGGGAAACAGATACACGCCCACGTGGGAAAATCAGGTTGGTCTTCCAGTGTTTTTGTGGGTAGTGCTCTGATTGATTTGTACTCGAAATTATCGAATGTAAAATATGCAGCGCTTGTGTTTGATGAAATTCCTGAGAAAAATACTGTCTGTGCCAATGCACTTTTGTCAGGTTATGGCGAGGCTGGGTTATGGGTTCAGGAACTTGAGCTAGTTAGGAAGATGCCCATGTTGAAATTGAAGTATGATCACTTTACATTATCAGCAGCTTTGCGTGCATGCACTGGATTATCTGCTGTTGAAATGGGTAGGCAACTGCATAGTTATTTGCTCCGTACGACACCTGATATAGAGAGTGATGTCTTTCTGCAAAGCGCACTGATTGAGATGTATGGCAAATGTGGCCTGGTAAAGAAGGCTTGGCAAGTCTTCAAGTTGGCTGGAATGGAGATCAGAAAAGAAAGAATCAGAGACCTTGTGTTATGGACTTCAATGCTTGGTGTGTTTGGTAGAAATGGACTCTACAAGGAAGTAATTGATTTGTACAATGAGATGTTGGTTGAAGGAATCAGACCAGATGGAATAGCATTTCTGACAGTAATCTCAGCTTGTGGTCACACTGGCCAAGTACAAGCTGGTGTCAAGTATTTTGAATCTATGGCTGATGATTTCAAGTTAGATCCTGGTCCAGAACATTACAGTTGCCTAGTTGATTTGCTTTGTAGGGCAGGCGAATTGCAGAAGGCATGGGAATTACTAAATCAGACACTCTATAAGGGAAGGGAAAATTGTATCATCTCAATGTGGGGAGCTCTACTCAATGCTTGTGTGGATCGTGGGAATATAGAGCTTGGCAAATTAGCAGCTCAAAGGGCTCTTGAGTTAGATCCTCAAAATGTTGGGATATGCATTATGCTATCAAACCTATATGCCCGGTTTGGTATGTGGGATGAGATTGGACAGTTGAGGGTATTGATCAAAGCAAGAAGGTTAAGAAAAGATGTTGGGTGCAGTTGGGTTCAGGTGACAAGTTGATAATGCGTTGGGAATGCTTTCAAGTAATGCTGCCTTTGAAATCTTGATGATAGGTCTCTACTCCAAATTCTGAAGATGCCTATCCTCACAAGTCACTACTGGGAAGGTAATGCTCAATTAGTTTTGGGTTAAAGAATGTCAGACATTCTAAGCAATAAACAAAGAAAGAATGTGAAGCATCTGTTTAGATGTTAGAACAGATTCAGTACCCAAAAACAATGTAGCATATTTTTCCTGGTATTAACCGTACCATTGAACAAGATGAAACTCAACCTTCCTCCAATGTAGATTTTATACTCATCTTAATTACTCAAACCCGCCAATATCCTCTCCCCCACCCGCCAAAATAATAATAAGTAATAAATAAATAAAAATAAAATCTATCCACCTTAATCCAGTAAAATAAAATCCATAATATAAAGCATGCTGGTAAAATAAAATATAATAAAATACAACTACTTTTAACCCGTATATTTTGATTAGCTTATTTTATATTGTAAAAACTATAATCAAGATGAATGTGAGTTTATGATGAAAACATGTGGAGAAAATAAAGCATGATGATGAAAGCAGCCCATCCTCAATCAATAACGCATTGGGATTGAAGCCCAACTAAGCCCAAAAAAGTGATAAAATAAATGATTGTTTTAAACTTTATCCAATCTCTAATGAGCGTAATTAAGATATAAGGGGGGGGAAGTCCGTAATTTTAATGCGTGATTTGTCTAAGACCAAGCCGAGTGGAGTTTAGGGCTGAGCATTAATTCAGATAATCATTTGCACTTGCTTCAATTTAATAAATTTTATTTTCAGATATTAAAATCATTTTTTGTTTTGGATTTTGACATTGTATTAGAGTCTCCCTTGACATGGTGCATAAAATATGTATATTTTGTATTATTTAAGTTTCAAGGTTGGAAACTTTATATATATATATATATATATATATATATGAGAAAAATATCTATCGTTTTAAAGGATATAAGTTTATATCCTTTTAGATTCTAATCGTTGATTTTCGTCTATCAACGATTATAATTTATTGGGCCAAATTTATTAATTAATTAATAATTAATAATTAAAAAAATATTTCTGCAGTTACTGCAGATAAGTTATCTGTATTTATTTTCAAAATAACGTTGTTTTGTTATTGAAAAATTAAATAATTAAATAATTATAATTATAAAGATTATAATAATTTGAAATAAATTAAAATTATAAAAACACCATGATTTTCGTCCCAAAACGATGTCGTATTAAATTTATTATAGATAACTTATCTACAGTAACTGCAGAAAAAGCGAACACTTATATATTACATGCAAAATTATTGCAATTAAACTTTGGAATGAAATCGTTCTACACCTTTTATCATCGAGGCTTTTTTGTTAATATTTCTTTCAAAGATACAAACAACAGTACTGGTTAACCAACGAAGGGAGGGTCCTTAGATATTTTTTTTAATGTTTTTTTGTCGACGGGCCCTTATGTATGCACGTCAGTAATTCTAATACTTCAAGGTAGAATTGGGGCCCATTTTTATTGGCTTTGAGATGAGCCCTTATATGCTGCGGACGTTATTTCAGTGTGTAAAGTATAAGGGAAAAATGTTTATCCTTTAAAACGATACAATTTATATTTTTTCACTCTCATAAAGAAGTGGGACCCACACCTTTATTTTTTTGTCAACTCTCTCTTCTTTTTTATCTATTTCTTTCTCTCTCTTAAAATGACACAACTTTATATCTTTTAAAATGACACACACTTTATTTAAAGTATAAACTATCTCAAGCCCGTAAGTTTAATTTCTAAAGAAAAAATAATAATAATAAAAGAAGAAGAAGAAGAAAAAGGTCTACAGTAACAAAAAATTACTTTGTTCATTTTTTATTTTCCCCTACAGTATATCTATTTATCCAGAGACCCCAAAATATATTATAAATTTAAAAGAGATAATATTATTTATACATTATTTTTATAGAAATATTTATACTTACTACAATTTTAGTCTTACTACTCTTATTACTTGATTGGTTATCGTTTGATCAACCTGAAATCAACGGCAATTAATTTTTTTCATTTTTCAACCGTTGATTTCAAATTGATCCAATAGTAATATGACAAGTAATAAAAATAATAAGCTTAAAATAATAATAAATATAATTGCCTCCTATTTTTATTTCATTATTGTCTATTGTTTTCTTTGCGAGTAACGAAAGATAAATTTACTTCCAACACAAAAACACATACTCTTATTTCAGTCCATATTAAAAAAAAAAAAAACTTCTACAACATATTGCACCCAAATCAATATTTATAACTTACGATAATCAAATCCTAATCAACTATAAATCTTAACGTAACATGATAAATTTCTTTAAGAGAAAAAATTCAAAAAAAAATCATCAAAATCTCTAAATAACAAATCAAAACATCCTAAATTATTAAATCAGAAATTAAATATAAGAAATAACTCTCCCAATATCATTTTCTTAATTTTTATGGTTGGAATTGGAAACCTCTAAACAAAGAACTGGAGCTCCTATATAACCACTTTAATTAATTTTTTTTTTCAAAATAAAACTGCATTTCACTTTATATGTGTGTTTAGATGTAATTTGAAAAAACAAGTAAAAAAATAAATAAATACATATTTTTTTTAAGTCATAATTTATGGTTTTCGAAAAAAGTCAAAATATTAATGATTACTTGAACTATTTTTAAGATACTGATCCAAACTTACAAAAATGTTAATTTTAAGAAAAGTCATTCTAAAAAATACTAGATAAAAAATCATTTTTCTAATGCTCTTCCAAATCGACCCTAAGTTGTCGGATTATGAGGGCAGGAGTAACATGGCATTTATGTGCCAAATGAAAGGTAAAGTCACCATCAACTTAAAAGAATATAGCTTAGTTGTACTTGAATTACTCAGCCTAGCACCGCATTTTGGTAAAAATGTTGGACCTTTCTGTTGAGATATATAATCTCACATTGGTTGTATGAGCAACTAATGTGGAGTTTATAAGGCTTTGGACACTCTTATCCTTTGAGCTAGCTTTTGGGGTGGTGACCTCAAGGTTCTTAACATACTATCAAAGCATTCGAAATATGACCGCCTCCCACTTTCTTTGTAGCTTTTGGGGTGGTGACCTCAAGGTTCTTAACATAGTATCAAAGCGTTCGAAATATCACTGCCTTCCACTTTCTTTGTTGTGGAATTTTCACATGTAGGTGGGCTTGTATATTGTCCACCCTTCAAGCCCAGTGGACTTTCCTGTGAGGGAGCGTGTTGAGAAATATAGTCTCACATTGGTTGTATGTGGAGTTTATAAGGCATTGGGCACTCTCACCCTTTGAGCTAGCTTTTGGGGTGGTGACCTCAAGGTTCTTAACATGGTATCAGAGGAGTGTTCGAAATCTCACCGCCTCCCACTTTCTTTGTACCACCCTTCAAGCCCAGTGGATTCTCGTGTGAGTGAGCGTGTTGAGAAATATAGTCCCACATTGGTTGTATGGACAAATAATGTGAAGTTTATAAGGCCTTGAACACTCTCACCCTTTGAGCTAGCTTTTGGAGTGGTTACCTCTCACCACCCCTGCAAGGAATGTTACATGACCTTGACTAGTTTCCCGCATATATGAAATGTGGTTCAATTTATACATGTATAAAATAGATAAAATTAATGTATAAAATCATTCTCAAAGTCGAGAGAAAAGTAAAATTATGTTGAGCTGGAAAACTTCATTCTCATTCAATGAACAATCTGATAATATATATATATATATATATAGCTAAGATTTTTTGACACCGGTGTTAAATTTGAAGTTTGACACCTCATCTGACAGTCGTTAGATAAAAAAAGATCAATGGTGTCACATGATTTTTCCCATAAATATATATATATATATATAACTGACGTGGCACGGACTCTAAAGAGCTAACAGAAAATAACTACTAACTTTGTCAACTCAACTTCAATTATTAAAAATAATCTTTGAGTTAGCTTTTGGGATAGTTACCTCTCACCACCCTCTGCAAGGAATGTTACATGACCTTGACTAGTTTCCCGCATATAGTAGGGAAATATTGCATGAACAGTTTTGATATAACAATGAGATGAAATGTGGTTCAATTTATACATGTATAAAATAGATAAAATTAATGTATAAAATCATTCTTAAAGTGGAGAGAAAAGTGAAATTCTGTTGAGCTGGAAAACTTCGTTCTCATTCAATGAACAATCTGATACAAGAGCTGATATATATATATAGGTAGGATTCTTTGGCATCGGTGTCAAATTTGAAGTTTGACAACTCATCTGACAGCCGTTAGATAAAAAAAGATCAATGGTGTCACGTGATTTTTCTCATATATATATATATATATATATATATATATATATATATATATAACTGACGTGGCACCTCACTACTGGAATAACAAAATGAGAAGGACTCTAAAGAGCTAACAGAAAATAACTACTAACTTTGTCAACTCAACTTCACTTATTAAAAATAACCACAATCAGAAAGTTTGAGCTAAATATCTCTATACTGTAATACATTCTATTACATGTGAATTCCAATTTATACAGAACAGTTTTGATGTAACAATGTGATGAAATGTGGTTCAAATAGATATATCATGTGTGTCAAGCTAGCTATAAGATAAATCAAATCCATAGAATTGTTCACTTTCTTCTATCTCAATATGATAATGAGAATAAATAAAATGAATGTTGTTGAATCATGAATTTAGAGGATAAGCATTGAAAGTAGATTTTAACTTGGGCATTTTGCAGTAGATTTTAAACCAGGAAAATTTTGAAGGTGATAGAATTTGTGCCTAGAGATTTTGTTTTATTCTAAAAATTATCATTATGTTCGGCATTGAGAAAAACACACACTTAAGGACAGATAACAGAAACAGGACACTGCCTCATATGAGTCGCTTAATTAAGCTTTTGAAGATCAATTTCTCAGTGTTGGAAACATGGTAAAGAGAAGCAAAATGAAGGCAGGGTAAGACCAATATAGTGGTGCACATTGGAGATAGATTTCTGTCTATTGTTTTTGTATCTAGTGTTGGTGGTTTAGGCAAGACCACATGGGGAAGCCCTGCATTTTGAAGACACACACTTCTAGTAGCAAACACTGCAGTAGTGATAGGTAGGCTTAGAAATTGACAAGCATGAAATACTTTATATTACCAAATTTGTTATAATTTGAAACTATCCATGTTTTGTTTTCCGCTCAATAAATATGAATGTCTTGCGATAAAAGAACCAGCCAGCCAACCATCCACGTAGACTATGATCTCTCCAAGTCCAGGTTCATATTCAAAACTTAGCTTGCTTGTTATGCTTTGCTCTTGATCAATCCACATTTAAATAAGGGAAAAATGTGTATAATTTTAAAGGATGTAAAGTTGTGTCATTTTAAGAGAGAGAAAGAGATAGATCAAGGAGGAGAGAGAGTTGACAAAAAAAATAAAGGTGTGGGTTCCACATCTTTGTGAGAGTGAAAGGATGTAAGTTGTGTAATTTTAAATGATAGACATTTTTCCCTTTAAATAATCAGAATAGATAGACACGAGCAGTTCGTAATCTAACACACAAACACACACACATATATATAGAGAGAGGTAGGATCCTTTGATATATTAGTGTCAAATTTGAAATTTGACACAGAGTCGTTAGATCAAAAAAGATTAATGGTGTCACATGCTTATAAATCAGAGTCGTTGATTTTTTTTATCTAACGGCTCTCAGATGAAGTATCAAACTTCAAATTTGACACCGGTATCAAAGGATCCTACTTCATATATATGTAAAAGCGGCTCTCAGATGATGAGGTGTCAAAGGATACCGGTGTCAAAGGATACTATATATATATATATATATATATATATATATATATATATATATATATACTTTTTCAATTATTAATATCGATCAATTGAAGGAGTTGAGTTTTATCCTTATCCATGTAGGTTATTTGTAGATATGAATTTGAATCCGAATTTGAATCTATTGAGTTCTACATTTAGTACAGTGTACAGACATGAGTATTATGAAAGTGGGACATAAATAATTTTTGCAGATAAAAAAATTAATATTTGTTATATTATAAGAGATAATTTTATCTTCAATATATACATAAAAATATGTGAAATTTATATTTTTTCTTTTCTTTTAACGTGAATTCCACTTTTTAGATACATACATGAGATAAAATTATATGATTGCAAAAGAGCAAGTATTTGAGGCTATTGTTTAAGGAAAAAATGTTTGTCATTTTAAATGACATAATTTATGTCATTTCACTCTCACAAAGAGTGTGTGGGATCCACACCTTTATTTTTTTGTCCACACTTTCTCCTATGATCTATTTCTTTCTCTCACTTAAAATGACACAATTTTACATCCTTTAAAATGATACACATTTTTCTCATTGTTTAATGGGTTTTTCTTTTCTTATGTCACATGAGGTAGCATCTCTCATGCCATAGACACAATAAGTAGTGGGCCCATCACTTGTTAAAAAAAAAAAAATAACACAAATTTTGATGTTTCACGTTATGAGAAAATTATTTCTCCTATTTACATGAGAAAATGATTTTTCTTATTTAATTGCTTTAATAGTTTGCTAGGGAGGGTTTCGCATTCGAAGATAAAGTACTGAAACTGAGGTCAAAACCTTGTATAGGAAGAGTAATTCACAACACATGGGTTTCTGAAAAGTTGATTTTTATTTTTTAAAAATATTTTAATTGATTCAACGTTTTTTTGACTAATCTGATTCAGGATGATTCCAAAATTAAAATTTTAAATTTCTTCTAAAAATAAAATTTGAAGATCAAATATATGTTCTCTAACATCAACTATCTTTTAATTAATTGATTTTGTTTGCACTGAGTCTAATTTCTCTTTCAAATTTCACGGGTCATTCATCAGTTCACAGTATCACAAACCCAACAATCAGAAATGCCAAACCATCACCAGGTTGTACCGATGAGTACTTGTAGGTCCGTCAATCCAGGTGGAGAGAGAGATTAGCGGTGAGCAATGTGTAGGATTCTATTGAAAACATATAATGACAAGTCTTTTATTTTTATTTTTTTGGTGAACGACAAGTCTTGATTTTTAAGTGTTTATGGGGCTAGACGACCACAAATTTATTTTATCACGCTGTTGTAACTTTAAAAAAAAAAAAAAAAAAAAAACTAACCCTGGATCATAGATTCATAACTCAAGTGGTAGGGGTCGGTGGGGTTAAAGAGGTAGAAACATAGGCCACAAAATCCTAAACCGTAAATATTGCATAGGTTTATAAAATAAACTATATTTTTCAAAAGAAAAATTACGTTTTTAAATATTTTTCTTTTTTTTTGTTACATAATATATATATTTTTCTTTTAAATTGTGATATATGTGATTTTTAGTTTTTTAGTTTTAAACTTAAACTTATAAAATTAATTATGATTTTTAATATTTTTTAAATTTCACTTGAATTAAAAATCTCATAAAAAATACTTGTTAGTTTTTTTAACAAACTTAAATATAGTTCATATTTTTAGAGTATTATTAAAAAATATTAGAAATATGATATAAAAAAAATTATTTATCTACCTTCACCATTCAATTTAAGCTTTTGAGATAATTAGTTATTTGACATGGTATGAATTTTTTTTTTTTTTTGGAGTTACTCAACTCTAATTACCTCTTTGAGGCGAGTTGACTCCCTCCGGTATTCCCACAAGTTTCAACTCTTTGAGCCGGCTACGAGACTAATCCGGAGGGCGGGGGTCAGTGATGGCTAAAGGTTCAGCCCCCTCACAGAGAATGTATTCAGCGAAAATCGAACACATATTCAACTTCACTAACTCAGCGCCAAGGAACCAACTAACCTACGTCTATTTATTGGGTTGGTATGAAAAATTTTGTGATCTAATAATCGAGAATTTTTTAGCGTCCGTAGATAAATATATATATTCATTGTCCCTTCAAATCTAATATGGGAAGCATGTTAAAAATATTATAAATATAAAATTATTATCTACAATTACTTAACGCCTAGATAGTTAGTTTAATTTTAAAATAAGAATCAATAAACATATAAATATAGGAAAATATTTTTCTTATGTTGTAAGAAAAACATTAGATCATGTTATAAAAAAAAATTATAAGTGGGACTCACAGTTAAGAGGAGAGAAAAAAAAGAATGGTGGGACCTAACCTTTTTTGTGTATGTAGGAAAGTTGTATATCTCATGTAAAATGAGATAAACATAACCCATATATATACTCATTAAAAGTGAACATGGAGAAGAATGTTAATTGTGAACTAGTCTAATGAAAGATAAAAGAGTTTTATTAATTTCATGTTAAAGTAGATAAGTTATCTCATGTCATAGAGATAATTTATAAGTTCCACCACCTGAAAAAAAAAAAAAATGACACAATTATCGACAGGTGTGTAGAAAAAAAAGTTATCACATGAAGAGTAGTTTTTCACAAGATAAAAATTTAGTTTATGAAAAAAAAAAAAAGGAGGAATGAATATGTGTTGGCATTGGGAAGACCAACATAACAGTGAAGGCAGTGGGCTTGGTTCCCACCATGTCCTTTGCACAAAATACACATACCCCTAAACACCCGTGGTTTATCCTTTGCCCCCACACTCCACATGAACCCTCACTCTCTCTCTCTCTCTCTCCTTCTTCGTTGATTCTTCATAAATACCCACCCTCATCCCCATTGCAACCCCCACCACTTACGTCTGCTTCTTCATTCTCCTAAACTCCTTTCAAACTTGGTTTGCTTCACATTAGACCACATCCTCTTCTCTCTCTCTCTAAAAATGGCCATTAGAAAATCAAACAAGCTTCCCCAGACAGCAGTCCTCAAGCAAATCCTCAAGAGGTGTTCGAGTTTAGGAAAGAAAAATGGGTATGACGATGATGGTCTCCCACTTGATGTCCCAAAAGGCCATTTTGCAGTTTACGTTGGGGAAAACAGAACAAGATACATTGTCCCCATCTCATTCTTGACTCACCCGGAGTTCCAATCCCTCCTTCGACAAGCTGAAGAAGAATATGGCTTCGTTCACGATATGGGTCTCACTATTCCTTGTCAAGAAGTTGTTTTCCGCTCTCTAACTTCCATGCTTAGATGATGAAACAACCCACTACTTAATTTCATGGCTCTGCTTGAAGAAGATGACCAAGATGAAGCTCCACCTTTTGCTTCTCTTTTTTTTTACATCTCTCTTCACTGTAGCCATTTTTCCTTCTCATCAATTCGCCATCTAGTTTTTTTTTTTTTTTGTCCCATTCTTTCTTTGGTTTTGTTTTGAACAGCCCTATTTGGGTTTTCTCTCTCTCTCTCTTTTCCATGAGCATTTCTTGGGGTAAAAATTGTACAAAGGCTTGAGATTTTCCTCACAGAGGTTCTATACTATATATATATCCTGTGAGAGAAGTTAGTTCTGTCAATGAAAGCTGGGAAGTTCATCCTTGTTGCCACCTCTCTCTCTCTCTACCCTTGCGAAGAAATTATAAGCAATAGGTAGCATGGGTCAACTTAAGATTTGTGCCTGGAAAGAAACAAAAGACTAGTTTACATATAAAACTCTGTAATTCATATTAGTTCCAATATAAAAGTGTATAATTCATAATAGGGTTTCGATTTTCTCGTAGAAACAAAATTTCATGTAGATATATTTACGTGAGGTTTATATCTATTAAAAAATTAAAAAATAAAAGAAAATATTATACGAAAATCGAATAATAACTAATAGCAAAAAACAAATTTTCTACTACATGAAAAAATATTTTCCATTGATAATAAGTAAATAAAGAAAATGAACAGAGAGCATGCATAACTTGTCAGAGAACGTGTTGTACTTTAAGTGTACGGTTCATTTGGGCTTGGCTTTTAAAATAAACCAGAAAGAAAGCCCCACGTCGTACAGGTACTACATTAAGGAAGAAGAATAGGTCTAAGCTCGTAAAACAAGCAAAATAAGATCATAGTTGGTTAGTTTAAACAGTAAGGTACTTGACACTAGGCGGTAAATGAGTTAGTTCGAGCTACAAGAATTTATAGTCCAGTCTATATTAGGTTAAGCTTGGTATATTATAAATAATAAAATTGAACAGACTTAGGTTTTTTAAAAAAATTATTTAGAAAATAGGCTATAGGCTTTTTTGTATATGTCAGACCTATAAGCGTGCAGGCCGGCCTATATTATATTATTTATTTAAATAAAATTATTATTTTAATAATTTTCAATAATAATAATAATTTATTTTAGTTATTCTTTTAATTATTGAATGTTTAACAAGTTTAAATAGGTTAAATGGCTTAGGCTAAGGTTTTTAGTTTTTAAATATAAATCAAGCCAGATTTGTAATTTGAGGTCTACGCAGACTAATAAGTCAGGCCAGACACAACGATTTCTACGTAGGCCTAACCTATTTAAGTCAAAGTCTAGCCTAGTCAAACCTATTTACACCTCTAGTTGAGACTAACCGTGCCTTCGCACAACTCAACCAATGAATGTTTAAAAAAGTTTCATTTATTATTTTTTACATAACTAATTGATGAACTCTTACTACTCATTTAATTTTTTGCAAAACTTTGTGAAACCCTAATTTGTACAGCTATTCAGGATTACTAACCTGTATAACTCTGTAATTTCAAAAACTTTAAAAAAAAAAAAAAAAAAGAATATTTACTTTAGGTAATTTGTTTCTTTACCGAAAAAGTTCAGAATTTGTAACGGGAAAAAGTTACTGCTAAGGATGACTTACATGAATTAATTTACACTTTTCATGTATTGTCCTCCCGTTGATTCTGGTTCTGTTAGAATTATTAAAAAATATTGCATATCCAACTTGGTCAGGTGTACTCTCCAATAATTACCATGGACATGGACTCTACAGATTTAACTTTTGGTGGATGAGACTAATTAAATAAATAAGTTTAAGACTAATTAAAGTTAAAGTTCAGTTTTTTTAAACTTTAGAATCTATATTTCTTCACACTAATATGTGTTTTTCATGGAGGAAAGGCGGGACCCATACTAAAGGAGATGAAGGATTTAGTCCAAATGACAAGCCTAAAGATTCAAAGACATAGACTTAATTGGTAGAGAAATATGTTTATCACGAGTACATGCAATTTCGAAAGTACACAACTTAATTAACAATAATACAAAGCTTATAAGCCTCCTTGATAGCCAATGACTAAGAAACAAACATGAGGTTCTAAATAAGTCTATATATCATAGCTCACCAATAGAAATTGAGATAGGCTAACAAAGTCACCTTAATCTATCAATAAAAACATATTTCATATTGTCATACTAAGATATGGCAGGGCAAGGAAACAAGCAACTCATTAATTAAATATTAACTTAAGTGTCAAAGTGTCTTGTTCGTACGAATCTTGTCTATCTTAGAGAAATGACATCATAATCTTCATCTCGCATAATGGAATAGCATACTTTGTCACAACAATTCTCAAGCCATCATCTTGGACCAGACTCAACCATATGTGATCATAGAAAATCTCTCTTCAACTGATCATGGCATTTGAAACTAAGTTTATAAATCATCATTCGCATTAGTTAAAGAAAGTTGCATAAACCAAAAGGTGGTAGCTCAGTTGTCGGCATGAGAACTAAGTAGGTGGGGGTAAGAGCATCCGTTCGAATCTACCGGTACTACCTTTGAGAGGAGTTTAAAGCCTTAATCTTGTACCCGCTCCGAATCGAATTAGTTGCGAAGTAATGAACAAATTGAAATATTTAATAATAAAAAAAAAAGTTGCATAAAAACAAACATTGAAAGGAACTGGCCGTCCTTTTGCGGAGAAGGACCAGCAGAGAAACAAAGGCTGCCTCTGGTTAGATGGTCCTCCTCCTTTTGTTTCTTTCGGTTTCAGCCACAAAAAGCTTCTGCCATTCACAACGCTTCCTATAACTGCCTCACCAACTCCCTTTAATATCTATTGCTCACCAAAATCCAATTTTAATTTTCCTCAATTCAGAAAATTAATTATCTTCATCCATGATTTCTGGTTTGTACTTTTTTCTTCTTGCCATACGCTTATCTCTCTGTATGTGCGTGTCGTGCACGCTCACATTAGCACACATGAGAGTTTGATTTGTTAATTTGGACCAACAAAAGAATCAATTTAACCAATTCATCAAAGAAGAAAGTAGTTCAGAAATTGGAAGTTCAATTGGAACTCTACATATAGAATCTTTTTCTTTGTGGCCCACCCATGTTCTCGCCTATTTCCTGGAAAGAGCCCATTTTGGACTATTATTTTACCTTTCACTCTATCCTTTAGATTGAGAATCAGACTCTTAATGCTATATATGATATATGATTCTATCATGTTGCTTTGTATTCGAAACTTTGTATAACATTTAATAAAAATGAGAGAGAAGACGGAATAATGGGATAATATTGATGGATGTTTTATGAATTATGTGAGAAAATTATTACATATAAAATGTTCCCCTTTTGTTTTTCCTCTTCATATCGTTATAATGTGTGTGGAAGAATAGTTCTAATTAAATCTCAATTGTTATTTTCATATTATCATTTTATCTTTCTGAACGTACACTGGGCAAAGGACAAATGAAAACGACTCTGTGGGGGTGAGGATGGAGTGTGGGGAAAAGCATGTTGGGCTCCAAAATGCATACGGGACAGATATTGCTATTGATGAGCGATACGTATCTTAGGGTGCTGTCAGACCATTTGCATCTTTTGCATGTTGTATCATATATTCTTTCAATCTTGCTCAACAGTTTTTTTTTTTTTTTTAAATAAAATCGAAAGACTTAAATACAAGTTATAAATAGCAGTCAAAACTATTTTCTATACAAAGAAATTGAGGTTTCATTTCCAAAAGAAAAAAGAAAAAAATAAATTGAGGTTTTAACTTTTATATTTTTTTTAATAACGTCTCCTTCTCAAGCTCATGTTTGGTTCAGCTTTATTTTAAAAAATAATAGCATTTTATTTCTCCCCAAAATTTAAAAAAATAATAATAATAATTGTTTTTTAAATAAACTAAAACAAAGAATCATTAAGTCATCTCAAAGTCGTCAATAAAATTAAAGAAATAAAATAATTGTTGAACCTGTGCCTACGAATAATAATAATAATAATAATTCTTTAACGTTCACTTAATAGTTAAGCTTTTGAAAATGCTAAACGGGAGTGTCAGAGATTCAATCAAGTGATTCAATTCTTGTCATTCTCATTTCTATCGTAAAGAGCTAAAATTTAACACATGTATAAGATGAAAAGAGCATATGAATTATTCATGTTCTAAAACTAAAGAATTTTTACATGATAGAGCATGATAGATATTAAATATTCATGAGCCTTCACATAACGTTGAATTTTTTTCTTGAACTGATAAAAATTATGATTCTTGATGATAATGAGCATATCTCATTTATTAATATTTTAACAATTGATGTAGAATATTAAACTCGATTTCCAAAATTAATTTTTTTCTATGATTTGATTAATATTCATAATTAATATTTAGTATTTTATTAACATGTTATCACATATTTATATTGAATATCATATTAATATATAATTTTAATCTGACCTGATGAAACTTCAAAATTTTGAACCATCGTTTCCCATAAGACTCGCTACATGTCTAAAAAAAATAGAAAAAGTTCATCCTGTGTTTTGTGAAAAATAAGAAATTACAGGAATATATGTAATAAAAAATATACTCTTTTACAAATCACAGAAACATATGTGATAAAAAAAAATTACAGAAACATAAGTAATTCTGAAATAAGGCATTGGTGAACTTTAAAAATAAAATAAAAAATAACAGAACGAGACTATGATGTAAAATAAAGTACGAAATATGTACCTGGTATGGGGGAGCTTCTGATTTATTGAAGCCTGTTTTATTTCGGGAATTATAATGTCACCCGCCGTTACCTAATACCTACCAAAGAACAAAGAAATGAAGAGGGGACTTGGACGAGGAAACAGCTACAACTGCCATTCATGACGAGCAACAGAATATTGTTGCAAACTTTCAACGTAGTGGACCCCACTGCTGGGATGAGGAGCACGTGATCATAACCCCACACAAGCAAACTGATGGAACATATATCAA